ATAAGCCTGTTTTTAATGCTGGGTTTTATCAACAGTATAATGTATATTTTATATGCCTTGTAAACTGCGTAGTGGTTTTACAGTAAAGTGGTATACAAATGTTGCTGTGTGTTTTTTTAAAAAGCGCTTAGCAGCAGCACGTTTATTTTGCATGCAAAGTACAGTGGTACCTTGGGTTTCATACGCTTCAGGTTACAGACTCCGCGAACCCAGAAATAGTGCTTCAGGTTAAGAACTTTGCTTCAGGATGAGAACAGAAATCGTGCTCCGGCAGGGTGGCTGCAGCGGGAGGCCCCATTAGCTAAAGTGGTGCTTCAGGTTAAGAACAGTTTCAGGTTAAGAACAGACCTCCGGCACGAATTAAGTACTTAACCCGAGGTACCACTGTAAGTCCCAAGTCCGGTGCCCAAAATCTCTAAATGGGACTGGGAAAGAAGACCTCTTGCCTAAAGCCCTGGAGAGGCGCTGCCTGCCAGTCGCCATAGATACTAAGGAAGGTGGACTGTTAGTCTGACTCAGTAAAGCACACTTCAGATCAGAGAAAGGAAGGGTAAAAGCCAATAGAGATTCATGACTTGACAAGTAACAGGATCAGACGAGGGCAGAGAACAAGCTGAAGACACTAATAAGAGATCAGGAAAGACAGATAGTGGAATGAGCAGGCCAGTAGTTACGAAGAATAATAATGAGGATCACTTTAAAGAAATGGGAAATTATGGGTTTCTCTTGTTTGTCTCTGACACAGACAGGTGTAGTGCACCGAATACCATTCTTTAAAGATTTGATGGAGCCTGCAACTACAAAGTTCTGGTCCCCGAAGAACTCCAGAATGGATGCTAGGCTGCAAAGGGCACACATAACTTTATTTCCGGGGCAGGGAGAAGGAAAGGTTTGGTCTGGGATGAAAAGGGTCAGTGACCACCGGGTTTTTAAAAGGCAATTTTCTTACTACAGCAAACTCCGGTAAATACAACGTGGATTAAAAATTAAACGCAAAGGAGCCAGACACAGTGAAGGTCTGGTCACATAAAAAATATGCAGTGCTTGCGAGTATAACGGACACATTTTATTTTATTTATATAAAACTATTTCTATACCATCATATCATTAAATACCAGTGCAGGGTAAAATATAAAACACGATTCAAAGAATAAAAATCCAGGTAATAATCAAGGTGCCTGATCAAAAGTGATAATTAACCAGCTGCAAAGGCTTGGGTGGCAATAAAAATATATTCAGAGGCACCTGAAAGTCAAAAGCAGAATGCCTGTTGAACCTCTGCTGGAAGAGAGTGTTCCACAGAATGGGACAGGTGGGGACACTCAGTGACTGATATCTAGTTGAGGTCAGTCAGGCCTTTGCAACTGGCAGCTTTCCTCTGGATAATCTCTGATCCGACAGGTAGACAAGGGCTCAGGTGGCCATTAAGGTGTCCTCTGTGCTTGTTGTTCAAGGGTTTGTATATCAACCACGAACCTGGCCTGCGTCAGCAACAATGCACAGGCAAAATCTGCAAATATTATGCTGTATACCTACATAAGCAAATTACGTGTGTCGCGCATGGACCATTCAAAGTGCTGGCGCCGTCCTATTAGGTAATACAGCAATGTTGATCTAGCAAGGATCTCCTTATGCTCTGATGCAAACACTGACCACGCTTCGTTGTTTTGGCTTCACGTTCTCTTGGGCAGAGGGATGGGATTCTGCCTGGGACAGTAAAAGCCTATCAGGTTGACAGCCTTTGTAAGCAGCCTTGTTTTAAGGCCCAAGGGAGCTTTTCCAAGGCTTTCTCTTCACCCCAGCCACCTCCCAGCTTCTACAAAAGATGTCAGCCGCCCCTGGCTAGCCTCCCTCTCCACCCGCCGCCGCAGCCCCCCCCCCTTTCCTCTCGCTCTCCATCTCTGGCTGGCTCTTCTCTCCACCGGACTGCTGCCACTCGTATCCCACAGAAAGAATTTTATCGCAAATCACTCAAGCCTTTCCTTAATGAACAGCAGCTTCAAGGAGGAAGGCTGAAAGCTATCCTGAAGTGAATCTTGAGTGCTAATGCAGGAAGAGCGAAAAGATCTGATAAACTCTTTTGAAAGCACCTGAATTCCAATAAAACATGTGAATTACTGCGACCAGGAAGGATTTCTGTGGATCGAAACGGCATCAAACCCCTTTATCCTCAACAACAACAACAGAAAAAGGGAAGAGGAAAGGAAATTGGGGCTGGAACAATATTACTCATTGATATTTTTGATTTTAGGAGTTGCGCGCCATGGGAAAAACACTTCCTGTTCCAACAGACCTCTAAGAACATGCATGGATTTCTGGGCACTTCTCTGCATGTATGACCACAAACTCCCGCTGGGTGCTGGTGTCACAGCAGGGTCAGTACCATTCTGCTGGTATGTGGTCTCCACAGATTTTTGCTCAATTACTTCCAAAGGTTTATGGCTCAACTTTCAGCCAGATGATTTCCAAAGTGATTTTCCTGGCACTCAGTGTTGGGATGTTCCGTTCCACCTTAAGGAACAGGCATGATTGTTGTGTATCACATGTCTGTTTATACTCCAGCACAGCTTGCTGGGAACTTCTGTTTGTGTATAGTTTTTGCTTTAGCTGTCTTGCTTTGGACACGAAGGAGATCAGACATGTTTCCTTTTGTCCTGATGGACGCTGAATAAACTGCTTGTAAATATGCTCACACAGCCTCTCCTGCCACTTCTGTTGTGCAGTGGTTACTCTTCTGAGTAGCGTGCCCTAGCTTCTGAAGCTCTGGGTCGCAGATTCATGCTGCACCAAGGACTGGAGTTTGCCTGGCACACCGGCCGGTGGGCTGGAGCCAGCTGGGGGCCTGCCAATTGCTCCCGTTTCCTTGGCCGCATGCCAACACTCAGGTGCCTTTGCCACAGCTGTTGCCTTGAGCCCCTTGTGGGGATATTCCCCAAACTCCATAAAGTAAGATTGTGTGGTCAACACAGCTAACCCATTTCTGAACAGGGCTATTTCCCCCCTAGACTCCTTGTGGGTCCTGTAGGTGCAGTGGAATCCATGGGAACTGCACCTCCTCCAGAAAGATATTAGCTATGTTAATCGCATGATAGTGGACATCATCACTGCAGATAGCTCAGTCGGTAGAGCCCGAGACTCTTAATCTCAGGGTTGCGGGTTTGAGCCCCACATCTGGCAAAAGATTCCTGTATTGCAGGGGGTTGGACTAGATGGCCCTGGTTGTCCCTTCTAAATCTACAATTCTAAGATTATATGATCATATGGACAACACCACTATATCATGTGTTGCAAATGCATCCTCATGACCCCCAAATCAGTGGCTATTGGTGTGCACTGCGAAATGGTCGGTTAGAAGGCAGGGAGACCAACCTTGGTGGAACCAGAGCCATCAACACACAGCGGCAAAATTTGCATTTTCCAAAACAATATGTGACCCGGAACATAGCCATCCTTCAAAATTCACACTTATCTACATTGTGCAGTGCAGTTCTCCAACAAACCACTGTTTACAAAGATGCATTTATTATGGGGGAAGTGGGAAGGTTTTAGAGGAAACGATGCAAAAATAAAAATAAAAGGGTATCGCACTAGGGAAAACTGCTTGCACGAATGTGCACATTAGTCAAAACTGCACACAAAAATGTGCTTCTTGGGGAAAATGCACACTCAAATGATGATGGGTATTCCTGAGGACTTCTTAAAAAGCAATCTGCAAGTTGCAGGAGGAAAATGGAGAACTGGACTCGAGAAAAACATGAAACTCACGAGAACTGAAACGGGGACCTCCCTCCATCCCTATTTGAGAGTTTCCCCTTCCGATCGCTGTGGCTTTGTTTACCTTTCCTGCATCCATTAACACAAAGGCGGCCAGATAATTTATGGAAAGTGATGGCGCTTTGATCTTCTGGCAGTCTATAAGTTTGTGGCCTCTGGGCCCTGTGCGATTATCAAGACGTCCACCTGGCTCGAGCGAGCATTAGGGCTGAGACAGCCAGATCAGCGTTAATCAAGGCTTCCTGCTCTCCCAGGCCGCAAACAATGTCTTCCTCAGGCATTTGGATTATGCTAAACCTCAAGCAATCCTGAGGTTCCTCCATGTGCCAAGCCTCGCCTGAGCTGATTTATTACGGTGGTCACATAGACAGGTGCCTTCCAACAGTGAGATCTCAGAGATAACATTGAAGATTGACAGTCGCTGTAATCGTTTTTAGGAGCGGTGAGCAAAAGGCAAGATTTGTACAGGACTCTTTGTGTCAGATTTGGGGATGTGAATTAATAAGGCTGTGGGAGGACAGGAAGCGCTCTTCTTTCTCAGAAAACCAAGGCAAAGTGTATGATGGGTTTTTCTTCTTCTTACATAAAAAAAAATCCACGGGGTTAAGGATCCTTAGGAGGGTCTTGCACAAGTCAGCATCCATTCACACGATCCTCTCCAGATACTAGATCCAGTATCTGACGTTACTTTCTGTCCAGCTACCAGAATTTATGTATTGCACAAAACCCTATGCTTATTATTACTGAGCATATCTTAATCTCAGAGTTGTGAGTTCAAGCCCCATGTAGGGCAATATATTCCTGCATTGCAGGGAATTGGACTAGATGACCTTCGTGGTTCCTTCCAGCCCTACCCAGAGACACCTGGGGCATTTGGCAGGCAGATCATGTGCTGTGCCACTGAGCAATGGCCTCACACTTTAAAGAAGTTTTAGTTTAATTGGCTGACTGGCCTACTTTTAGCCTGTTATAATCTGGATTTCTAGATTAAAAAAAACCAAGGCAATCAACCTCTAGGTTAGAGTGTGGAGCTTTTTTTTATTTAAAAATAATAATTTGAATGCATTATTTAAAGCAAAGGAGCGGCGGTTTGGTATCTCCTCCTCCCCCAGGGGAAGGTGGCAGCCCTATGAATGAGCAGGTGCCGCGGTCTCTTAAGCATTTTTTTCATGCTCTGATTAAGTGGGCGACCCATGTTGCCCGTTCCCAGGTAGCAATTCCAGGTGTTCGGCAGCTGTTAGCTCTGCTCTCTCTCTTGCTCTGTGTGGGTGCTGGAATTCACTTCTCCCTTACCAGGATTACAAACAGCACTGTCTGGAGCTTGACAATGGACAAGGTGGGGAATAGGAAGAGACACGCTTCAGGATGGAGTCTTGTGCCGCTGTCAAAAAAGCCAAGAAAAATCACTGTGTCACTCCTTTAAACCCGAGCCGCTGCTGGTGTCTTGCAGTTCCCTGGCCAAAGGGTTATGCATGGAAGCTTTTGAAAAGGGAACATTTCAGATCTCACCTCTGCTATGAAGCACACCAAGTAGATGGGGGCAAACCTCTGTTCCAGAGCATTTTTCCTCTCTCCCCCCCCCGCCCCCCCAGTTCCACGATTCTGTAATGTGGGGATATAAACAACAGTGACCCCCCGTTACTGGACTTGTACAAGGGTAACTCAAATAATGCATGCAAAACACTCAAAATGCAAAGCAAATGCCATCTCGCAGTGATAATTGTCATCGTCACCACGATCATAATGAAATGCGATACTTGTCATGTCTACTCAGGAGTAAGGCCCATTTATACCACGGGGCTTACTCCCCTTATATACGATTCCAGCCTTCCTCTACAAACCAGTTCAGATACTAAGTTGTTGAGGGTTTTTTGCAGACATGGGATATATTAATGTCATTTATTTATTTTTTATTTTTTATTATCATAAAAATATCCAAATCTGAATTTTACTGTTTTTTCAGATTCTAATACCAGCTGCCAGTTAGAAAGTTTGCTAGTAGAACCAGTCAAATGATATCTAGTTCGTAATAATACTACTTGCCTAATTTAGGACTGATCTGTGACTTCCATATCACCAGTTGTCAATTCCTGGTACAGATGCATCTTACAATGCTGGTCTAGGCAGGTCTACTCAGAAGAAGGTCCCACTGAGCTCTGTGATGCTACTCCCAAGTAACTGTGCAGAGGTTGGTGGCCTTAATTCAGGCATAGGCAACCTCGGCCCTCCAGATGTTTTCGGACTACAACTCCCATCATCCCTAGCTAACAGGAGCACTGGTCAGGGATGATGGAAGTTGTAGTCCCAAAACATCTGGAGAGCCAAGTTTGCCTATGCCTGCCTTAATTAGTAACATGTAGGCTGGGCATTGTTTTCTGAAATAGCTGCACAACTCAGGAACTAGCCGGAATTTGAGAGTCAGATCTGTGTATGTTTTAGAAATGTTTGCACATTGTGATTAGCACATTTTATGTACATTTCCCCTCCGATTTTGTGACTTGTTTATGTGTGTAACTGATTCCTCACTTATCTCAAGGCAGCTTGCGAATGCCAACTAAAACGATACAGAAATGGAAATAAATTATAGGTGTGCGAAATAATAACAGCACAAGGCAGTAAGACAGACAGGCAGATATTGATATCACCTCTGCCTGCCATTCCTCTGCCCTCTGTCCCCTTATTCTGATTTTCCCGGCTGCATTCTGGTGCAGTTCCTAAACCACCAAGTTTTGACCTGACTTGGCACCCAATCTGTGAGACTCCACCAAAGCCCAACCCAAAGTGTTTGAAATTAGCCAAGTGCCAGGTACATTTTGCATCTGCCTTTCAACCACTTGCGACCAAGTGAAGATGCCTGGGCAACAGGATGGCGCCTGACGTCCCCACCATCTGGGAGGAGCATAGAGAGAAGAAACGCCGTGGTGCACCTGCAGCAGCACAACCAAAAGCCTTCACCTGCCCCAGCTGCAACAAAACATGTCTCTCCTGTATCAGTTTCTACACGCACAACAGGCGCAGCAACCTTGCAACAGCTTGACCTCACCCCCCGAGTCTCCCAAGGTAGATGGATGCCAACCAACCACACATCAATTATATGCTCATTTGCAGAAGTGGCCAAGGACATCCTGTTCAGGTATTTCTTGGAATGAATCTGAGTAGCTTCTTGGCAACCTGTGATTTCTTTTTTGGGGGGGGGGGGGTGGAATTGGTAACATGCAGGGCCGCATTCTGCTCCACTCGCAAGGTTACATCAGGCAGGCAGAAACATTTGGCTCCCTCCAATGCAAATTAAAACCGACGCATTAAAATGGCTTGGCCGTTTTGCTGATCAGGTCCAAAGCCTACGCCTTCCTCCGCGTACGTGAGCTTTGCCTCCTCCGATTCATCTTGTGTGTGTTCTTCTTACCAGCCCTCTGTGCTCCTCTCCCCGCCACACTTTCCTGTAACTGCCACTGGCTCCCCTCCCAGCAACTTCCTCCCAGATGAAAAGCTAATGCGAACCCTCTTGTAAGGCTGCTTTCTTCAGAACAGTGGGGTGGTTGTTAAGAGCACTTGATCACAGGGCGAGTGTGGGGTGAGCGAGAGGGGTGGGTGGGCAGACAGCGAAGGCAGGAGCCCCAAGCGTGGGATGCCAGCAAAACTTTTCTCCAGACGACACCTCCTGATGTCGGGAGGCTTCCCGTGTTCTCCCCCGCCTTCGAAAGATGAAATTATAAACTCCTTAGCAACAGAACGGCACTTGCAGAGAAACCTGCCTGCCTAATGGGTTTGGCAGAGCGGCGGTAAAGCCTCGACTTCTGAAAGAGCAACCTGTAATTCAGTGTCTCAGGTGCTCCGCTCTCCAGGAGAAGAAAAAAGCTCTCGGATCACTCTAGGAGTGAAGCAAACCCTTGACCAAGGGTGAATGCAACATCAAGTCCCGATTCAGGCATTACGTGAGCAACCCTGCCCCCCCACAGGTATCAAACCTGCCTGTCAGCTCAAGACTGAGCGTGGAGTCAGTTCACACAAGCTAAGTGACAAAAGGGCATCAAATGAAGGATATTTATGCATAGGGTTACCATTACAGTGGTACCTCTGGAGGTCTGTTCTTAAACTGAAACAGTTCTTAACCTGAAGCACCACTTTAGCTAATGGGGCCTCCTGCTGCAGCCGCACTGCCGGAGCACGATTTCTGTTCTCATCTTGAAGCAAAGTTCTTAACCTGAGGTACTATTTCCGCATTAGCAGAGTCTGTAACCTGAAGCGTATGTAACCCGAGGTACCACTGTATTTAATTACTGTGATATTTATTTGTTTAAATTGATATGGCAGCTCACCCAAAAAAATGCTCTCAATGGTTAGCATAGTGGAACAGTAAACAAGCCTCCTGCGATATTTTAAAAAGTGCAAAAAACAATAATATTAAAGAAATATTAACAAAACCTTCATTCATAGCAGACAGACACAGTGTGTGTGTGTGTGTGTGTGTGTGTGTGTGTGTAAAAAAACAATGTGCAGCTCAGCTTAAAACAATGTTAAAAAATGGAGGTAGTGAAATGTTTATATTAAAAATACAAAAGGCTGAAGGGCTGTTCTTTTAATACAAGGTTAAAAGGCATGCATGAATAAAAAACTCTATACCTGGCACCAAAAAGACCATAAAATAGTACCAGGAGAGGCTCTCTGGGAAAGCTATTCCATAACTTCAGAGCCACCACTCAAAAGGCCCTTCCCTTTGTAGCCACCCACCTGGCATAGCGTGCTGGGGACACATAGTGCAGGGCCTCCAAAGAAGATCTGTAGAACCAGAGGAATATGTGGGTCACCCAGGAATGTTCAGTAGGGAATAGCCCTAGTGACTTCTTGGGATCCAAATGATGCAGCGTTCTTGTTCTTTGCTACAGTCCTGGGGGTGGGAACCACCAGCAAAGGCCGATCTGTTTCCACCATTGTCACTCTTTGCAGAAAGAAGACAAGACGTCCACAGAGAAGGGGTGAGGAAACTTTCATCTGCCTCCCCCCTGATGGGCCAACTTTGGCAGGTGGGTGGGACAAGCCACCTGTCAATCACTGTGCAGAACCAAAGGTTCTGGAAAGCCTGCAAATGCTATCTTGGGAATCAAGTGGTAGTTGTCGGAAGAATGTTTACATGTTTATGCTGTTGCTTTGACATATGCTCATTGGCTTGATTTGATGTTGTGCTTATCTCTGGGCTTGCGATGCTGGGCTCTGGGACCAGAGAGGGGAGCTATCTGTAAGACCTGGGTATTTGCCACCTATGCCCCCAACAGCCAGGTGGAGTGATGTGAGGTTCTGGCCAAACTGACATATACTGTCTTTTTGCACAAGTAATGAATGAATGCTTTCCTGGGCGCAGACAAGTCACAATGACCTCTCACTGCTATAGTGTCCGACCTGCATCTGTAAGGACAGTGGGGCGTTTCTTTAATAAAGCACTAGAACTGGCCATTCTGGTGTTTTTGACAGCCTTGTTTGACATCTCTGCATCAAACCACTCGCATAGGCCCTCCTTTGGGCCTGGGGGTCAGGGCAATAACCAAACATCATTATGTTCCACCCATCTGTCTTAAGTCCCTTGTGCAGTGAATGCAAGCTGGCTGCTGGGTGCTTGGGAACCACAGTGCATGGGGCTTTGTCGACTATGCCAGAAAGTACTCGGCATTGTGCTTGCAAAGCTACTTTCAGCATGGATCTCAGGAAGTCTACCAAGCAGGGCTGACTTCACCGCCCATCGGCTAAAAGACAGTGTGTTAGACCCTACCTACTGCAGGAACTGGTTGCATCTCTGTCTGCCCCACACCTGATGTCACTTATGAATCTGGGACCTAGGCCAGGGTAAATTCAGCCCATGGGCTGGAGGTTTTCCCCACCAACTACCACAGAGCCAACTAATCCATGGTCTTTGTCAAGATCTGCCTCATTGCAAATGTGGGTCAAATCTACGCTTCCAGGTGCCATAAGAAAGCTGCAGAGATAGCGCAGGATAGTGCGCACCCCGGAAATGATCTCTTTCAGCTTCTGCCTTCTGGAAGAAGGTACAGGGTTAGAAAGACTAGGACTAGGTGCCTGAGAAACAGTTTCTATCCAAATGCGATTTTGGTTTTAAACACAGTGTAAAGTAGTCTCTATGGGAGTATATTGTATTTACTTATGGGGTATCAGAATTTTTAGGGGGCTAACCAGGCTGGGATAGCAGGCTTGTTGTTTTTGAATGTCTGATGTAGATTTTATCACTTTCGTTCTGTATGGGACAATGACAATAAAGATTATCATATTGAGAAGGGATTGGGGCGTCTAGATGGCACCTGGGGTCTCTTGTGCCCATAGGGGTGAAAACAGCTGTGCCATTTAAAAAAAGTGTCTGCAGAAAGTTCTCCACATGAAATTAAAAAAACCAAGGCTTGCAACTTGTATTTCAAGAACACAAGCATGCAAGAGAAGCCCTGGACTTCTCTGTAGTGGAGGTCCTGATTGCCTTTCCAATGTCAGAAGTTGTGTCCATCTCAGTCTAGCTATGATCAAGTGGGATTTCCACTTTAAAAAAAGGGGGGGTATATATCATCAACAATTTACATGTTCATCCAACAGCATACTGAAAAACCAGTGCAACTATTTTAAGCGCAAAACTGCTCCAGGGATTTGGAGAGGTGATAGCATTGGTGAAGTCATAAGTATTAGCCAAACAGTATTGCCTCTTCTGTAGCTGGAACTAAATTATTATTATCACCCATTTCATGACTATACTGCTTTATGTTTTTAAGAACAAAATCTCAAAGAGGTTTACAACACATCAAAACGTCAAATAAAACTATCCAGAATAAAACATTACTGAAGAAAGTCAAATATAAAGTATGCATTCAAAGCAACATTAAACAACAGGAAACTAAAATTCTAGATTCAGGTAGGTAGCCGTGTTGGTCTGACACAGTTGAAATAAAAAAATAAAAATTAAAAAATGTCCAGTAGCACCTTATAGACCAACTTAGTTTGATCTGGTATAAGCTTTTGTGGTATCTGAAGAAGTGTGCATGCACATGAAAGCTTATACCAGAACAAACTTAGTTGGTCTATAAGGTGCTACTGGACAATTTTTATTTTTATTAGGAAACTAAAATGTTATCTTAAAGGTTTCAAAATAAAGCCTCGCAAAGGAGGTCAACTACAGAATGGACATTTAATGCAGCAACATTAAAAAAATATATCTTAAGCACTGCAAAAGGAAACATTACTAAAGGAAGTCGGTTATAAAATGCACATTTAAAACAGCATAATTAACAAGAGAATAAAATAGTACCATAAGCATAGGATGTATCTGCTGCTGTTGCTGCCAGTTGTGCCAATGGTGGTTCATTGTGGGCTGCAGCTGTGGAAGCTCAGGCCTGATAACCTGGGCCTCCACTAGGAGACAGCCAAGATGGTCTCTGGCCTTTTCAGTAGCCTCAGCTTTTGCAGCTGGAGTCAATCAGAGACCTGCCCTTCCAGGCCAGGTGGGAAAACGCCTGCTAGGCAGGGAGCAGGTCTTCCAGGATTTGCAGCCGTGAAACCATTTTCCCCCACCCAGACCTCATTGCAGAAAGCAGTGGGTGGTGGAAAATATGGGTGTTTGGAGGGCACTGAAAGTGCTATCAAAACTGCCTCTCTCACTCGAAAACTCACATATGTCCTCTGGGAATATTTTATAGTAAGCGTTTTTGCAAACCCTGAAGATTGCACAGTAAACGTTTTGGGTTGTGTTTTTTTAAAAAAAAACCAAACCAAACCACATGTGCAAAATGAAAGTCTGTGGCTGCAGTCTTGGTTCTAGTTACGCTTGCTTAATCTCATTTATTTCCACGAGGGGAAGCCCATGTAACCGGGTGCACATTTGCAGCATAAACAAGCAAACCCGAACAACACACACAGTTTCTTGCTGGTGCCCTGAAGACATGCAGAACGACGATGGCATTCCACCAATGTGACAAATGCAATATGTTCTGAAGCCTCCGCTGCATTTATTTATTTAAAAAGAGGGTAAAAATAAAATAAAAATTAGCTGCCAGTCATCGGATGAGGAGAAGTGGCGTCTGTGACCCTGGCAGGCCGCCTGATGAACAGCTGGGATCAGAATTCTATCCCTCCTAAACATGCAGAGACTCTGCTTAGTAAGTAGTCTTACCAGATGTCTCTGACACTGCCTGATATTCTTACTGACCATGCAAACAGCTCCAGCCCCAAACCTTCTAGGTCAAACCCTGACCTCAGGCACATCTTCCTCGATATCTCTCACACAGAGAGAAATCTTGCTTTTCAGATGCCATCAAGCGCTCAGGAACATAATAGCCTTTCAGCTGAGTCAGGGGCAACCAACTGGTAGAACAAGGGTCTGTGCCATTGGTGGCCATTGCCAGGCGCCTGCTGAGATTGCCCCCACCTCCAATGCCCCCAGCAGCACCTCATCTTAGGGGTCCCTAAAACCCAGAGCCAGAACTGTAGACCCCACAACACTTTTTGAATGTAGTCCCCAGAGACCTTAAAGCAGCCTTTCTCAACCTGTGGGTCCCCAGATGTTTTTGAACTACAACTCCCAGCACCCCTAGCTAGCAAGGCCAGAGCTCAGGGATGATGGGAGTTGTAGTCCAACAACATCTGGGAACCCACAGGTTGAGCACCGCTGCCTTAAAAGAATATGAATCCTAAAAACATATGAAGGGTCTCTGACATACCCTCCAACATTTCCCTATACAGGGCTGCCTTCAGATGTCTTCTAGAGGTTGTTTAGTTACTTATTTCCCTGGCTCAGGGGTCGCATAACTCCATAACTTCCAACACTTCTCTGATGAAAATAGGGACATCCTAGGGAAAAGTGAGACATTCCAGGATAAATCAGAAACCAGGATAAATCTGTAAATCCGGGACTGACCCTGGGAAATAGGGACACTTGGAGGGTCTGTTCTGATAGACCAAAGGTCCACCTCGTCCAGCATGGGTCATTCCCACAGTGCTCAGTCAGATGCCCAGGGGAAACCCACCAGCAGAATAATGGCCTCAGTAGCACTCAAGGTATGGGAAAGCTTGCACAGTTTTTAGATGTAGGAGAAATTGAGGAGTTGCTGTCAACAGAAGTGCGAGAAAGATGGCAAAGAGTGGGAGAGTCCTTTTATTTACACCAGGGCTAGGGGACCTTTTCCTAGGCAGAGAGTCACATTATTTCCTGGGCAACCTTCCGGGGTGGGGGGTGTCACATGCCAGTGGTGGGAGGGGCCAGAGGTGAAAAGTGGGTGTGGCAATGAAAGTCAATGTCAACTTTGCATAGGAGGCTGGTTTCTACACACACAAAACCCCACCTCCATCCAGGCCGGGAAGAGGCGTTATCTGAGCTCAAGGACACATTCCAGCCAGGCAAACACACTCCAGGAGGATCTAATGAGGGGTGTGGCTGGGGAAGAGGTTTGACCCACAGGGAGTCCTGGAGGCCAGGTACAAAGGCCTCATATCCTCATCTGCCCCAGGCCTGAGCCCCACTGCTAGATTTTTGGATTCTCTATGTAACAGTTCAGCACACGGTCCGTCAAGAAGCTAAATGCACACCTGGCTTCCATACCGCATTCCAGAAAGCACAGTTGCCACCAAATGGCGATGGATGTAGGGACACCAGTACCTGGGGAGCAATGAGAGAAGCGGGCAGTTGCCTTCATGCCCTGCTTTTGAGCTTCCTGGAGACCCATGATTGGTTGCTGAGAGGAGCAGGGATGCTACATTCTGTGCACCTTGGGTCTGATCCAGGAGGCAGGGCTTGCCTTATATTCTCAAGTGGGCAGAAGCTGGACATCTGTAGGTCAGCTCAAGTGGTTTTGCATGGCTGAGATTGGCTCCTCCACGAGGCCTACCAAGCAGCCTTCCCTAACCTGGTGCCTTCCAGGTGCAGTCAGACTCCAACTCCCAACACCCTTGGCCATTGGACCATGCAGACTGGGGCTGATGGGAGTTGCAGTCCAATGCACCTGGAGGGCACAAGGTTAAGGAAGGCTGCTGGGGACCTCCTTGCACCTCCTTCTGGGCACAGGCCAGCAGTGAGAGGCTAAGAAGAAGTCTGCTTCAGTTTGCTGTAACCTCTTCCCTTTCACTTGCAAGCTGTTTCCCTGCCTCCACAGAGTTAGCACCCTTTCTGTCTTCTGATAATGCAAACACACACACAGCCTGCTTGGATGTCCTCCTGCTTCTCATGCCATAGAGGTTACCGGTATTTTAAATTTACCTACAGATGGGAACCGAGAAGACAAATGAAAAATTGATGCAGCACCCTGGAGACTGATTGTTTTATTGTAGGCATGAGGTTTCAGGGGCTATATAAGCGATGTCATCAGATGCCAACAGCAGTCGTGAGTGCTGTGCCTCCTGGACTCTGGTACCGGGCACAGGCAGAAAATAGAAACAGGAGGAAGGGGCAGCAGCCAGTCTGGGCATTTGCCAGCCAAAGTGGCCAAGGTGTAACGGAGAGGGGAGGGGGGCCTGGCCCATGCGGTGCAGATGTGGCAGGATTCTGCACAGGTGTGAGTCAAGGGCTTGTGGTCCCCCTCTGCTGCTCTGAGGCAACAGCCAATAAGTACACAAGCTGGGAACAGCCAGGAATTTGCCTGCACAGGTCATCAGATGCACAAGGGGGTTGTTCAATTACTCATCTGCCCTTCCTGAAATGAATGACTCTGCACACACACACAGAGAGAGAGACAATCCACATATTTCCTCAGCAACCTCATGAGAGAGGTTAAGCCAGCCTTTCACAGCTTGGCACCCCCTAGATCAGTGTTTCCAAAACTTGGTCTCCAGCTATTTGTTGTTTTTTTTTAAGACTACAGTTCCCATCATCCCTGACCACTGGTCCTGCTAGCTTGGGTTGATGGGAGTTGTAGTCCAAAACAGCTGGAGACCCAAGTTTGGGAACCCCCGCCCTAGATGTTCCAGACTGTGATGCCTGTGGGCTGTGGATGATGGACGTCATAGCGCAAAACACCAAGACGTTTCCATGCCAATGACTTGCAAGGCAATTCCTATTACCAGAGCGCTTAGAAATGTGGCTGAGTCTGTGTGTTGTGCATGCGAGCCCCATGCCCAATATCCCTGCATGCACAGCCTCCACTTCAGACATTCAGTGCAAAAAGGTCTGAAGAGGGCTTCTTCCTGCCTGCATTCATCTGAACATCCATGGAAGCCTTTCCTCAGCTGAGAACCCCTGATAGGGCTGGATTCCCTGACACAGGGAGGCTCCCAGGACAGTTGTGGGGAACCTTTGACCCTCCAGGTATTGCACAAGCGCCCTCTCCCCTCCCGTGGTTTCCAGCAACTTGTATTCAGGAGCCATCATGGCTAGGAGCTTTCGATAGCCCTCTCCTCCAGGAATTTGCCCTAGCATCCAAGCCTTCCTGAAGCAGGGAAATGGCTATAGGAACCTAGTCACAAGATACATGGAGGATGTGTTAAACAGAGAGTTAAATGGTGAGCTTAGGAACTGAATCAATCTATTGATCCATCTAGTTACTGCTCTGATTAACAGCTGCTCTCCAAGGTGTCAGTCAAAAGTGGTTTCCAGCCCTGTTACCTAAGATTCTTAAGCAGGAGATGCTGGATATTTCATTATATTTATTGCATTTATATCCCAGCATCCCCGCCTCCTCCAAGGAGCTCAAGAGGGCATGCTCAACGCCTTGCTCAATGCCCACAACAACCCTGTGAGGTAGGTTAGGCTGAGAGAGGAAGTGACTGGTACAAGGTCACCCAGTGAGCTTCGTGGTCCAGTGGGGATTTGAATGGGTGGTGCTGTGGGTTAAACCACAGAGCCTAGGACTTGCCGATCAGAAGGTGAGCGGTTTGAATCCCCACGACAGGGTGAGCTCCTGTTGCTCCTGCCCATCTAGCAGTTTGAAAGCACATCAAAGTGCAAGTACATAAATAGGAACCACTCTGGCAGGAAGGTAAACGATGTTTCAGTGCACTGCTCTGGTTCGCCAGAAGCAGCTTAGTCATGCTGGCCACATGACCCGGAAGCTGTATGCCGGCTCCCTCAGCCAGTAAAGTGAGATGAGCGCCGCAACCAGAGTCATTCACAACTGGACCTAATGGTCAGGGGTCCCTTTACCTTTACTCCTGGTGTGACACTCTAATCATTACTCCACACTGCTATAGGGAGACCTTCTGCATGCAAGGCATGGGCACTGCCGCTGCGAGGTCCAGACATTCCAGAATCACTCAGAGGCTGGGAAATGCATGGATCCAGCCCTTTGTTATCAAAAATGTAAGCCAGCGGTTGTTATGATCCTGGTGGCACAGGGAAAAGTAAACATTCCCCACTGAACAAATAAAAAACCAACTTCCAGAGGTGTGTCTGCATTTAGTCTGCCACAGCAAAAACGATGAAAGAGCCTGGTGCCAACCTAAAGACTATACGACATAAGCTATAGTGACCCACTGAAGTCCACTTCATCAGACACATGAAAAGGTAAAGGTAAAGGGACCCCTGACCATTAGGTCCAGTCGTGGCCGACTCTGGGGTTACGGAGCTCATCTCGCTTTATTGGCCGAGGAAGCTGGTGTACAGCTTCCGGGCATGTGGCCAGCATGACTAAGCCGCTTCTGGCGAACCAGAGCAGTGCACGGAAATGCCATTTACCTTCCCGCCGGAGCGGTACCTATTTATCTACTTGCACTTTGATGTGCTTTCAAACTGCTAGGTTGGCAGGAGCAGGGACCGAGCAATGGGAGCTCACCCTGTCGTGGGGATTCGAACCGCTGACCTTCTGATCGGCAATCCTAGGCTCTGTGGTTTAACCCACAGCGCCACCCGCGTCCCCAGACGCATGGAAGGTAATGTTAAATTGGTAGGTAAATAGACAGGTGCATATTTCCTGTGGGGGAGAGCAGAGGGGGTGGAGAGGAGATGAGAGGAGGAAACAAGACTGCAATAAGGACAGTGATAATTATGGAAAAGCAAAATAGTTACAGTGACAACAAGGCAGTGTTGGTGGTAACGCAAGCATCCTGGCACTGGCAAACTAGTTAACACATGCAGTGCAATGACAATCCCTAATCTCAATTCAGGACGCAAGTGGCAGGATTGAATATCCTGATCAACTGCAATTCAGTGGTTTCACATTGCAGTTCCACCTTTGAAGTTCTTTTACCCAAGCACAGCCATGTTAAGGTCAAACGAGTCTTGCACCACATAATTAAGAAAACAAGTGCAATTAAGCACCAGTGGACATGATAAAGTAACTAATTACAGTATAGAATCTAGGACTGGCAGACGGTACTGAATGTGTAACAGCATTTTGCAATGAAAAAAGGGCAGCTGAGATGCAATATAAGCTAGCTCCCTGTTTGTTTTCTTAACATACTTCTATCCCGACTTCCATTTCACAATATCAGAGCCAGTTACAACGATGAACACGTAAATATAAGATGCAAAATGAGAAATGATCCAGTAGCACCTAAGGTAAAAGGTAAAGGGACCCCTGACCATTAGGTCCAGTTGTGAACGACTCTGGGGTTCCGGCGCTCATCTCGCTTTACTGGCCGAGGAAGCCGGCGTACAGCTTCCAGGTCATGTGGCCAGCATGACTAAGCCACTTCTGGAAAAACCAGAGCAGAGCACGGAAACGCCGTTTACCTTCCCGCTGGAGCGGTACCTATTTATCTACTTGCACTTTGACGTGCTTTCGAACTGCTAGGTTGGCAGAAGCAGGGACTGAGCAACAGGAGCTCACCCCGCCACAGGGATTCGAACCACTGACATTCTGATCAGCAAGCCCTAGGCTCTGTGGTTTAACCCACAGCGCCACCCGCATCAAAAACAACTGAAAGATGGTCACAAAACATATTGTGCAGCCAACATGACTGCAATCACAGCAGCAACTCATACTAACACCTTGGAAAGGCCTTTCCTTAGTGTCGAAATGTCAACAAGGTCAGTGGCCAGTCTCACTTCCCAGGGGATGGCAGTCCATAACTGGGGTGCCACCACAGAGAAGGCACTACCTCGTGTCACCACCCAACATATCTCCCCCACCCCCCACCCCCCGAGCCGTGGGACTCCCAACAGATCAAAGAGACTAAGGCAAGTTGATCCAGGGACAAGGCATGCCTTCAGCTACCCTTCTCGCAAGGAGATGTCCAAGAATGGTTCCTTTTCATCCTGGAGAAGAGTGACTAGTGGGGTGCCACAGGGTTCTGTCTTGGGCCCGGTCTTATTCAACATCTTTATCAACGACTTGGATGATGGACTCAAGGGCATCCTGATCAAATTTGCAGATGACACCAAACTGGGAGGGGTGGCTAACACCCCAGAGGACAGGATCACACTTCAAAACGACCTTGACAGATTAGAGAACTGGGCCAAAACAAACAAGATGAATTTTAACAGGGAGAAATGTAAAGTATTGCACTTGGGCAAAAAAATGAGAGGCACAAATACAAGATGCGTGACACCTGGCTTGAGAGCAGTACATGTGAAAAGGATCTAGGAGTCTTGGTTGACCACAAACTTGACATGAGCCAACAGTGTGACACGGCAGCTTAAAAGCCAATGCAATTCTGGGCTGCATCAATAGGAGTATAGCATCTAGATCAAGGGAAGTAATAGTGCCACTGTATTCTGCTCTGGTCAGACCTCACCTGGAGTACTGTGTCCAGTTCTGGGCACCACAGTTCAAGAAGGACACTGACAAACTGGAACGTGTCCAGAGGAGGGCAACCAAAATGGTCAAAGGCCTGGAAACGATGCCTTATGAGGAACGGCTAAGGGAGCTGGGCATGTTTAGCCTGGAGAAGAGGAGGTTAAGGGGTGATATGATAGCCATGTTCAAATATATAAAAGGATGTCACATAGAGGAGGGAGAAAGGTTGTTTTCTGCTGCTCCAGAGAAGCGGACACGGAGCAATGGATCCAAACTACAAGAAAGAAGATTCCACCTAAACATTAGGAAGAACTTCCTGGCAGTAAGAGCTGTTCGACAGTGGAATTTGCTGCCAAGGAGTGTGGTGGAGTCTCCTTCTTTGGAGGTCTTTAAGCAGAGGCTTGACAACCATATGTCAGGAGTGCTCTGATGGTGTTTCCTGCTTGGCAGGGGGTTGGACTCGATGGCCCTTGTGGTCTCTTCCAACTCTATGATTCTAAGAAGCTGTGGGGTCTTTCGCTAAAAAGTGGGGAGGGGGAGGCTGGACCTCACTTCTAATCTCTAAGGTTGAGATCACATGTGCACATTCCAGCCCTTTATTGATCACTTGGGAATCTTTCCTCCACTCTATGGTGTCCCCAGTTTTGCATTTCCTTTTCTGGTGAGAGAGAAACAACTTCCATACCAGCCTGCCCTGAAGACAGGCCCGAAAAATCCCCCCAAAGAAACTTGGGAGCTGTGATTCACCCCTCACCGAGCTACAATTCCCAGCATTCTTGACAAACTACAATTTCCAGGATTCTTGGGGGGGGGGGTCATGTACTTTAAGTGTATGGTGTGTGCACATATGATCCTGTGCAGCTAGACCCAGATGCAATCAATCATCATGCACCTGGTGACGATCTGGGTAACGTTTCTGTGTCGCATTGCCAAATGCCATTTTCTTCACCGCCCTCCCTTCCAATGAAACTCCAGCGAAACTGACATGGTTTCCCCCCAATCTTGCCAGTTGTCAGTTCTCCCACAGATGGGTTGTGGAAAGGAAAAGTGAAAGAAATAGGGCACCCCGCAGATGCCCACAGATTTGGGTAAGGTGGAGGAATTGTACCTGTGTCATTCCTGTCAACAGGGATGAAACGGATGTATTCATACAACGCAGAGGAGCAGAATTGTAAAAAGAGAAGAGGAAGGAGGGAGACGATAATGACTGCACTTCCAAAACGGACACAACTCTGGGAGGGGGGGCGGAAGTGATGGCTGGAAGACACTGTTTTTATCATTACCGTATTTTTCCGTGTATAAGACGACCCCTAATTTTTTGAGCCCAAAATTAAGAAATAAATAATTCTGTGTATAAGACGACCCCCAATTTTAAACTTTAAAAAATTGCAAAAAAAATATCGTCTTATGCACAGAAAAATAAAGTAACTTTAATAGATGTTATGAACTGTATGCTTTTTGTAATTTTTATGTAAGCTGCTTAGAAAATTTGGTAATCAACCTTTTTAAGAAGACAAAAAGAATAAAAGTTCAATTTATTTAACTATATTTCTAATCCACCTTCCAACAGAAATGTTCCCAAGGCAGCGGAGACACACACACACACAAACACTACAGATATAACATTAATCTGAGGGCCACACGCCAGTTGTGGGGTGGAGCTGGAGGTGAAAATGGATGGAGGAATGAATTGTACGTATAAAAAAATTGCCGAAAGCAACACCAAGCAGCCTCAAGTGATTCCAGAATGCCTGATGGGACAAACAAGCAAAAGTATTCACAAGAGACCAGAGAAGAGCAGTGACAAATCTGTCAGTTCATAGGCAAGAGCACATTTCTCATGGGTGACTCAAAAAGAGGGGGAGGTTGAAATGGGAAGCCAGAGCCACCTTCCTGCATGGCCTTTCATATATTTCAAAACCTGATCCAAGCAGATTTACAGCCACGTGTCAGTCTTAAATACAGGAGCATGAGAAGTTGCCCTGGGAACTTTAGTTTCCTAAGGGTGCTGGAGGAGTTATAGCTTTGTGAGGGGACTGCAGCGCCTAGGATTCTTTGGAGAAAGTCGTGTGTTTCAAATGTGGTTCAGATATGCTTTTAAGGTATGGTGTGATGGCCTGGGATTCGGACTCGGATGCTGAACCAGAGGGATCCCAGCCTGCACAGGATTCCCCGCCTCCAGAACCAGCTGAGCCGGGGCTGGGGCCTGAGCCTGAAGGGTCCTCACCTGTGCTGGATCCTCAGGTGCAGGCACCAGCTGAGTCTGCTCTGACTCCTGAGGTGGTGGAGGACCCATTGCCTGCAGGTGCTCCAGGCCAGAAGAGGCGAGTCACCAGAGGATCGAGGCCTCCCTATGCCTCGGGGCAGATAAAAGCCGGCCAGCCCCAGTCCCAAGTTGTGGGTGCAACATTGTTGGTTGCTAGTTCCTGCCTGAACCCTGTCCTGCTTTCCTGCCTGAGCTCCTGACTTGCCCTGGCTCCTTGCTTGCAAGCCTGTTCCTGACTTCACCCGACTCCCTGCCCTGCACCCAGCTTCAGCTACTACGGACTGCCTCCACATTGCATCTTTGACCACAGACCAGACTTGGACCTCACCTCTCGGGTAACCCATGGGACCAGCACATATGGTGTGGATCTGGCCCTCAATTGGACCACTGCTTCATCTACATCTGTACTGTCTACATTGACCAAGGGCACCTCTCTAGGGATTCTTCCAGAGCTTGCCTGGGATCTTCTGCACACAAACACTTTTCTGCTGAGCTTAAGTGCTTTGCAACTGCTTAGAGCAGTGGTTCTCAACCTATGAGTCCCTAGATGTTGTTGGACTACAACTCCCATCATCCCTGAGCTCTGGCCTTGCTAGCTAGGGGTGATGGGAGTTGTAGTTCAACAACATCTGGGGACCCACAGGTTGAGAAAGGCTGCCTTAGAGCAACGGTGGGGAAACCTTTTCATTCCCTTTCTGGGGGACACTTTCTGAGGGCCACATACCGGGGTGGGCGCAGCCAGAGCCAAAAGCGGTTGAAGTAATGAATGCAAATTTTTACCATTTTTTAGAAGGCTGGTTTCTACACCCACCTGTGCAACCCACTCTTATCCTCCAGCCACACAACCATAGTTCAAGGAGAGGCCTGAGGTCCAAATAGAGAAATTACAAGGGCCACATTCGGACTCCTGGCAGAAATTCTCAGCATCCCTTAAAATGCTTAATCCCATGCTTAAGAACATCCTGGGTTCAAAAGCCCTTTCAGTAGCAGTCCTGGGCATCTTGCTTTCTTCCAGCAACCGAGAGGGAATAGAAGAACAGAGGAGGCAGAAGGAAAAACTTGTGCCTGCATCCAGTGCTGAGCGCATACCAGGCTGAAAACAAACCAGCATCTGCACCAGGGAAAGCTGCGGCCTTGTAGTAAAGGTAAAGGGACCCCTGACCATTAGGTCCAGTCATGGCCGACTCTGGGGTTGCTGCCCTCATCTCGCTTTCCTGGCTGAGGGAGCCGGTGTACAGCTTCCAGGTCATGTGGCCAACCAGAGCAGCAGATGGAAACGCCGTTTACCTTCCCGCCGGAGCGGTACCTATTTATCTACTTGCACTTTGACGTGCTTTCGAACTGCTAGGTTGGCAGGAGCTGGGACTGAGCAATGGGAGCTCACCCCATCGCAGGGATTCGAACTGCTGACCTTCTGATCGGCAAGTCCTAGGCTCTGTGGTTTAGACCACAGCGCCACCCGCCTCCCTGTGGCCTTGTAAGAATTAGGCAAATGTACATGATTGCTCTTGCTAAATGATGGGGAAGGTCAACAACTTATTTGGGGCTCTAAGGTGAATCAGGCAGCTAAGGAAGGGCGCTCCACACTCTGCCTGCTGCTGCTTCTGGTGATGTTGATGGATCCTGATGATGAATCCTGACAGAGCTCTAAATATTGGAGCAGAGAGAGAGAGAGAGAGAGAGAGAGAGAGAGAGAGATGAAGAGGGATCTCAGCCAATAACCGCAACAGCTCAAGGGAGCACCAAGTCTTGATCTGCCTTGGATACGAACGGCGAAACCAGCCTTTCCTCTCCTTGCTGGAAACCACGATGTGTGAGGCAAGGGAGCCCCAGACTTTACCCCGTGCCCAGACAGCTGATGTGCCAATCCCTTTGGTTCCGGTCTGCTGTTTTACTGCTAATGCAACAAATAGCCTCAGGGGCGGCGAAGAGGGAGATACGGTATCCATTATGGCAAGCTGGGAAGAGCCCTTGCATTGAGTGCTGAAGTTAGCGTGTTTGTTTTTGCTTTGCGTTTGGGGACTAGAGATCGCAACTCGAAGGCACAGAAGGGCCTTTCGGCTGCTTTGCTTTTGTTTTACTCTTCCATTTGTTTAGCTTCATGTCCTTCCCTTTACCCTTTCCATCTATTTTTTCCCCTGCAGCGCTTTAAGATGATTTCCTGAGATTCAGGCAAGGGATTTTCCATGCAAGAAGAGACGCCTTCAAGGTGGCAGCAAAAAAAATAACAATACCAAACCTTCTGTTCCTTTGGGCATATTTACTCTTCCCCCTACTTCCCCGCCAGAATAACATTTAATTTAACAAACCATCAGCTAAAGACGGGGGGAGAAATTCATTCAGTAATCTGCACTTCCTGAGCCAGTAAGTGAACTGAAAACCCAGCTGTCATTCAAAACACACACTTTTCTGAATTTTGTGATGCAGTCCTCCGACGAAAAAGTGGGCACAAGAAAACACGTATTAGTGAAAATAATGTGCAACACTACAATGTATTTCATGAGCTTGCTTGCACAAAATGTTTATTGCTTGCACAACTTTTAGAGGACATCTGAAGGCAGCCCTGTATTGGGAAGTTTTTAATGTTTGATATATTATTACGTTTTTATATGTGTTGGAAGCCACCCGGAGTGGTTGGGGCAACCCAGCCAGATGAGCGGAGGTATAAATAATAAAATTATTATTAGGCAAAACTGCATATATTGGGAGAAGTAAAAATGCATGCACATTTCTAAGCAGACCTTTCACAAATATGCTGAAATGAGACCAGCTGAAGTTAATGTTGGCAAGAAGAAAAACTAAGAGAAACCAAAATTGGTAGATTCATCCATTCCTACTAGCGACCAACATTAAACCAGTGCCCTGTGAATTCCTTGTCTCCATACCAGAGTTCTTCCATCAACATCACAGAAAGAGAGAAAGAAAACTCACACCGAAGAAAGCAGTGCTGAAAATATCCCAGGATGCCCACTGTTGAGGAGTGGGATATTCTGGGCCTGTTTAAAGTGCTCCAGCCTCTATGATGCTCCCATTGTAGACACGGAAGACTTCAGGGCTTGGGGAATCAAGTTTGTGTGTTGCAAGAACTCCAAGTCCCATCAGCTGGATCCATGGGCAAAGAGCATGGTGCCCTGGTACAGCTGCTGAGCATAGGGGTTTGTTCTGTTTTTTCAGTACTACCTTGCCAACAAAGGCCTGTATAGTTAAAGCTATGGTTTTCCCAGTAGTGATGTATGGAAGTGAGAGCTGGACCATAAAGAAGGCTGATCACCGAAGAATTGATGCTTTTGAATTATGGTGCAGGAGGAGACTCTTGAGAGTCCCATGGACTGCAAGAAGATCAAACCTCTCCATTCTGAAGGAAATCAGCCCTGAGTGCTCACTGGAAGGACAGATCGTGAAGCTGAGGCTCCAATACTTTGGCCACCTCATGAGAAGAGAAGACTCCCTGGAAAAGACCCTGATGTTGGGAAAGATGGAGGGCACAAGGAGAAGGGGACGATAGAGGACGAGATGGCTGGACAGTGTTCTCAAAGCTACCAGCATGAGTTTGACCTGCGGGAGGCAGTGGAAGACAGGACTGCCTGATGTGCTCTGGTTCATGGGGTCACGAAGAGTCAGACACGACTAAATGACTAAACAACAACAGCAGCAGCAGCTACCATCACAGCCCTTCCATACAAAGATCATATTTTTAGTTACCCTAAGCTTTCTTCACTTAAGCGGTCTAACTGGGGCAGGGACAGTCATTTTTATTTGAGGGTGGCACAGTCATTAACCACTGGCGACAGGGGGGACAGCCAGTGGGCTGGCGGCAACACCTCCAGCACCTGCTGCTTGAAACACCTGCCTCCCTCTGCTTAATGGTGGGGCTGGGCCAGGCTGCAGTACCACCCCTGGCCATCTGTTATGATGGGGGCGCTACACTGCAGCAGAGGACAAGCCAGCAGTGTCTTCCTTCACTATGGTGGCACATTGAATAATTTTCCCGAATCCTCCTGCAACTACAATTTCTGGTCTGAGGCCGTTGGCATCTTGTTTCCATTCTGGCTAAAGGAAACCACAATCCTCAAGGATCATTTGACAAGTTAACATTTTCTTCATGAACCTTGTTGATTGGCACTGCTAATTCCACATCTGGCTTTTTTAAATTTCCACATTAAAATTCCACATTAGCTTTTTTAATTTTTCCAGGCTTTATTATGAAGTTAAAGTAACAATCCAATAGGAAATAGGAAATAAATAAAAGAGAGAGCGAGAAGTACCAATCCCCCTCCCCCCGAAACCCCAGGGTTCACAGTCATTACCTCATAAAATAAAGGCCATTCTCAACAGGTTACTCATTGAATTAGATGTTACAACAAGAGTCGAAAGCAGATATTATGAATAAAATAAAAAACACACATATTTCATTGGGCCTTGCCATCTCTGTGATTGGCTTGTCATGTAAGTAAAAAGTATCTCCAACTGAAGACAAAATCCATAGGTTTATCTGCACCTTGAGATACCCTTAATTTTTAAGTAAATTTCTCAGAAGTTAGAATAATCATTACTGTATGAAACCAAATAGTTAAAAGAAAAACCTGAAACTTCCCTCTTTACATTTGAGACACTAAAACGTAGCACAAATCCTAACACACTACCTCTCTCTCACACAAACACACTGCTGCCAGATAATCCCATTCGCTTCTCAGTGGTTTTCTAAAGCTACTGACCATTGGTGTTTGTCCAAAAAGCACTCCTCCTGCTTTCCAACTGGACTCCACAAATGGAAATTAATTGAGCATTGATATTGATGATAGGCTTCTATATTTAGCAGGCTGTTTAGTAGCCAAAGCATAGAAAGATGATCAATATGGATGCATTACTTTTTTCAGGAAAGCTGTGCCAGGGCACAAACTGGAATGCTACCCTTATGAGAGAAAATGTGCTGGGTAACATTGAGATACAGAATTACAAAGGTTCAGGGAGGCTTCCTAGCCCACACCTGTGCCTCCCCACCCCACCACTGGAATTCCAAAGCTAGATTTACGCAATGCAAAACTGAACAGTCCCCTCACACGTTACAAGTTTAAGCGTTGTGCACACAGATGTTAAGCTCATTTAACATGTGAATGCCACAGATAACCATTTGCAAGCAGGACTCTCAGACAGGTACATCTATCAGGGAGATGGCATTGCAAGATGCTGTCCAGAGTGTATAGTTGGTGGGAAAACTCACTGCTAGGGTTCACTCCTGGACCCTGAGATCTCCTTGGAGGAAGAGCTGGGGGAACAGGACCCCTTCCAGCAGATGTCCACACTCCCAGTGACCTCAAAGAACCACTGAATCGTTAGGTCACTGCCCCAAGAGGACCAGAAGTCTTCACAACAGCAATGCAGGTTCCTGGTTGGCTCTCAGATTTCCCTCCTCTGCTCCAGGGACACAGGAAGAGAGGAGACAAGGGAACGAGGCAGGATTTTCAGGGCTGCTAACAAAGTGCCCAGCTAGCTGCCTACTTGAGAGGAAAGGGAAACACCTGGAAACCAAGGGAAGCCTGCTGCGTGAGATCAAAGACTTGTCCAGGCTGACATCATGATATTGCCAAGTTTTGCTGATTGTTTTGATGCTGTGCACCACCTAGAGATTTTAAGCAACAGTAAATGGTTTATAAATGCTTTTAAATAAACAAATGAAACATAGCCTATTAGGATTAAGGTAAAGGTAAAGGTACCCCTGCCCGTACGGGCCAGTCGTGTCCGACTCTAGGGTTGTGCGCCCATCTCAATTAAGAGGCCGGGGGCCAGTGCTGTCCGGAGACACTTCCGGGTCACGTGGCCAGCGTGATGAAGCTGCTCTGGCGAGCCAGCACCAGCGCAGCACACGGAACGCCGTTTACCTTCCCGCTAGAAAGCGGTACCTATTTATCTACTTGCACTTAGGAGTGCTTTCGAACTGCTAGGTGGGCAGGAGCTGGGACCGAAAGACGGGAGCTCACCCCGCCGCGGGGATTCGAACCGCCGACCATGCGATCGGCAAGCCCTAGGCACTGAGGTTTTACCCACAGCGCCACCCGCGTCCCTCTTAGGATTACCTATGCATGATATCTATGCATGATCTATTAGGATTACCCTGCATGAAATCTGTCATATTCCCTTTTTTCCCAAGGCCATCTCCCCTAGTGGCCATTTTGTGGTGGTGCGTCTTCCTTGTTTAGTTTACACAAGCTTTGCACAAGGTGAGGTTTTGTTTTGTTTTTGCAGCAGTGGGTTTTCACTGCTATTGAAAAGACAGTGCGAAGCAGATCCAGCTTATCCCCCCTGGGACGACCCCAAAGGTGTCCAATGTGGATTGGGACCACAGTGGGGTTGCCAAGAGTTAACCCCCTAGGGTGACAGGCCTGTTCAGATGGATAAAAACATCAAACGGCCATTCAGCTGAGGAAATGGTAGCAGGTGCCACATAATACTCTGCGCATACAAGGTGCTAGAGCATGAACCTCTTAATCTCAAGGTCATGGGTTTGAGCCCCACGTTGAGCCAAAGATTCTTGCATTGCGGGGGGTTGGACTAGATGACCCTCGTGGTCCCTTCCAACTCTACCGTTCTATGGTTCTATTATCTTTCAGTTTGGGAGCATCTGCAGTTTGGAACTCCCTACCTATTGACACTTTCTGGCACTTGCTCACAGCATGTTCGTTTAGCCAAACCTCTCCTAAACATGCAGAAACATTACATGTGTTTTCTCTTTGGGGCTACTGTTATCTTTTCAGTGTTTCTAAATAATAATAATAATAATAATAATAATAACAATAATAATTTATTATTTGTACCCCACCCATCTGGCTGGGTTTCCCCAGCCACTCTGGACGGCTTCCAACAAAGATTAAAAATACATTAAAATGTCACACATTACAGTGGTACCTCGGGTTAAGTACTTAATTCGTTCCGGAGGTTCGTTCTTAACCTGACACTGTTCTTAACCTGAAGCACCACTTTAGCTAATGGGGCCTCCTGCTGCTGCCGCGCCGCTGGTGCGCGATTTCTGTTCTCATCCTGAAGCAAAGTTCTTAACCTGAAGCACTATTTCTGGGTTAGGGGAGTCTGTAACCTGAAGCGTATGTAACCTGAAGCATATGTGACCCGAGGTACCACTGTAAAATCTTCCCTGAACAGGGAACACCCATTTTAAACTGTTCTTTTATCGAGAATTTCCACGCTTTGTTTCATATCGTTGTAAACCGCTTACAGGCTTTCTTGCAACCAAGTGGTATACAAATCTTGCTAAAGAAAACAGAGAATGCCTTGATGGCATCAAAGAGCCTTTGTCATCAACACGTGATGCTTTCGTGCTTCTCTTTCTCTCTCTCCCCCTCCCTCCACACCAATGGCATTTTACCCAGGACCAAAATATGCCCAGAGAGGCTGTCACAGCTGAAAACAATAAGAATGCAACTCTTGCAGGAATGCCCAATCTTATGCAATCTCCGTTATGATTTCTAGGCCAAAAGAGGCATGTGAATATCAGATGCTTATGTGAACTGATCAGCCCCAACATCTTTCCTTCCTTCTTCCTCCATTGCTCTCTTCTTTCCTGTCTTGTTTATTCCCCTCTGCGACTGAACAGCGGGCATGTTTTATTATCACCTTGAGCATCGCAGCGAAAACCATTTCAAATCTGGGGACCAATTGTTCATTTCCTGCCACAGCTCTTCCATATGGATTGAATGGTAATCTCAAGTTATGGTTTTGAGGCAAAGAACCTCTCTCTCTCTCTCTCTCTCTCTCTCCCCCCTTCTCCGTCAAATGATAGACATTTTAGGGTTTTCCTGTGGTTTATTTCCTAGGGGGGGAAAAGTGTTGGTACTCACCATGAAGTTGTTACAGTAAGTACAGCCAAAAAACCCAATTGGGTATAAGTAATAAATTGTTGTTGTTGTTCTGTTGTTGTTGTACGCAGCCCATAATAATAAAACAATGCATCCGCTATATCAGTTTGAAACATCTCCTTTTACAGCGCCTAGGAGGAGGGAGCAAATCTGAAGCAAAGCACTCAAAGATATCTGGATTTTTGCAGGCTGAATGCCATCTGAGAGGGAGTTCGGTAGTTGTGGCACCACCATTGATAATTCCCTATCTCGTTTCACTCCCCTCTTGGCTTCTACTGTGGATTGGACAACAAGAAAGGGCATCTTTTGACGAGCAAAGCAGCTGGGTTGGTAGCAGAGAAGATGCTGCCATAGGTACTTTGTTCCATGTCATTTAAGGCTTTATATGCTAATAGCCAAACCTAATTAGAACATAAGTACCTGAAAAGAGCCCTGCTACAGTGGGGATGGCCCATTCTGGAGGCTGCTCAGAGTGGCTGGAGCAACGCAGTCAAATGGGCGGGGTACAAGTAATAATTTTTTGTTTTGTTGTTATTTAGTCTAGCATCCTGTTCTCACAATGGCCAATCAGTTGTCTATAGGAAGCCTGCAGACAGGACCTGAGTGAACTGGTGCTAGGTAAAGGTAAAGGGACCCCTGACCATTAGGTCCAGTTGTGGCCGACTCTGGGGTTGCAGCGCTCATCTCGCTTTACTGGCCGAGGGAGCCGGCATACAGCTTCCAGAATGACTAAGCCACTTCTGTCGGCGGTTCGAATCCCTGCGACGGGGTGAGCTCCCAATGCTCGGTCCCTGTTCCTGCCAACCTAGCAGTTCGAAAGCTTATCTTGCTTTACTGGCCGAGGGAGCCAGCGTACAGCTTCCGGGTCATGTGGCCAGCATGACTAAGCCACTTCTGGCGGAACCATAGCAGCACACGGAAACGCCATTTACCTTCCCGCCAGAGTGGTACCTATTTATCTACTTGCACTTTGACGTGCTTTCGAACTGCAGGGTTGGCAGGAGCTGGGACCGAACAACGAGAGCTCACCCCGTCGCGGGGATTCGAACCGCTGACCTTCTGATCGGCAAGTCCTAGGCTCTGTGGTTTAACCCACAGAACTAGTGTTAGGGTTGCCATATTTTGAAAAGCAAAGAAGAGAACACATTTGCCAACTTCTACTTTTAACTGAGGATCGCTACGACTCCCATTTTAAATACCCATTTTAAAGAAAGAGAATGTGTCCTGGAAAAAGAGGACTATATGGCAACCCTATTTTTAGTGTCCTCCCCTGTTGTGATTCCCAGGGAGTTGGGATTCACAGGCATTAAAAGTCCCCCTTTCCACTTTATCCTGAGAACAGCCCCTGCAAGGGGTGTTCTCACAGGGGTGAGAGTGCCTGACCCGGCACCCCAGGAAACAGCAAGGTTAAACAAGGATTTCAACTGAGAGCTCTCCCATCCAAAACCAACACTTGAGCTACTGCAACACACTGTTCTTTAGTTTTAGAAAAATGTACAGATGTACAAGTCGAGCGGGTTGCAAGTGTGCAGGTAGACAGTCAAGGCATATGCGCAGTTTTAGGAAATGTGCAAGGGTATAAGGTGGAGCAGGTTGCAAGTGTTCAGGGAGAAAGAGTTGGCTAATCCCAAAGCAACAGCAGCACCTCTGAAGCCTGCCATGTCTAAGAAAGAAAACTAATTTCAAACACTTGCAGACCTGCAAGCAGTTGTGGCTACTTGCACTCCAGATGCTCAGAAAAGCAGGTGGTCAGTTTTAAAGCCATCAACAGCCATTGCGAACCATCGAGTCTCAAAAAGACTGGGTTTTTTTGGTGTAAGACAACATGCCTAACGCAATATATCCAGGTTGCTTTCGCATTTATTTTACAGTGGTACCTCGGGTTAAGTACTTAATTCGTTCCGGAGGTCCGGACTTACTTAACCTGAAACTGTTCTTAACCTGAAGCACCACTTCAGCTAATGGGGCCTCCTGCTGCTGCCGCACCGCCAGAGCACAATTTCTGTTCTCATCCTGAAGCAAAGTTCTTAACCTGAAGCACTATTTCTGGGTTAGTGGAGTCTGTAACCTGAAGTGTATGTAACGTGAAGCGTATGTAACCCAAGGTACCACAGAAGGCATGGAGATGGGGGCCTTTCGGGTCAAGAGAAATGATCTCCATTGGGAGTTTATCGGAATAGGGATGAGGCTGAGAAACAAGAGAAGAAGAAGTGGCAGAAGGAAAAGATGGTGATGCTAGCCACAGCAGTGAAGCAAGACTACCGCCCTTTAAATGGAGGGAGAGGGCGGGGAAGGAATCCACCACTGGGAAGGAATCAATGTGCGAATTGCAAGAAGGAGGGTCATTGGAAGCGGGAGTGTCCTGAACCCCTGAGGTTGGAAGAAGTACGCCCAGGCCCAGGCCCAGGCTCCGGCCCAAGAAACCAGGGACGGGGACGGGGAATGATCCGAGATGGAAGATATCAGAGACCTGGACAAGGACGGAGTAGAGACAATTTCATTGGACTGGCAGAGGAGGATTTTACCCAAGACTAGGAACGACTGGACTCCATAAAGTTAGGCTTCCAGGAGCCCACGGTCAAAATTCAATTAGGGAGCCATTTAATAGACTTTATGATAGATACTGGCGCTGAATACTCAGTACTCCCAGAACTATTGCAGAAAAAGGCATCCAAAAGTGTAGTCATTAAAAGTGCCACTGGTCAGTCAGCTAAGAGGTCTTTCCTCCAACCTTTAGAATGCCAGATTGGGGACATCATTTAACCCATCAGTTTTTGTATATACCTGAGTGTCCAATGCCTCTCTTAGGTAGAGATATGCTGTCCAAATTGCAGGCCCAAATCACCTTCACTCCTCGAGGTCCAGAAATGAAACTGCCATCAAAGGCAGCAGGAATAATTTCCCTCTCAGTACCTAAGGAACAATCATGGCGCCTAATGTCAGCCCTGCAAGTCCAACCCACATTGGATACAGAATTAAACAAGCTCCTCCGAACCCTACAAGTGCCACCAGGAGTATGGGCCGAAAATAGCCCACCAGGAATGGCTAAGAATATAGCTCCAATTGTAGTAACCCTAAAACCTATGGCTACCCCTGTATCTGTAAAGCAATATCCTTTACCCGAGCGAGCAGCAGAGGGCATCCAGAAACATTTGGACCGCCTATTAAAATATGGTCTGCTTAAGCCCTGCCAATCAGAATGGAACACACCCTTTTGCCTGTTCGGAAGCCTGGGACAGATGAATACAGGCCAGTACAGGACTTGAGGCTCGTAAACCAGGCTATCGAGACCTTGCACCCAAATGTACCAAACCCATATACCTTGCTGAGTTTGATCCCACCAGAAGCAACAATTTTTACTGTATTGGACTTGAAAGATGCATTCTTCTGTTGCCGGCTGGCACCACAGAGCCAACCTATATTTGCCTTCCAGTGGGAAGACCCTTTGACAGGAACAAAGGCCAGCTAACCTGGACAAGATTGCCCCAGGGATTCAAAAATTCCCCAACTTTATTTGGCACTGCCTTGGCGAAGGATCTAACAAGTAACCCCTCAATACCTGGAAAAAGGTGGTTCTGCAATATGTAGATGACCTTATACTAGCGGCAAAGGATTTTGATACCTGTAAAGAAGGGACAGAGGAACTGCTCCACTTGCTCTGGGAAGCTGGCTACCGAGTTTCCCAGAAAAGGCACAGTTATGTTTAGAAAGGTCAAATATTTGGGCTTTGACATCTCACACCAACAACGAGCATTGAGACCAGAGAGGAAAGAAGCTATTTGCCTTATCAAGGAACCTACCACAAGGAAACAACTCAGAGGATTCCTGGGAACAGCAGGGTTTGTAGACTATGGATACCTGATTTCAGCAGTCTGGCCAAGCCCTTACATGAAAGCACTCGAGGTGCAGAAAAGGACCCATTCGTATGGGGACCTGAGCAGCAACAAGCCTTTTAGTTATCAAACAACGACTTATGGAGGCCCCAGCCCTTGGACTGCCTAATTCGGAAAAACCCTTTCAGCTGTATGTACATGAACAGAATGGGATTGCAGCAGCAGTCCTGACCCAGAGATTAGGAAGTTGGAACCGTCCAGTAGCTTATTTGTCAAAACAATTGGACTCAGTAGCAAAGGATGGCCTCCATGCCTAAGGGCAGTAGCGGCCACTGCAAGCCTTGTCAAAGAAGCTGATAAATTTACTTTTGGCCAGACGATGTATGTGAATGTACCTCATGCTGTTCTGACACTCATGGAATATAAGGGTAGTTATTGGCTAACGAATCCAAGGATGGCTAGATACCAAGGCCTATTGTGTGAAAATCCCAGGATTCATCTATGAGTAGTGAATATGCTCAATCCAGCAACTTTGCTGCCCCTACCAGAGGTAGATGATGAAGAATCACATGATTGTCTCCAAATAATGGATGAAGTGTATTCCAGTAGACCCGATCTGAAAGATGAACCATTGAAAAATCCAGATGTTGTATATTATACTGATGGTAGCAGTTACCTGCATGAAGGTGCCAGACGAGCAGGATATGCTGTGGTCACCAATGAGGAAGTTGTGGAAGCTGAAGCTTTGCCTGCTGGCACCTCAGCACAAAAGGCTGAACTTATAGGTTTAACTAGAGCTCTGCAATTGGCAGCCGGATGTAAGGCAAACATCTATACTGATTCTAAATATGCCTTCTTAACCCTGCATGCACATGGAGCTCTATGGAAAGAAAGAGGTCTAATCGGAGCCCATGGGAAGGCCTTGAAATATGGACCTGAAGTAGAAATCCTGTTGGAAGCAGTATGGGCTCCAGAACAGATTGCTGTAATGCACTGCAAAGGTCATGGACGTGGAAGGGATCCAATAACCAGAGGAAATCATGCTGCTGACAAAGCAGCCCGAGAGGCAGCCCAGAAGCCTGTGGGAGGATTTATAGCAGCCCTCATACCAGAGGTAGTTCCAGAAGAAATTAAACCTCACTATACCCCAGAAGAGAGGAAGTGGGCTGAACAGGAAGGAGCGGTTGTGAAGGACGGTTGGATGATCCTGCCGGACAATAGGATTTATGTACCTCATCACCTAGCAGGCACAATTGTAAGAAATTATCATGAATCTACTCACCTTGGCGGTACTGCAACCAGAGAGAGTCTCAGTCGGAAGTTGTATATTATTAACCTATCACAATTAGCAACTTGCATTTCACAGAAATGTGTTCTTTGTGCTAAAAACAATCCCAGGCAGGGACCGGTACAACCTCCTGGAATCCAACATGTGGGATACGTCCCCATGGAAAGCCTAATTGTGGACTTTACAGAGCTGGTCCCTTCTAAGGGATTCAAGTACCTCCTTGTGTTTGTAGATACCCTTACCGGATGGGTTGAAGCTTTTCCCACCAGGACTGAAAAGGCACGAGAGGTAACTAAGAGACTCCTCACTGAATTGATCCCGAGGTTTGGATTACCTAGATGCATTGGAAGTGATAATGGGCCAGCGTTCATTGATCAAGTAGTACAAGAAGTATGTCGAGTCCTACAAGTGAAATGGAGACTGCATGCAGCATATAGGCCTCAAAGTTCGGGAAAACTGAAAGAATGAATCGGACTCTGAAAACCCAATTGGCAAAATTAACCCAGGAAACAGGATTGGGATGGGTAGATGTGTTACCCATAACACTGTTTCGTGTTCGGTGTGCACCCACAAAAAGACTTAAGTTGTCACCTTTTGAGCTCCTGTATGGGAGGCCACCCTCCTTTGTTCAGGATATTCCAGCTGACCTCAAACAAATAGGAGACCATGTGACACAGGGACAAGTGCAATCTCTCTCCCGTGTTTTGTTTCTCTTAACAGGTGGGCCCTCGAGCGCACGCCGTGCAGCATTGCCGAGCCGATTCATCAGTTCCAGGCTGGCGATAGCGTATGGGTGAAAGAGTGGAAACGTGATCCACTTGCACCTAAGTGGCGTGGGCCTTACACCGTCTTGCTCTCTACTCCAACAGCGGTGAAGGTAGCTGAGGTGACCCCTGGATTCATCACTCCCGTTTGAAGAAGTCCGAAGGCAGTTGGACGTGCAAAGGTGACCCCTCTAATCCTTTTAAACTGACTCTCTCCAAAACCCCTGTATCTAGCCCTACGGGAACGGGCTAGGTCACGGGCAACATTAGACGACCGGCCTGCTGCAGCCACAACCTGGAAGCTGGCTGACCTGCGCACGCCTGAAGCTTGAGGAGCGTCTGAACCAGCGATTGTGAACAGGAAGATTCTCTTATACAATTGATTGACTGCCCCCCCCCGTGGAACAATTATCAGGGATATTACTCATTGGGGATCCTCGGGATATATGTTTTGGTCTTGGTGGTTCCCCATTTCTGTCATTGGGGAATTATATTGGGCCTAATATTTTTGTTATCACAATAAGGTAATCTTTTGTGGAAGAAATGCATATACTAGACATCAACATGATTTTATTATTAATCCTGATCCCTTGGGAAGGGAAGGGTCCTTGAATCTGACCAAATTTGCTAAATATGGATTCCGCCATGACCACAATATGTGGGTAGGCTTAGCCGAGATGGTAGCCAATGTTACAAATAGGACCAATTGCCTTGTTTGCTCTCTTGGACCAGATGATTCAGAGGGAGGTATGCCCTTATTACCGATACCATTAAATGCCATTGGTATGGTAAGCGAAATGCCACACCAAACAGAAGTACAGAATTTCCCGGATGGAACTCAACTAAACCAATACGAGTTATACCTGTGCAAGGGAATTCTGTGTACATAAATTATCAGCTGCAGCTGATTCTACCATGATAGGCTCTTCTCATTGCCACTATACTTGGGATTATATTAAGAATAGTCAAACCTGGGCAAACGGTACTACCTATCGAACTCGGAATACCTTGCCCTGTGCACCTCCTTTTATTCATGCATGGAAACTGGTGTGGAACATAACTGTGACAGAAAAGGCAATCTAACATACTGCACTGTGAACTCTATGCCCTTTGATATTTCGCCTTATGCACTCCACGTACCAAAACCTCAGACCCGATGGTTGTGGTGGATATGTGGAGAATGGGCATACAAGCAACTCCCTCCCAAATGGAGTGGGACTTGCTTCCTGGGATGGGTATTACCACCAATGTGGATTATGCCCACTAGTTCGGCAAAGCGTACACGAAGAAACGCTGATATTTCTCATATAGCAGGAGGAAGTACCCAAAGTTGGAGTGATACTGATGATTGGCCACCAGAGCGCATTATAGCCTATTATGAGCCTGCCTCCTGGAATCCTGATGAGCTCATACAAGGGGCACGGGATCCTATTTATAATCTAAACAGAATAATTCGATTGCAAGCAGTAGTGGAACTTGTAACCAATGCAACGGCCCAGAGTTTGAGACTTATTGCACAACAGTTGGATGAAAGTAGAGCCGCCATTTTGCAGCTGAAAATGGGAATGGATTATGTACTTGCCAGGCAGGGAGGCCTATGTGGAGTCTTGAACTTGACAGGGAATGCCTGTTGCTTTAACATTTCTGATAATGGTGAGGCAATCCGTGTGTTGGCCACAAAGATGGAGAGTATAGCACATGTCCCAGTACAAATATGGGAAGGATGGGATATGGGATGGCTCACCAATTGGTTACCTAATGTTGCGGGACTCAAAGGGATACTATTGTCTTGCTTGTTTTTCTTGACGGTAGTAGTAATGGTTTTATGTACGGTGCCATGTATCATTTCATGTTTTAGAAGTACAATTAGCAAGATGATTTCAAATGAAACTTTACCTCATATTATGGCCCTATACAGAGCTTTACCTCAGGAATATGATGAAGGTCAAGCTATCAAGGACACTTGGGGTGAAGGTCCTTGAGCTTGAAAGGGGGGAATGAGGCATCTAATCAAGATCTGCTTTGAGCTTAAAAAATATATTTGTAAATATTTTTATCTCTCATGCCAGGGAGAGACCAGCTGAATACTCTGGCAGCTGTTCAAGGGCCCCACTGCTATAAATAGCAGTATTTCAGGGTTGTAAAAAGTATTTCAGGGTTGTAAAAGGAAATTAGAGCCAGAGAGCAAAAGGTCACACTGACCAGAATACAATCAAGCTGCAAAAACACAATTAAGAGCTGGTAAATAGTGAAATTTATTGTTTAACAGAAGACTCGAGCCATAAGGTTAAAGGTTAAATTGAAGAGGTTGCTTTTAGAAACAGCTGGTTAGGGAAAAAGGCTTCTCTCCAAGCTGTTCTGAAGCTTCAGAGAATTTAGAGAACTTAAGAGAACTTAGCTTTTACTAAATTCCTTTAATTTGAAAAGGCCTTTGCTTCTAAAAATCTATCTATGTTATGTATGAAATATATTGGCTTAAATGTAATTATGCAAAGGATTTAGAAAGTAAGAAATGTTAGATTCTTATGTTAGATTCCTATTATGGTGGGTGAGAAGGTGAACTCAAGATCTCTTTAAGATAAAAAAAAATTAAAAACCATGCACCATCTGCTTTAGCCATCTGGTTTGCAGGGAATAGGGCAACAGGGGCCAAAGGTTATCTGGTAATTGAGGTGCCTGGTCGAGGTAAATGTAAGATATATGGCTACTTGTCTGCCATTTATGGATACAAGGAAATATAGCTCTTTGTCTCCCATAAAAGGAAATAGGAAATGGGTGTATCTTTTATGATTGGTTCTAGCAAACAACCAATAGGAATTTCAACCAGGCTGATTGGACAGAGGCAGCCAAAGGAGGAGCAAGGGGCTGGGCTGAGGAAATATAAGTGCTGGCCATCAGGGCTGGAGTAGGCAGAGCTTTGGTATCCATATACCACTGTGTCTCTCATTTATTTGTCTGACAAATAAATTATTATTTTAATTTCTCTATTGCTGCGTTGAATATTTCATTCCAGCTAAGCGTTAACCACAAGCAGGGTGCTACAATGTAACGCATTTTCTGAATGCTGGTTTCACTAAAATATGCATTTCTATGCACGCTTTATCCCAGTAATATGCATTTGTGCATGCATTACTTGGCTGGAGAACCACATTGCAAAATTAGGAGAAGTGCAAATTTCGAAGAATGCGTGCATTTCGGTTCATAAAGTGCAAATTAAGTAGGTTTTGCATACAAATGTGAACCGAATCAACTTTCTCCCCCGTTCCTAGATTAGAGCTATACATGCAAATGCAGTTGCCTTATATGACAAGGAGAAATCATGCATCCAAGTTGTGAAATGAGGTACAAACATTTTTTTAAAAGCAAGGTTCGGAAGTTGGACAATTGGGAGAGGAGCACCATGGATGGTTCTTGACTGGATGTGGCCTTTGGCCTGGGATCAGTCCATAGCTGTCAACGTTTCCCCTTTTTTAAGGGAAATTCCCTTATTCCGAATAGGATTCCTCGCAAGAAAAGGGAAAAGTTGACAATTATGGATCAGTCTTGCCTATGAAGCCACTATCCAGGTTTATGAGCTTGCACTAGACACTGCCTGGGCTCGTTCAAGTCACCTGCTGAATACATGAGGGCTAGAATCTTGAGAGCGGCAGCTGAAATTCTCAGGATGCTGGATTCTATGCTCGATGAGCCTACACACTTAAATGCGCACAGCCCTGCACTAGACAACACAACCTTCTTTTCTCAAGGCACGTAACGCAATGACTGATCTGCAGAGTCCTCTGCTGTCAGGGTTCAGCACATCAGGGCATAGGATGTGGGTGGAGAGGGGAGGGAGGGGAGAGAAGGAGAGAGAGAGGAAAAAATGGAGGCAGAAAAGCTCCAGAGAGAACATCATGCCACCTTCCGCAACTTAGGAGTCGCCCACTGAGATGGAAATCTCTTCTGAAAAAATGTTCTGAGGGGAAACTGTCACAGTCAACTGGCCTAATGCTGAACCTAGGCTAAAGATAACATTAAAAAAAAAATCCTCGTGATCCTGATAAACAAGTCAGACCCTCCACAGGAACAGCTGCAACAGAGATAAAGCTTCTAAGCTGAGCAATTCGCAACAAAACCAAGAGCACCCAGCTTGGTTTTTTAGTATTAGCAGCGGCAGCAAACATGCCATCCACTCCGCAGAGGGGTATTAGCAAAGAGAGCGTGCCCACGGTTCAGATCTCACCCCTGTCCCAATAACGCCCCTATTCAATCTCATTTTTCAGCCCCAGCCCCAGCCCCTGGCCCAGTCTGCAGTTTTGAGGTGAGAGGGTCCACAAAGCAGGCTTGCCTCACAGGGATGTTGTAAGGAGTGCTGAGATAACTATGTGTGTGGGGGAAAATATGAGTACTTGGAAAGCACTTTGCCATGCTTGCAGTCTCGGAAGTTGGACCTGGGTGGATTCCAGAAGTGACCCAGACATTTTAGCATTGCAAAAGAAACAGAAAAGAAAGGTGAAAATAGAGGCACCCCGGTGCAGCCTCAGCCAACCTGGTGCCCACCAGATGTTTGGGACTACAGTTCCCATCAGGCTAAGCATGGAGCAGCTGGGCCCAGGGGTGTGGCATGGCTGTCAATCAGAGCTCAAAGAGGCAAGGCCAACTCTGTCCACTTTGCAACTGTGCCACAAGCAAAAGGCGGCTGCTGATCAGCTGACTGCATAGAGCACACTGCCCCGCTCTAGGTACGGTTGCCTGACCTCCAGGTCTGACCTGATGTTTGCCAGGCCCCCTTCAGGTGGTGGTTGCAGGGCTTGAATCTCCAGGTGGGCAAGAGTGCCTTTAATTATTGCAAGCTTCAGAGTGGCATATTGCAGCACAGGTACTCGAGTCTGCCCTCCTTCCCTCGCATCTGCAGGGCCCACTCTATGACATCAAGAGGAGCCACCCCTGGGTCTCATGTTTGGGCCCTGAAACCTCAGAGTCTGGAATTCTCCTGACTTTGCAATCCTACATCCAGGTATTCACCAAACACACCAATAGGTAAGTGAGGAAGGTGGTGGCCACCAATCTTAGTCTGCAGCTACCAACGCCTTAGGGTTAGGGATGGGTGAAGCTATTAATGTGCCTTTACCTTCATTCCTTATTTTCAGTTCTTGACATCAGTTTTGTGATTTATTTATTTTTTAAAAAATCCTTATGAGAAGCCACCCACATTTTACTAAGAATTTCTCCTAATGTACACATCTTTGGGTGCAATTTTGCCTGATATGGAGTTTTGCATGCCACTTTCCCCTAATGCAATGCATCCTTGCATGTTATTTTCACCGATATATATGCATTTTAATGCACGCTTCACTACAGTACGTGTTTTTGTTTTTTACACATTACTTGGCTGGAGAACAGCAGTGCAAAATTCAGAGAAGTGTGGGTTTCAAAGGATTGCTGTGTTTCAGTTCACGTACGGTTTCAGGAAATGTGATCCAAGTAGGTGAACCTTTGAATGAAAACCGAATCAATCCCGCCCCCCTTAATCAGGATTCTCAGGACCAGTTCTAATTGCCCAGCTAATTTCCCCTCCTCTTTCCTCCTCTAAATTTGCCCTTTATTGTTGTTAAAACTGTAACTAATTCACCTTAGCCTTAGAGCAAGTCAGGTTCTTGTCTGAGTGCCTGTTCTGAAAGCTCAGTGCACTGACTCCCCCTGACTGCACTTGGGGGGGGGGGCTGGCAAGCCAGAGCAGCCAAACCTCTTAAGATGTTCCGCTGCCTGCAGGCACCTTCTCAAGAATCACTGTGATTTTAATCAGGGTTAAATAACCCCAAATACACAATCACCCTCTGGTTTTTTTTGTTCTTAACAGGGCACTAATGCAAATTGCAATTTGCCGCTGTGCGCTTTGGGGTGTATTCGTGGTCACGTGACGCTTTGGCTGACAGAAATGGGAGCGCTTAAAAAGGCACAGCATTCTCCCCCCCCCACCTTCCCTCAGTGCCAAGCAGGATCCTCTGCACCACCCATTTCCAAATATCAAGGTTATGGGTGGTATTCAGCTAACCAGTTCCACTAGCAGAAGCCAGAACAAGGACTCTTCTCTCCCTGTGCACACTGGCAGAGGAAGGGGGTGCGGTCATCCCTGCCCCAGGTGTCATCCCTGGGGGGGGTGACATTGCCGCGCTGCTCCCCGGGAGTTAGCTCCGCCTCTGCCTGTGCAGCCCCAGAACAGAACATAGGGGAGGGGACCAGATGAACCTCGGAATCTCTTCTAACTCTGCAATTCTCTGATTCCATGATTCTACAGCATTACGTTGAATTTCTTCCTATGAGCCCTATGTATGCATTAGCAGGCATGTCCAAGAGACTGAGATCTACTCCCACTATAAAAAAACTGGCAGTGATCTACCAAAGTTGTTGAGCTTTTTCAGTTAAAGCCATGGCTTTCCCAGTAGTGATGTATGGAAGTGAGAGCTGGACCATAAAGAAGGCTGATCGCCGAAGAATTGGTGCTTTTGAATTATGGTGCTGGATGAGACTCTTGATCAAACCGATCCATTCTGAAGGAAATCAGCCCTGAGTGCTCACTGGAAGGACAGATCCTGAAGCTGAGGCTCCAATACTTTGGCCAGCTCATGAGAAGAGAAGACTCCCTGGAAAAGACCCTGATGTTGGGAAAGATGGAGGGCACAAGGAGAAGGTGAAGACAGAGGGCGAGATGGTTGGAAAGTGTTCTCGAAGCTACCAGCATGAGTTTGACCAAACTGTGGGAGGCAGTGGAAGACAGGAATGCCTGGCATGCTCTGGTTCATGGGGTCACGAAGAGTCGGACACGACTAAACGACTAAAGAACAGCAACAGCAAGCTACCACGATCTACCAAAGACCCCTCGTGATCTACCAGTAGACCACGTTCTACCTGTTGGCCATCCCTGCATTGGGGCACACCCTAGTATACAAAAGGGTGAGGGGCTGCACTTTTAGCCCCATTACCACTGCTGGGTCCTCTTTTTTCCAACATGTGATTCTCTGTATTGAAAGTGTGAGAGCTCTGTGTGATTGGGACACCAGCACAGCCAAGGGCTCCCTTCCTCCATCTCCTTGGGCAATAAGAGCACAAGAAGTGCATGCCAGATCAGGTCAAAGGCCCGTCTAGTTCAGCATCCTAGTCCTCACAGTGGCCAACCCGATGCTTGTGAGAAACCAAGGAGCAGAACATGAGCACGAGAACCCTCCAGCGGTTTCCAACAACCGGCGTTCAGAAGCATGACCGCCCTCCAACTACGGAGGCAGAGAATAGCCTTTGTGGTTAGCAGCCATTGATGTTGTTGTTGTTTAGTCGTTTAGTTGTGTCCGACTCTTTGTGACCCCATGGACCAGAGCATGCCAGGCACTCCTGTCTTCCACTGCCTCCTGCAGTTTAGTGAAACTAATGTTGGTAGCTTCGAGAACACTATCCAACCATCTTGTCCTCTGTCGTCCCCTTCTCCTTGTGCCCTCCATCTTTCCCAACATCAGGGTCTTTTCCAGGGAGTCTTCTCTTCTCATGAGGTGGCCAAAGTATTGGAGCCTCAGCTTCACGATCTGTCCTGCCAGTGAGCACTCAGGGCTGATTTCCTTCAGAATGGATAGGTATAGCCTTCATGAATTTGTCTAATCCTCTTTCAAAGACACCCAGGTCAGTGGATATCGATGCCTCCTGTGGCAGCCAGTTCCATAGTTGAACTGGGTGCTGCACCAAGAAGACCGATGGGCCAGACAGAAAGGCTTGAGGGACCGCATTCAGTCCCGGGCCTGAGAGTTTCTGCTCCTTTTCACTGAGATATTCTACCGAGCTGGAGGTGACGTGTATTTGCTTGCAGCTAAACCGACTTCCAGCTACGCTCAGTGTGCTAGTTTCTACAGTTAGGATATTTGCAAATCATTCCATTGATTCTTGTTTTTACAAGTGTCGCAAGCCACCGTGCAGAGGCTGTTCTGCTGCAAAAGTGAAAGGCGGGCTGTAAATCTTTTTAATATCTCAAAGGCCTATCGGGGGCTTCCTGCTAAACATTAAAATATGCCTCCTCGTTCTGCTCTGGTAGGCACTGCCGATGCTGAGCACGTGTAACGGGGGAGGCCGAAAGGAAGGGAGAAATTGACAGAAGGGGAATCCCGTGCAACAAAAGCCAGATTTTTCGGGGGGGGGCATGCGCGTGTGTGAGGGAAGCATCAGGGAACTGTATCGTCCACAGAATTTCCACACAGGAATGTCCCTTTTCACGGGCTGGCGATTCTGCTGGCAGCAAACTGAGCATAAGACAGCCCAGTCGCCTCGCCGGGCCGTGTCCGAGAGCAGCGATGCCCTCGTCTCTGGGAGACTGCAAATCAAGATGTCAGCTGTGTGCAGGGAACACCGGAGAAGCCACAAAGCTCAGGCCCTGTGAAGGGGAGGGAGGGTGTAGAAACATCTGCGTCATTTGCAAAAAACACACACAAAAACCCGTCTCTCATCATGCAGGAAGTAGCTTACTCCAAAAGACCCCAGACGATCTCCCCTTTTGGTGTACTCGAAAGCTGATACAACAGAACCGCTCAAGAGGGGCTTAGATCAAGGGGGCGGGGGCTTTTGCAGCTCGAGGGCCACATTTGCTTCTGAGCTACGTTCCAAGGGCCGCGTGCCAGTAGAGAGCAGGGCCGGAGGGGAATGTGGGCAGGGCAATGAATGTAAGTTCCGGTTTTTTGCAGCAGGCCAATTCCTGCATACCCTCAGACACACTGGGAGGGAAGTTAGCCCTTTCTGCAGTGAGAATTACCCCCATGCCTACTACTTGACCCTTAGGTGAAACAGATATAGGTGCCTATATCTATATTCCCACATTGCCTAGGACTGAAGGAGACCCCACCCCCCATCAGCTGCTGCTATTGGACTTCTTAAAAACGGAAAGCAAGTCAGTCATGGGTCTAATTGTGCCCTTATGATCTTTTTCTTAAGGAATCAAACAAATGCTCTTAATTCAGCCTTGCAAATATATCTATTCAATACATCTGGCTACTGAATTGGAAGGAATTCTTATTTGTCAGAGGCATGTTATTACAGCGGTACCTCGAGTTAAGAACTTAATTCGTTCTGGAGGTCCGTTCTTAACCTGAAACTGTTCTTAACCTGAAGCACCACTTTAGCTAATGGGGCCTCCTGCTGCCGCTGCGCCGCCACTGCACGATTTCTGTTCTCATCCAGAAGCAAAGTTCTTAACCCGAGGTACTATTTCTGGGTTAGCAGAGTCTGTAACCTGAAGCGTCTGTAACCCGAGGTACCACTGTATTTACAAGACTGATATAAAATACCCTGATTTTGTGAACTATTGGTTTGGATTTTTATTGTTTGCGATTTAACATTTGTTTGTTTGCTGCATTTATATCCCACTTTTCCACGCGGGGATTTGAACCCTGGCTTCCCAGGTCCTGGTCCAACATTCTAACCACCACACACCCACCCTACCGGCTCTTGCACATATCCAATGTATAACTGGGTCCGGCCCACAGGTGAGGCAGGGTGGGGCACCCACCTCAGGTGGTGGACTAGCCTCCACTGCTAGCAGCACTGGTTTCCAGAGAGATCTTGCAAGATTTCACCAGATGCCCGCGTGGCTGCCAGAGCTTTGCAAATGCTTCCATGCAGGTACGAGAGGTGTGGTGCCGGCAGTGGGGATGCAGCAAGGGGGTGGGGCTGCACATTCCTGTTTTGCCTCAGGTGGCAAAATGGCCTGTGCTGCAGGCCATTACATCCTAGTGTGGGTTTTCTAATAATAATAATAATAATAATTTATTATTTATACCCCCCCCCATCTGGCTGATTTTCCCCAGCCACTCTGGGCGGCTCCCAATCGAGTGTTAAAAACAATACAGCATTAAATATTAAAAGCTTCCCTAAACAGGGCTGCCTTCAGATGTCTTTTAAAGATAGGATAGCTGCTTATTTCCTTCACATCTGAAGGGGGGTGTTCCATAGGGCGGGTGCCACTACCGAGAAGGCCCTCTGTCTAAAACATGCGGAGAATCTTCCTCTTCCTTACTGAAATCTCTTCTCTTCCCCTGTGAAAATCTGAAAAGGCTCCAATGGATCGCATCCTCCGAGCAGTCCCATATAACCTGGCTTCTATTTAGGTGGCCTTTCTTTTCATAAAATCCTCCTGACGTTTACGTCTGCCAAAGGAACAAGAATTCCTGTGCAGCGCACCTGGAAACTTAATCAAAGGACACACGTAGTTGTTCCTTTCTAAACCAGGATGAGTTGTTTGGGTTGGCAATCTCCAGCCCAATCTCTCCCCCTGCCCACAGCCCACAAACACACGTTTGCCTCCACTGTTTAGGTAGCTGTTGTGCCTTACATAACAGCTTCCGACGCCTCATTGCTCAACTCCTTATTCCAAATATTGCCAGTCAACCGGTACAGGCATTTCCCAGCGATGAATCTCGCCGGCAAGAGCCCGTCTGATTTACAGATCCATTTAAGGCCCCTTAGTAACTGTTACTAGAACTCATCAGAGTCAAAAGAGAGTCGCCTGCTTTCACCGAGGGAAGCCTCCGGTGTTTACAAGATAAAAAAAAGGGGGGGGAATGCAGACATTGGATTTGCATTCAGTGGGAGAGTTAAGTTGATCATAGGTGGGTTAACAACTAAGCAAGCTGCGCTTAAGCCAGCCATCCCCAAATATAGCTCCCTAATGCAATAATGCTCCAAATTTCAAAAACGATGCCTTGCTAACAAAATTGTCAGATCCATCCCCCCACAACGATTCCTACAATTATGCTGGCGGTTTTTTTTTTATTTTATTTTTTACCAGCTGGGAATTGCTCTAAACTATCTGTATCCAAGATTAGAGCCAAGCTGATTTTTCACACACTTCAGCTTTTGCATTTTTCAGCAGGGGAGAATGTTTCAGATGCAAATTTGACCAAAAAAAAAACCCTTTACAAAATAGCTCAGGAACCACTCAGCAATCTTGTTCCGAAGGATCAGGAGCATTGCTGAGTTTCGTTCTTGTAAGAGAGCTCAGCGACTGTGCAAAGCCTTGACGAAAAGGCATCTGGGGCTTCTCACTGGGCTCCCCCAACGTTAATTTATCGCATTTGCACCTCACCTTTCTTACAAAGAGCTGACAGCAGTGTATTTGGCTGCTTATACACCATACACTTAAAGCAGATTAAAAGCATATTCCTCCTCCCATGAAAAGAGAACAATTCTGGGGGATGTAGTTTACCCCCCACAGAGCTACAATTCACAGCACCCTTAAAAACTACAGTTCCCAGGATTCTTAATAATAATAACAATAACAATAATAATAATAATTTATTTATACCCCGCCCATCTGGCTGTTTCCCCAGCCACTCTGGCTCCCAATCGAGTATTAAAAACAATACAGCATTAAAAAAAAACTTCCCTAAACAGGGCTGCCTTCAGATGTCTTTTAAAAATAGGATAGTTGCTTATTTCCTTGACATCTGAGAGGAGGACATTCCACAGGGCGGGGGGATTTGTATGTATGGGCCACACACAGCGTTTGATTATCTTCCTCCCCTCCATTGCAAAGTTCAATAACACATTCTGGGCAGGCAAAAACGTTCACAGAGTTATAACTGTCAACCGTCCCTTATTTGGCGGGAAAGTCCCTTATCCCAGCGCCGTGTCCCGCTGCTGTCCCTCATTGATGATGTCCCTTAAATTTCCCGGGTTTCAAAGGAAGCAGCTTCTCTCCCTCCCTCCCTGCTGGCCAGGGAGGAGGGAGGCTCCAGCTGTGTTGCTTGGCTGCGTTGCTCACCCAATAAGGAGTCTAAGAACGACTGGGGGGTGGAGCTTACATGTCTTGTGCCGATCAACTTGGCCGCATTGCCTGGGGACTCGCCTTTGCTCAGCGCTTCCCAGCAGAGAGGTGACGGTGGTTTTCCTTGCTGCATCCCCTTTGCCCGGGTTGCTGCGCTGTGGGAACCACTGCTTGAGGCTTCGTTTGGCTGCTGGCCGGGCTTTCTGCCTTTGGCTCGGAGGGGCTCAGAAGTTGAACATACCTGTGCCCCTTGGAAAATCCCTTATTTTGGCTGCTGATCCCTTATTTTTAGAGGCTGCTGGTCCCTTATTTTCAAATCTGTAAGTTGACAGCTATGCACAGAGCGTGCAAAGCAGAACTGGTGAGGGGTGTGGCCTGGGGAGAGGGGTGTGGCCTGGGAGAGGGGGTGTGGCCTGAGGAGAGTCCCACTGGCCAGAGAGAGAGGCCTAGGGAGCCACATTTAATCCCTAGGCCAGAGCTTCCCCATTGCTATTCTCTATGCACACAAGAGGGGAAAAATTGCAGAAGCATGCACATTTATAAGGTAACAACCCATTCTCCCACCCGTCTGCAGAAACGACAAGCCAGTTGATTTGACGGGCCGATTCCCAGATTCAGAGTTCAAAACAAAAAAGATTTTTTATTTTTTTGCAGGGGGCAAAGAGGGTTTGTCAAGCTTCGGGGAGCATTAAGCAACCGATGACTAACAGCAGGTTAGGAAGTAACTTTTCCCCCAGTGGGTAACTTGGTCCATGAATCAAAAGCCTACGGCGGAGTTTCTTCCACCCTGAGAGATGGAAGACGGGGCGAGGCGGCCCAATGATCTGATCTCAGGTGGCAGCTGCAAATATTTGAAGGGGTGTTCTGGATGAGACCTTGCAGCATCCATGCGCAGCAACATGCAGGGGGCACCTTAACTCAGAGCGTTTTCCCAGAGTGACGCGTCCCAACCGTTCCTTGGGAAACCAACCAAACTGAGAACAATGCCACGGACGTGGGATGAGCTGTATCTTTTCTTGACGAGCACATTACTGGTTCCTGATGGTTGGGAGATTTCCCCCAGCATATTCTGAACGGAGCCAGCCAGCAAAACAAAGGGGGGAGGGTGTTGCGTGCATGTGTGAGCAAGAATAGCAAAAGTGAAAGGGGCGATTGCTTTGAGAGAGCCAGCCAGCTCTAGTCGAAGTATATTGGGGTGCAGGCATTTCTCTCTCTGTACTAGGCTGTGTTGGGGAACCATGTGCAGCCCAAGGGCCACACCCCCTTCTTTTGGGGGCCACATGCAGGGGCAAAAGTGAGTGAAGCAATTGGTGCAAATTTTGCCTTTGTGTGGCACGGCGCAATCAGACACACACCCCCGTCTTCCACCCAGACAAGCAAGAAGAATTCAAGGAGGGTACAGTCGAGGAGGGTGCAGAGGACGGTTGAGGAGAGGGGTATGGCCTGGGCATGTGGTTTGGGAAGAATACATTTTGGCCCCAAGCCTGAGGCCCCCCCATCCATGCTCTGGAGGATCAGAGGTAGAGCGGGGGACACGTGCTTCTTGCAAGGACAGCACATGTTGTTTGCCTCTATGTATGCTCTCTTTGCAAAACTTCTAAGCCACCTGTGATCTCTCCTCTAAAAGGAAGCCAAACCCAAGTGGAGCTGTCCCCTAACTCTGCTGTTTATGAACAAGTTAAGAAACACATGTCTTTGGGGTGCTAGTAGAGTCACTTAAATAACACAGACAGAATCCAAGGAGAAAATATATCCTGACAACATCTAACTGAGCAAAACTGAACAAAAAAAACATGCATAGTTTGGGGAGAAAGGAGCAGAGAGGCTTTGACTTTCTTAGTTCAAGCCTTGTACATGGCAGGAATACATTCAATCAACCATAACAAGGAGAAACTCCTTCATAAGGACAAAGCCAGGGCATGTGCTACCTCAGTCAAGATCATGTCACTTTGCCTGGTTACTAACCAATACCCCACATGTCCCCCTGCTTGGCTAGCTGACTTTAGCCCTAATAGATTTTAACCCTTCACTTACAAACTTAATGATCTCTGCTGTTGTAGTTCCAACATGAGGTTTTTCGCTTTCTACATCACTCCACTTGGGAAAACTGTCCATTTATTCCTACTCTGTGGCTTTCTGTTTCTTCATGTATCTTCTTGCGAGGAAAAGAAAACCTTGCTACAATAAGGAGTGGGTTGTGCAAGAGCTTTCTCTCTCTGCTTTCCTGCTTTTTGTTTTAACTTGCAAGGCATTTGTATGTGGATAGCATTCCACAATGGCACCCCCTACCAGCAGGTTAAAATTGTGCAGCTCATTCTACCACCAAGATTCAATCGCCTCATTCTAGTCTACATGTACATCACATGTTAAAGCCGTTCCGGACTTCACTACTTCAGCCTTTAGACAGGGGTGTCTTTTTTTAAAATTCTTTATGCTTCCTTCCTCCCCACACAAACTCCATGATAATAAGTCTTATTTATTAATTTAGATTTGTAGTCCACCCCAACTCAAAGCCTCAGGGCAGCTGAAAAATATAGTTACTGCAAACCATCATTTGCCTCCAAACCAGAGCGTGAAACCCAACCATGGTTTCCAACTTTGGTTTGAAGGCATGCGATGGTTAGCTATAACCACAGTTTTCCCAGTGTCACAGCGAACTATGGTTGTGCAGGAGATAATTGGAGAATATGAGTGACTGTAGAAAGAGGTGGGAGCCCGAAACAGGTTTCCAATGGCATGACAGCTGAAGTTGGCCATTAAAACCACACACACACACACTTTGCAAACTGAACCCTGAGCCATAAACACCAGTCAAGATCATGGGTCTTGTGATACTTTCCAAAAAGTGCACACACTTGGAATTGGGAAGAGATGAGGGTCCCAAAACCATAACTGGAGTGGGCGAAGCAGCTGAGAACACCTCTCTTTGCCCCCCGGTATCTGAACTTGGCATGCCCTTGGTAGGTCTCCTGCTTCTGGGCTGCCCACTTTTGAGAAGCAGGATGCTAGACTAGGTGGGCTTTCGTGGGCCATATGTTCTTATGTTAATAGGTAATAACAGGGAACAAGGAAGTAAGTTAATCCCCAAGCTGTGTTGAGCATTTAAGGTAAAGGGACCCCCTGACCATTAGGTCCAGTCGTGGCCGACTGGGGTTACGGTGCTATTGGCCGAGGGAGCCGGTGTACAGCTTCCGGGTCATGTGGCCAGCATGACTAAGCCGCTTCTGTTGAACCAGAGCAGTGCACGGAAACGCCATTTACCTTCCCGCTGGAGCGGTACCTATTTATCTACTTGCACTTTAACGTGTTTTTGAACTGCTAAGTTGGCAGGAACAGGGACCGAGCAACGGGAGCTCACCCCGTCGCGGGGTTTCGAACCGCCGACCTTCTGATTGGCAAGTCCTAGGCTCTGTGGTTTAACCCACAGCGCCACCCGCGGTGTTGAGCATTAGGCATTTTCAAATAATGAAATGTTAGCTTTTCTTCCCAAAAAGAAGTACTCTGGCTTAAATTTTGCCTGCTAGCCTATTTCCACAGATCACGTCAACGAACCCATTTTCTGTCCAAGCGTTCTCCAACCTGGTGCCCCCCTGCCTGACGTTTTGGACTACAATTCCCATAGCGTCAGCCCAAAACATCGGGAGGGCACCAGTCTGGGGGGGAAGTCTCTGAGAACCTATCCTACGAGATGGAGCTAAGGTATATTTTCAGTCCGGGCAGATCTTACCATTTTGTCCTCCTTATTAGTAACTCTAATTACTTTGAAAGAACAGAAATGAGATAAATCCCTCTAAGAGCAGGAAATGTGTGACCTGATTTCCAGCTTGATTTAGAAGCCGTCACTCGGCAAGATAAGCTTAGAGAGAGACACTGTTGGCTCCATACGGGCCCATAGCTTGGATTTCAACAGCACAAATTAAATTAAAGATACGGCAACGACAACATCAAGCAAAGCAAAGCACACAGTCCCTGTTACTCAGAGGTTACACTCCAGTGGAAACAGATTCCACCCCCCGCCCCCCGGTAACAACAATCTCTTTTTCTACCCTCGCTACTTTGGTAGGTTTCAACATGAAAATGCAACGCTTTCAGATATGAATATAACACCAGCTGGTCTTCCTTCGTGCATTTCTACTGGGAATGTCAGTGGAAATAAGCAGCAGGGGAAGCTATGCCAATCCTTGGGGTCTACAGATCTGTTTGAACTGCGATTACCATGGGAATACGGACACATGAAGAGCCCTGTTGGATCAAATCAAAAGCAGCCGGTGCAGTCCTGGTTCCAAGGACAACTTCACACTTCGCGTGGCTCCAAATCCAGATTTGTTACTGAGCTAGCACTCCACGGGAAGAGGCTGCTTAGGTGTTTACCTGAACATGTGGCTGCAGGCATGTTTGTTACCTTCGTACCTCAAGAACACACCGAAAACATCAGATGTGCGAAGAAGCTTTCAGATTGGGCTGCCTGCAAATTCTCTCTCTCTCTCCGCCTCCCTTTAATGCAACTGCTGGATTAGATTTCATAGACCACACGGTGTTTTATTTTTAGTCCAGAACTTTCGGTCTCCTGGGTCAGTTGTTTTAACTTTAAAACACGGGGAAATTCTGATTCAACAAAGCCTCGCGTGTTTTAACGTCATACGTCAGGATAAATTCATACTTGCTTCTGCCAACCGGGCATTTGCGTACGTTTATTGACCTGAGGGCCTCCATGTGCAAGACGCTGGTTCTCTAGTTAGACAGACGGCCCCAAATATTCAAAAGGGATTCGAGGTTGGTTCAATTTTGTGTGTGTGTGTGTGAACACACAAAACTGTGAAAAGGCTTGAAGGAAAGAAGGAAGGGGTGCTAGTACACTAAAAATAAATAAATACAGGGGTCTAAAACTGGAAACATTAAAACAAAAATGGCTTGGAAATCAGGGAAAGCCAAGATCAAATCTCCACCTGCCCATGAAACTCAATGGACGACCTTGGGGTATTCACTATCTTGGAGTCTTAACTACAGGGTTGCTGTTAAAATCAAATGCAGAGGGGGGATTTCTTGGTGAGATAAAAATGTCATAGGCACACCAATAACGGGCATATAATAATGCAGTATATAAAATCCACCAGTGAAGGGGAGCAGCACAAGAGTCAAGAGTTGTTTTTGTTATTATTGCACTGATATCCTGCAAATGCTCAGTTCTCAAGGGCATTCCCGAAACTGATGTCCTCTGGATGTCTGTACTACAACTCCCATCAGGAGGGCACCAGGTAAGGGAAGGTTGTCTTGAAGCATCAAAGCAACGCAAAGCGGTTTGCTAGCTAATGGCATCCAATCTAAAGCTGGATTAAGCAAACCAGCAAAGATGCTAAAAGGATGCCGTTGTGGTATGGAGCTGGGACTAGCTGGCATTTCAGATCCTTTCCAACCAACTCTGCGATAGATCATTCCTCACAGCCACCACCCAAAAAGTCGCTTAAGTCTACAATCCTATACACATTTAACTAGGAGTAAGTCCCACTGAACTCTTCTGAGAAGACATGCATAGGACTGGGCTGTTAGCCAATGAACCAGGCGTCCTCCTAAAAAGGCCAGTCTTGCTTACAGCGCAATCCTATAGATCAGGCTTCCTCAACCTCGGCCCTCCGGATGTTTTTGGCCTACAACTCCCATGATCCCTAGCTAGCAGGACCAGTGGTTGGGGATGATGGGAATTGTAGTCTCAAAACATCTGGAGGGCCGAGGTTGAGGAAGCCTGCTATAGACGTCTACTTCAGAAGAAGTAAGATACAAAACGCCAACAGGAAGAACCCCTCACCAACAAGAACGCCAAAACAACACCCCAGCCCAAGAATCTGTTGAACAGCCTCAGCTTTTGTAGCTGGAGTCAGTCCGGGCCCCGCCTTCTGGGCCAGGTGGAAACAGTCTTTGCAAGGCAGGAAGCGGGTCTTTCAAGACTCACGACCAAGCCAAGATGCTCTTATCTAATCCTAGCTCTCAAGAATTTCAGGCAGCCTTAGTGGGAGATGCCGAGGGCAGAACCCGTGATCTTCTGCATTCAAAGGAGGTGTTCCACCACTGAACTGCAGAGCTTCCAAGTCCCCATTCTGGCCATGTGGTGCAGAAGGACACCACGGACGGTGATGTCAAAAGCCACCAAGATGTCCAGGAAAGTCAGCAGGCTCACATTCCCCAGCCTATCTCTCAGCAAAGGTCATCTACCAGAGTGTGACCAAGGCATTCACTGTCCCCAAGCCAGGTCTGATAACCAGCTTCATCCAGAAGTGCCTGCAGCTAAACTGCCACCACTTGCTCTCCCGCTTTGCCCAAATACGGCAAAATTGGCGTTGGCTCATGACAAGCAGGATCTCAACACTGATGGTTTAATTGATAGTGGCCTCGCTCCAGCCTCTTTCGCAGGGCTGGAGGGCTGCCACGTCTTCCTGGAAGGAGGGGCCAATGGAAATGATGGAAGCAGCCAGGCTTTCTTGGCAAGGTTTAAGCAGTCCGGTAAAGGGAAGGAGGTATGGACCCTTTGGTTAGGTCAAACAACAGCAAGCATCTCACCCACAATTCTGGGGTGCAGCAACTCACAACTCCTCCAAACAATGTGGGTAAGAGATGCCTAGGGCATAGGAGCGAAGGAGTTCAAGAATGAAGGGAAACCATCTGTTTCATTCAAAGTGTTCCCATTTCAACTGCAGCACCCACATTGCAGAACACCACCCCAAAGTGGTCTTCAAGTCTACCATGATCACTGGCCTTTCAGGGTGCAACAATGTTTCAGAAAATCATCTGGACTTTGTTAAAAGATGGCCCTAAGGAATTTATTTGTTGCTTGTCAAACGAGGACCAGGAGCACCGAAATCCAAATCTCCACACAGCCATGAAGCTCACTGGGTGACCTCTGGTTACTCGGTGTCTTCGGGGCAGAGGAAGACATATTAAGCCCAATCAGACCACCGATCCATCAGTATTGTCTGCACACTGACTGGCAGAGGCTCTCCAGAATTTCAGACAGTAGTCTCTCCTAGTTCTACCGGGAGATGGTAGGGATTGGACCTGAGACCTTCTGCATGCAAAGCAGATGCTCTACAGCTGAGCTATGGCTCCATGATTTCACCCTGACCTACCCTCACAGGTCTGTTGTGAAGATAAAACAAGGGAGGAGAGCCATACATGCCACCTTCAGCTCTCTGGAAGAAAAGCGGGACATAATGTGTTCTTGTTTTAAAAATTGAGTATATGATTTGAAATTATATGACACTATAAGCTGCCTTCGGGACGCGGGTGGCGCTGTGGGTTAAACCACAGAGCCTAGGACTTGCCAATCAGAAGATCGGTGGTTCTAATCCCCGCGACGGGGTGAGCTCCCATTGTTTGGTCGCTGCTCCTGCCAACCTAGCAGTTCGAAAGCACGTCAAAGTGCAAGTAGATAAACAGGTACCGCTCCAACGGGAAGGTAAACGGCGTTTCCGTGTGCTGCTCTGGTTTTGCCAGAAGCGGCTTAGTCCTGCTGGCCACATGACCCGGAAGCTGTACGCCGGCTCCCTCAGCCAGTAAAGCGAGATGAACGCTGCAACCCCAGAGTCGGTCACGACTGGACCTAATGGTCAGGGGTCCCTTTACCTTTACCTTATAAGCTGCCTTCAGCATTTGATGGAAAGCAGAAAAACAAACCACCACCATAAATAATAATAATAACAACAATAATAAATTACTAGAGCTTGCATACAGTAGAGAAAGCTTTGCAGGATGGCGCTGAGCAGAGAACTCAGTCCCTTTCAGCAGCTCCCATTGTCCCAGCTAAGCTTATGCAAGCGCTTATTCTGGTGGACCGGCCCAAAAGCCATAAAACGAAATCACCAATCGCTTTATGCAAGCCTTTGGCTATGACTGCAATTCAGGACTTTTCCTTTGCAAAATCATCCCTCTCTAAAACACCTTCCCCCTCCCTTTCAGGGAGCCAGAAGTCCTCAGCAGGTAAAACCCAAAGAGCAATCCATGAAGTACGGATAAAACATTCTAAAGACAATTGCTGCAAATGTGCCATGTTTTGATTAGAAGCTGGGTTTTACACAAAAGAAAAAAAGAAAGAAAGCCTTGCAAATAAACTCAGAAAGCTTTTCACTTTTAAACATTACAGTCAGTCGAAATCCAGAAGGCAGCCTTTCTGAGAGTCAAGCTAGGCGCAGTGCAGGAGATCCTACGAGCAGGAACTCCGATGGCTTGGGGCATTTGGTTGTATGGGGGGGGGGTTGTCCCCACCCCACATGTCTGCCTTGAAGGCATGGGGTAATAAGGTGCCTGCCCTCTGCTGTTACTCTATTTTTTATTTATTAAATTTGTGACTCTGTGTCACTCCAGATGTGATAATAATAATAATAATAATTTATTATTTATACGCCACCCATCTGGCTGGGTTTCCCCAGCCACTCTGGGCAGCTTCCAACTGAATATTAAAAACAATACAGCACCAGACATTAAAAACTTCCCTAAACAGGGCAGCCTTCAGTTGTATTTTAAAAGTAAAATAGTTGTTTATTGCCCTGACATCTGCTGGGAGGGCGTTCCACAGGGTGGGTGCCACTACCAAGAAGGCCCTCTGCCTGGTTCCCTGTAACCTCACTTCTCGCAGCGAAGGAACCGCCAGAAGGCCCTCGGTGCTGGACCTCAGCGTCCGGGCTGGATGACGGAGGTGGAGACACTCCTTCAGGTATACAGGATTGGGTTCATCAGCCATCGGGGCCAATGGTCAAGAATGGTGGGAGTTGGAGGTTCACAAGTCATCCGCCCGCCCCTCTACTTAACTGTCCCATTGACATTTCCGTAATCTAAATCCCACCCCTATCCCCAGGGCTGCTATTAACATCACAGAAGTAACCCAACTAATACCCGCTTCAGGAGTTGTTTTTAGACTGGGGACACAGTGTCTGCCTGTACAGTGGTACCTCAGGTTAAGTACTTAATTCCTTCCGGAGGTCCGTTCTTAACCTGAAACTGTTCTTAACCTGAAGCACCACTTTAGCTAATGGGGCCTCCTGCTGCTGCCGCGCCGCTGGAGCACGATTTCTGTTCTCATCCTGAAGCAAAGTTCTTAACCCGAGGTAATATTTCTGGGTTAGCAGAGTCTGTAACCTGAAGCGTCTGTAACCTGAAGCGTATGTAACCCGAGGTACCACTGTAGTGGCGAAAGGGTTAAACATCCCCTCGGCCAACACCACTTTCTCAATTTTCAAAGCAGATGGGCTGCCCATTCATTATTTAAAGACTGCGGGAGGTCACGATTGTGGGTCCCGTACATTGTGTTCTGTTTGTTATTATTTATCCTATTTCCATCTCACATTCCCTCTGAGGACCTCGAGGTGGCTCTCCCCATCTGCCCGGTTGATCCTCACGGCAGCCTTGCGAAGCAGGTCAAGCCAAGAGTGTGTGTGTGAATGCCTAGCCCAAGATCAGCCAGCAAGCTTCACAGTATATCCAGTCCTCATCCGACAGTCGCACCTCGTGACCAGCTCAATGGCACCTGCCGATCTACGTAGCCAAGGAAGGAATTGAAGCTGGGTCTCTCCGCAGACTTAATGTGACACCCCTAACCACGACATCACAATTGCCCTAATTTTGCCCCAAAGCCAAGCTTCCAGTGAGCATATGCCCCAAAAAGCCTTAGAAGTCATTTCCAGGCAGGTCTAGAACCAATGGCTGGAAATGACAGGGGAGGATATTTTGGACAACACTTAATAATAATAATAATAATAATAATAATAATTTATTATTTATACCCCACCCATCTGGCTGGGTTTCCCCAGCCACTCTGGGCGGCTTCCAACAAAACACTAAAATACAATAACTATTAAACATTAAAAGCTTCCCTAAACAGGGCTGCCTTCAGGTGTCTTCTAAAAGTTTGGTAGTTATTTTTCTCTTTGACATCTGATGGGAGGGTGTTCCACAGGGCGGGTGCCACTACTGAGAAGGCCCTCTGTCTGGTTCCCTGTAACTTGGCTTCTTGTAGTGAGGGAACCGCCAGAAGGCCCTCGGTGCTGGACCTCAGTGTCCGGGCAGAACGATGGAGGTGGAGACGCTCCTTCAGGTATACTGGACCGAGGCCATTTAGGGCTTTAAAGGTCAGCACCAACACTTTGAATTGTGCTCGGAAACGTACTGGGAGCCAGTGTAGGTCTTTCAAGACCGGTGTTATGTGGTCTCGGCAGCCGCTCCCAGTCACCAGTCTAGCTGCCGCATTCTGGATTAGTTGTAGTTTCCGGGTCACCTTCAAAGGTAGCCCCACATAGAGCACATTGCAGTAGTCTAAGCGAGAGATAACCAGAGCATGCACCACTCTTGCAAGACAGTCCATGGGCAGGTAGGGTCTCAGCCTGCGTACCAGATGGAGCTGGTAGACAGCTGCCCTGGACACAGAATTGACCTGTGCCTCCATGGACAGCTGTGAGTCCAGAATGACTCCCAGGCTGCGCACCTGGTCCTTCAGGGGCACAGTAACCCATTCAGGACAAGGGAGTCCTCCACATATGGTAAGAGAAGCACCCTGATGGTAAGAGCTGCTCTGACAGGGGAACAGGAAGTGGTGGTGGTTTTCTGGAGGCACTGCCTCCTGCATTTCTGAACATGCGTTGAGTCGGGCTGGACTAGATGACTTCAAGAGTCTCCCCCACCCCACCCCAATTCTTATGACTCTTATGCCTTGCAAAACTCAAAGAAATCCTAGGCTTGAAATTAAAAAAAATAAAAATACAAGTGTGAGCAACCTTTCTCCCACCACGTTTGGTGAACTACAATTCCCACCATCAATGGCCATGCTTGCAGAGGCTCCTGGGAGTTATAGCTCAGCAAAATCTGAAAGGCCAAAGGTGCCCAAACGTTTTAAAAATAAAATCGGAGAAACCTGTCAGACTGCAGCAGGACAGAAGGCTCAACACCTTTTCCCACCCCCACCACGGTCCTTTTCCCTTCCACCAACCCTCTTTCCTGGAACTCCGACGCCAATTCAGCTGCTCCCAATATACTCCCTTCTCTCCTCCATTCAGGGTCCGCTTCTTTCCCTTTGCTTGAGTGGATGTTTGCTAAACGGCAAAGACCGATCCAGAAAGCATTACCGCTTTGAGAAAACACTGGTTTTAATTTTATTTTAATTTAATTTTGATGGAAAAGTTAACAGAAAGGGTACGTGAAAGAAAACAACGTGAGAAACTACGTAACTTTTACAAAACGTGGTCCTCCTTTATTACATATGCATCAAAGAAAGAACATGCATTTAAACCGCCTAAGACACATGGGAGCATGTGGAATGATATTTTTTAAACCAGCACCTGTAGAAATAATTTTTTTATTTGATTATATTACTAATGTAATTACCTGGACGTAGTTGTGGCTGTTTTTTGGGAGGGTAGGGGAAAACTGTATTTGATTGCTTGTATTTGATTATATGTTGTTCTTATATTCAACTAATAATAAAAAAATATTTTTTAAAAGAGAAAACACTGAAACTCTTGTTGTGCTGTCTACAGGTGAGGGTGTTTCTGGGCGAGCAGGTGCGAAGCTGGACGAGGGTTCTGCACCTTTTAATAGTTGCACAGAGCGGGAGATGGGATTGCAGCAGCTGCAATTTGCCAGGCAAGAAGGTGAGAAAGGTGCTCACACAGTTCCACTTCCAGGCAAGAGGAACCCTGTGCATTACAGGCACAGGAATGTGAACTCCTCAAATGATCTTTGGTGCCTATCATGTTTTTAAAACTCTGTAATTTTCTCTCCCTCCCTCCGCCCCCCCACACAAACACAAACCTTTAAACCACTAGATTTGTAGCGCTTAAAATGCATCGAGCAAAAGCACCGGGGGACAGACTGGAAAGAAGGGAGAGAGAAACGGGAAAGCCTGCAACAAAATGCTGCAGCGTAGAGTGCTTCTGTTTGCATCCACACCATATCCTCTCTGATACCACCCGTAACAGGTAGGGGGAATTGTGGGAACTGTAGTTTGTTATGGGTGAAGACCCCACAGATTCACAATTTCCTTCACCCTTAACAGACAGAGGAGTCTCTCTGTGACTGTTGAAGTGGTATAATAGCACTTTAAATGTATGGTGTGGCATTGATCCTAGATTCCAGACAATCATAGAATTGTAGAGTTGGAGAGAACCCCAAGGGTCATCTAGTCCAACCTGCTGCAATGCAGGAATATTTTGCCCAACATGGGGCTCAAGCCTACGACCCTGAGATTTAAGAGTCTCATGCTCTTCCGAATGAGCCCAATCATTCCATTCCTGCAACCTTCCAGTTTTTCATTCCCTTTCCCCAACAGTCAATCGGCATTCCTTGGCTACTGAGCATGCACAGTCTTCTCTGGACTATTTAGCGGGGGGGGGGGGAGCTTCCCGCTTCAACAGTTTTCTGTATTTCTGCAAAACGTGGGGTTCCTTAAAGGCCACTTGTATCTCTCTCTCTCTTGTGCATGGGTAGTGCTGTGCTGACTTCCTAAGCAATGGCACTCATTGCATGAGCATCAAGAATAGAAGGAACGGCGGCGAGAACAGCAAAGCCATGAAGTATTCAAGAAGAAGAAGAAGAGTTTGGATTTGATATCCTGTTTTATCACTACCCTAAGGAGTCTCAAAGGGACGTGGGTAGCACTGTGGTCTAAACCACAGAGCCTAGGTCTTGCCGATCAGAAGGTCGGCGGTTCTAATCCCCATGACGGGGTGAGCTCCCGTTGCTCGGTCCCAGCTCCTGCCATCCTAGCAGGAAAGCACGTCAAAGTGCAAGTAGATAAATAGGTACCGCTCCAGCGGGAAGGTAAACGGCGTTTCCGTGCGCTGCTCTGGTTCGCCAGAAGCGGCTTAGTCCTGCTGGCCACATGACCCGGAAGCTGTACGCCGGCTCCCTCAGCCAGTAAAGCGAGATGAAGGCCGCAACCCCAGAGTCGGCCACAATTGGACCTAATGGTCAGGGGGCCCTTTACCTTTACCTTTACCTTTAAGGAGTCTCAAAGCAGCTAACAATCTCCTTTCCCCTCCTCCCCACAACAAACACTCTGTGAGGTGAGTGGGGCTGAGAGACTTCAGAGAAGTGTGACTGGCCCAAGGTCACCCAGCAGCTGCATGTGGAGGAGCCGGGAAGCGAACCCAGCTCACCAGATTACAAGACTACTGCTCTTAACCACTACACCACACTGGCTCTTAGAGGCTTTCTAAGCATACATTACACCTATTCATAAGCACTCCATTAAAAGCTGGCACCAAGGTGATCCCAAAAGTTGTGCAAGATCTCATACCCAATCCACAACCTGCTCTTAAGAACATGAAGAAGGGCCCTGATGGATCAGGACCAATGGCCCATCTAGTCCAGCGTCCTTTTCTCATGGTAGCCAACCAGATGCGTATGGGGAACCGACAAGGAGGACCTGAGCACAAGGGCATCTCTCCCTTCCTGTGGTTTCCAGAAACTGCTGTTCAAAGGCATTACTGCCTCTGACCATGGAAGCAGACCATAGCCTCCAACATGACTGGTAGCTCTTGATGGACATATCTGCCACAAATCTGCTTCCAAAGAATTTGCTCCTGTGTTCAGGACCTCCCTCAGCAATCATAGACTTGGAAGGGACCCCCGAGGGTCATCTAGTCCAACCCCCTGCGATTCAGGAATCTCGGCTAAAGCATCCATGACAGGTGGCCATCCAAACCTCTGCTTAGAAACCTCCAAGGAAGGAGAGTCCAGAAACTCCAGAGGGAGACCGTTCCACTGCAGTGTTGAAGCCATTAAGGTTTCAGGGCAACACGTGTTGTTAAAAGGCAGGGGCCTTTTACAGGAGCATTAACAAAGGGCAATTAATGCATGCAAGAAACAGGAAAGGTAAAGGGCAAAGGGTCCCCTGACCATTAGGTCCAGTCGTGAACGACTCTGGGGTTGCGGCGCTCATCTCGTTTTACTGGCCGAGGGAGCTGGCGTTTGTCCACAGACAGTTTTCTGGGTCATGTGGCCAGCATGACTAAGCCGCTTCTGGCGAAACCAGAGCAGCGCACGGAAACGCCGTTTACCTTCCTGCCGAAGCGGTACCTATTTATCTACTTGCACTTCGTGCTTTCGAACTGTCAGCTACTAAGTGCTTAGGGAGACTCTGATACAGACCCTGGATTAGGGTTGTGAACCGCCCTGAGCTCTACAAATAAATGGCAATATACAAATTTAATAAATAATAATAATAATACAAAAGTTGTTTGCATTACCATAGTGGCCTGAATATGGCTGCACCCAAATATAAGCTGCACCTTTATTAATTGATGGGGGGGGAGAAAAAAAGAAGAAATGCCTGAATATAAGCCGCTCTATTCCTTGCTGCTCCTGGCTGCATGCTAAACTGGGGGGGGGGGGGAAGCCACGCTACACTGCCGGCGGCCTTTCCTCTTCCTCGCTCTCTACCCTTGGACAGGGGACTATGCGCGGGGCATTCGCTGTTTGCCCCATGCTCCTGGCTACATACTGTAAGGTCGCAAATATAAGCCACAACTTCAACTTTTCACGGTCGGAATTTGGGGGGGGAAGTGTGGCTTATATTCAGGCCAACACGGTATTTGTCACTGTAGTCAACAATAACCCGCAGACTAGATTACTGCAATGCGTTCCGTGTGGGGCTCCCCTTGGGCCTAGTCTGGAAGCTCTAGCAAATGCAAACTGCAGCAGCCAGACTACTGATGGGGGCAGACAGCTGACAGCACACGCCACCACTTTTGGCACATCTGCACTGGCTGCCCATATGCTGCTGGGCCGGGATCAGGGCTCTTGTGTTAATATACACAGCCCTGAACAACTGAGGTCCAGTATACCTTAGGACCTGCCTGAGCAATCGACACAGTCACCGAGAACACCTGGAGGAGCACAGTGAGTTGTCCCCCGTGTTACAGAGGCCCAACCAGCCTCGGCCAGAAGTCAGGCATGAAGTGTTGCTGATCCCATAATGTGGCACACTCTCCCGGCAGAGATTCCCCAAGCCTCCCCACTACTGACTTCCAGGCATCTTTTGCAAAACTTCTCACCCTGAAAGTCTTCTGACTAACTGCTTAAGCTTTCTCGATTAGCCGGTCCTCTCCATGACTATTTTCTATTGTTTCTACGGCAGCTTTTCATTCTATTGCACCCGTGTATGTTGCTGTAAGCCGCCTTGATGCTACATCTGAGTCAGCCATATGCAGATACGTCTATAAATAAATGGAATAAAATAGAGGGAGATCCCACAGAATGAGCTGGCTAACTTCGCCCTTGAAATCTCCTTGTGCTGGAAGCATAGAGCCAGGGAGCAAGAAAACCTACAGGAGCAATGACAAAGCTCAATATATTATTGAGTGCAGACTCCCTCAAGGGAGCAGAGAAAGAAGACCTCATGGCATTTGCAGTCTTCCTCAGGAGTGTAGCTGGGGTGGAATGGCAAAAGCACCAGCCTCAGGTACGAGTGAAGGCACAAAGCACATTGACATGTTTTCTGAAAACCATTGTTTTTCTTTTCAGTATGGAATAATTAGGTGTGCCCTCAAGGTGGCCAACAGAAAGCCAGAAATTCAGAGGCTTGGTGAGGGCAGCTGGCTAGGGGGGGAGGCACCATGCCCCTTCTCACCATCAGTGTTAGAAACTCAGATATGCTATAAGCTAATCACCAAATGGCACCTTAAACCTAGGTTATGGTCACCACAACGGAATGTCTAGGCACAATTTGTTGTTGCAGTGGGAATTATCATCATTTCTTTACTTGGTCCAGTAGACCTGAAGGAGCGTCTCCACCCCCATTGTTCTACCCGGACACTGAGGTCCAGTGCTGAGGGCCTTCTGGCGGTTCCCTCACTGCAAGAAGCCAAGTTACAGGGAGCCAGGCAGAGGGCCTTCTCGGAAGTGGCGCCCACCCTGTGGAACACCCTCCCACCAGATGTCAAAAAGAACAACTACCAGACTTTTAGAACACATCTGAAGGCAGCCCTGTTTAGGGAAGCTTTTAATGTTTAATAGATTATTGTATTTTAATATTCTGTTGGAAGCCGCCCAGAGTGGCTGGGGAAACCCAGCTAGATCGGCGGTGTATAAATAATAAATAATAAATTATTATTATTATTATTATTATTATTATGCTTTAAAAGAAAAAAATTCAAAGAGGTTTACAACACATTAAGACATCAAATAAAACAATCCACAACGAATTCAAATTTCAAGGAAAATACTTCAGATCCTTCTCTAAGTGACATTTTGATTTCCCCATATTTATTTACTTACTTAATTTATATAGCTGACCCATAGCAAAAGCACTCTAGGAAGCCAATGTGGTATAGTGGTTAGAGTGTCGGACTAGGACCTGGGAGATGAGGGTTCAAATCTCCACTCGGTCATGAAGCTCACTGGTCCTGGGTGACCTTGGAGTCAGTCACAGCCTATTAACCTACCTCATAGGTTCATTGTAGGGATTAACTGAGGAGCAGGGTAAACCATGTACTCCTTGGAGAGAAAGGTGGGCTATATATGCAATGAAGAAGCTCTTCTGCTTACCTGCTTCAGAAACCTGGAGGGGGCAGACAGGTGGAGATGTCAGTTGCCCACCTGGCATCCAGAGATCTCCACACATGGACCCACGCCAGTAGCAAAATGCACTTTGGCGCCTGGCTAATTTCTAACACAGCTCACCAGCCTGTAGCCTAACACAGTAAAGCACATTCAGGCACCGAATGCTGCTGGCAGTGCAGTGGGTGGAGGACACAGGGGCAGGGAAAAGGAAGGAATAAAAACAAAATGTGACTCGCTCCCCCCACTGATCTGAAAGTACCAGAAAGTTATTGCACAACAGCTTTGAAGCTGGCTCATCATGGAACAGCAGGAGCAGTCTGCATGGGTAGCGAGGGCATAATTTTGGCAGCAATGCCCTGAAAGATCGCCCATCATTCAGAACTCATTCCAGGTTTTGCCAATCACTCCCTCCAAGAATAACTTTGAACTTCTTTACCTATCATTTATCATCTCCTAGATGTCAGAGTTGGTTTCTTTATTCGTTTTTTCCTAAATAACATCTGCAGTTTCAGGATGGAAGGAAAGAATCGGGAAATGTGTTCAGTTGAAAAGTGCGCCATTGATCATTGCTCAAATTTACAACATGACAGCCATTCGCTGCAACAGGGGCAGTGGGGCTGGAGTAGGGGGCAAACAGCTTGTTATTTCTCACTGTGAAAGGGTCATCCACTATCTGGCAGAGGCTGCTGCTTGCCCTGGTATTACTCAACCCACACCAAGGTGGCTTGCAATTGCACATTTGGGGTGTGTGACAAAGTGAGTCAGAACCACAAGGAGGGAGTTGATAGGCTCTGGACAGCCACCAAGCGGGGGGGGCGGGGAGGACAAGGCCCCAAACAGACCAAGGAATTCAGAAGAAATTGGAGAAGGAGATTCAAAGCTGCCACTTGGTATTTGATTCCTCCTTAGTTTTAGATATGTTTCACTATTGCCCTCCGCTGAAAGAAACAGATGCCGAATTTGCATGAAAACTTCCAGAACCACATTGTGTTTGGCACGGGTCTTTGGCTTCCGTGTTTGAGTCATCTGACTAGGGGGCCATGGAGTGGGGGGTGTCCCCTCTCAGCTTTCCTATCTATTTGCTTCACCTCTTAATGGTCTCTTCCCCTGAGACCACATTAATCCTGAAGATGGGGCTGAGCACCACAGGCAAACACACACATACTCCCACCACAAAAAACACCAGCCCCCACAAGTACATAGGAAAGTACTTTCCATCCACTCAAACCACTGGAGAGCCAGTGTGGTGTAGTGGTTAAGAGCGGTAGACTCATAATCTGGTGAACTGGGTTCGCGTCTCCGCTCCTCCACATGCAGCTGCTGGGTGACCTTGGGCCAGTCACACTTCTCTGAAGTCTCTCAGCCTCACTCACCTCACAGAGTGTTTGTTGTGGGGGAGGAAGGGAAAGGAGATTGTTAGCCGCTTTGAGACTCCTTTGGATAGTGATAAAGCAGGATTTCAAATCCAAAACTACTACTACTGGTCCACCTAGCTCAGTATTGTAGAAATTGACTGACAGCTGCTCTCTGGGGTTCCAAACAGTAGACATTCCCAGTCCCACCTACAGAAGGTCTCTGACATTTCCAGGTGTTCCACTGCTGAGCTACAGTCCTTCCACAGGTGACTGTATCCAATTGGTTCAAGAAATTCGGAGGCGCCGGGTCAACTTCTGCTACGATTTCATTCCCGAATTCCACAGCAGACCTACCGCACAGGTGCTGTGGGATGGTTTGCCCCCAAACCTGGGCAATTCACCAGCCATTGCACCTCACAGATACGGATAACAGTATTTCTAGGAACTGGTTCACAAAAGCCTGTACTGTATATTAACTGCGTCGGCAGTGTCGAGTGGCAACTTGTGTCTGCGAACAGGCCGTTGCGGAAATACAGAACCACAAATAGAATTACTGCATCATCACCTCAACATGCAGTGCTTTCCCTCCCTCAGGAGTCAGTTCACACAGTGCAGAAAAATTGACAGGATGTGCTTGCAGGTAGAGGTGTGACCCAGGCCTGGGATGGGTCTATACTCACAACATGAAAAGAGAAAAGCAAAGGTTGGTATTTCCCCCTTGAGCTTGCAGACAGAAAGACTGGATGGGTAGAATGCAAACCATGAGAGGGGGCATCCTCGTAAAAGCAACTGGACTTCCAGTAGCCAAGGTTTGGCGCCAGCTACCATTTAGCAGTCACGAGACCCTTTTAATTTCTCGACCACGTAAAAACATAGGGAGCTGCCTTATTTCAACTGGAAATATTTGGCCTATTGAGCTCAGAGTTTTCTAGTGGTTCTCTGGGATTTCATATGGGAGCCTTTTCCAGGGACCTAGGACCCTAATTTCTCTTAAGCTTTACAGAGCGCACAAAAAGTGGCAAGCCCAGAAACAAATTTACAAGCCTGCCAGCTCGTGCCTGCCCATTAGTCACTGGAAGGCTCAAAGACAAAAAAGAGGAACACCTCTTTCGGCAGTGTCCCCACCTGGAGACGATTTTTGTCTCGCCATAGCCAAACAGCAAGCAGCAATTTAGAAATCAGCTCTCTTGTTTATCGTACTCTTCCCGCCCAGAATTTGCTGGTGCTCTTGGCAAACTCTTTGCAAGGGCTGAGATACAGATGGAAATAAGTGCCAATTCCCCAAAAGAGGCAGCTGCCCCCTCCCCATATATATTTATTCTACGTTGCTCATACCCCACTCTTCCCCCACATAGACAGAGGGGGCCACTTCCTTTTATCCTCACAACTAGCACATGAGGTTGGTTGAGTGTGTGTGTGATGAGCCCTATGCAGTAGCGGCTGGTCGATTAGGGAGGATGGGGCACTGCCCCACATTTCTCAGCCTCTCCTCAGCTAGCTGTCACCTGCCTGCCTTGTTACTCACAATCAGTTCAGGGGATGGATCTGCCCATCAGCTTCTTCTTCCTTAGTAGCCTCAGTGCTCTTTGTGTAAAACTCGAGAGACAGGAAGATGGGGACAAAACTAAATTTAGTTGACTCTGGCTGAGCCTCCCTCCCATCCGCTCTGCCAGTCCCAATGGAAAATAGGCACGAGTACTGGCCCAATGTTAAGCCGGTGAGCTCTAGGGGCCATTGTGTGGCTTTGAGCTCAGCTGGTTAGAGCGTGGTGCCGATAATCCCAGGCTTCCCTGGTGCAAATCCCTTACCACTGACTATACCTCACTGACTTTCTTTCGCTCCCCATTGCTAGCAGGAGTAGAAGGGATCGTGCAAATATATGCACACTTGCTCAGCAAATTCAGCACTGTGTGGTGCCTTGGGTGGTCTTTCTCACTGTCGGCTTGTTCTGGCACTGCCCGTAATTTCACCCAAATGCTTGTTAGATCCTCCAGGAGAAGACACTCAACTTTGTTAATAATTTGCTAAATATCAGACATCAGAAAGGAAGGGAGAGTAAGGCAGAAAAGCAGAGCAGCTTTTCCATGCGCACATTTAATCGTCTCTTTTACTTCAGTGTCATGTGTGTAAATATTAATCATAGCATTATCTTTGACCGGTCACGTTGAACGAATTACGTAAACTCAAAACTTCTTAACGTGAAACCTTTTGATGTGCAAATGTAAAAACATCACGGCTCCTGCCACAAGCCAGCATTTAAAATCTGCTTCGTGGTCAAGCCTGTTGCCTAAAGAAATGCGGCATGCTGAGAGCAAGGTAAAGGAAGGAACCACCTAGGGGTGCAAAGGTCGTTCTTAATCTGCCAGGGGAAAGGCCGGCTCTGTTTTGCTCCCCTCCCATCTCAACCAAAGACTCTCCAGCATAACTTCCCCAGAAATTGCAAAATATCCTCAACATCCCAGTTCCTCTGCTCCCCTGCCAAACTCCACTGTCCTCTCGGAATAAAATGGAGGCATTCTGGCTTTCTCGCTGGGCTGACCTTTTAGCTCCCAAAAGCTTATGGGATCTGCCTGTTCCATCTGCAGCTCCACCTGCCCTGGTTTCGCAGGCCAAAACCAAGGATCAGCTATACGTGTTGGAAAACACATCCCCATTCTCTCTCTCTCTCTCTCTCCCCGCCCCATCCCTTCCCATGTCAGTCACACCACCTTGGAAAGCGAAGCAGGAGCATCCAGAACTCATCAAGAAATGCACACTCAGATGCTACGGAAAGGAAGAGAGCATCTGCGCCACTAACTTCAGGACCCTGGACAGAGCTGGTGCTTAAAAAACAAAGGAGCCAACACAGCCTGTTAATCATTCTTGAAATATTGTTGAAACTGGACAGGAGCCTGTTGAAGACATTCACGGGGCTGTTTATTTTTAGTATTGACAAATCCCCTTTGGACCACGCAGTGTTTATTCCATCGGATGCCCTGTCTTTCAGAATGGTTACTCATCACTCTTGTGGTGAGCCAAACTGGGTCCCCCAAATTTTGAGTGATTTCTTTTTTTAGCGTGACTGAGAGGTGAAGGTGGGGGGGGGGGGAATAAAGGGCAAGGAAGAAGTTACCCCAGGAAATTCACAGGTTCTGTCAACATAAACTAGGAGCCCTTTTTGCCTTACACCTTTTGGACAAAGGCAAACTTGTTGCCTGGGTTTTATAAAGATAAGTTCTTCACCTTTCACTTTCCGTCCTGGTTCCCCATCACTCTTTTTTGAAGCTGAAAGTGTTTTTTATTCCCACCGCTGTTTACTTCTCCTCTACTCACCTCCCCCCTCAACACACACACACACACACGGTAAGACTGTAATCGTAAGTGCACCATCACAGTTTTCATTATTTACGGTACTTCATAGGAAAATTGGGGTGTTTGTGTGTAATAAATGAATAAAAATAGTGAACACACACCAAACTTTTGATCCATAAATTTTAAGAAAGATCTTTGGAAAATGGAAGCTAGAACAATATACGTATAAAACATGAGGTTTTCAGTGGTAATTGAGGCATCCATTCTCATTCCAGCAAGGAAAAAAGGGTGCCTTGTTCCCTCTCCCAACAGACGTCTCACTAAAACCATCCTAAAATCCTCAACTCTTCTTTTTTAAAGCAGACAGCTTCATTTTTTAGTCCACTGGGCCCAGAAGTCAAACTTTGCAGTTCATTTGATTTCTGGTTTTAAACCAGCTCTTTTGATTATTATTATTATTAAACCCCCTTTGCCCCCACCTCCATCAGGATAGTCTGATTCTAGCACTTCAGCTTCAGAGTGATCTCTTTAAAAAACAAAATAAATCCTTATTTCTTCCCTTTCCACTTAAACCCACCATGACGCCAGCGTGAGAATGGAGGGATTAACTTGCAAAATATAATTAGGTTACCTACAAACTTTAGAATCCGCGGGAAGGAGAAGATCCCGGGTCCACGCAAGCTTTTCTCCTCCTTTAGATCCATTCCCAGGAATTACTTCTTTTCCCCCTTTTCTTTAAACCTCTTCCTAAGGCAGAATTCCCCCGCCTTCCCAAACCAAACCCCCATGATGATAAAGAAAGGAAACTTACTGTGGCTTTTGTTTTTTGTTGTGTGTGTGGTTTTGGTTGTTTTTCCTTCAGCAGGACTTCCCCGCTGCTTTGCCCAGGCAGACTTCCAGGGTCATTCCAGAGTGAAGTTTTAAGTCCCGCTTTAATAGCTCCCAAGCGCCGGGGAGAAGCCCCTTCCCTTCATCGCCGCGCCCCTCGGCCCCGGGGGCGACCCCTCTCCATCCTAGGCGGCTGCAGCTGCCGGCGGGCCATGCTGGAAGTGGTGCCAGCGCCTCCGCGCGCGCGGATGCGAAGAGATCGGCTGGCAAGGCAGGCAGGCAGGCAGGCAGGCAGGCAAGGCAGGCTGGCCGGTCCAGGCGAGGGAGGCGGTAGCTTCGCACGCGCCGCCTCTCTCTCCCCGGCGCTCGCTGGCTGCACTCTTGCTGCGCCCTCGCCCTCCATTCCGCTCGCCTGGCGCTGGCAGCGCTTTGCGAGGCGCCAGAGCTGTGGGGCAGCGACCCCTGCTGGCCGCGCGCGGAGCCGCCAGAGGCGCTGGGGGAGGGAAAAGGAAAACCCCAGAGGGGGGCGAGGCAAGGGGTGGGGGCGCTTGGGGGGGGGCGCCGAGAGAACTTTCCAGAAACTTTGGGAGTTCGGGGAGGAGAAGGGAATGGGGTCCCTTTCGGCTTCCGAGACTGCAGTTGGACTTCAGGCGGAGAGGCGCTCTTCTTGCCGCTTCCTCAGCAGGAACGTGGGAACCGGCCTTACACGCGAGTCAGGCCCTCAGTCCGTCTGAGCCAGTGTGGGCGGCACAGGCTGGCAGGGACCTCACGGCGTTCCAGGCAGGAAGGGAACCGGCGGGGGCCAAATTTGTTGCACTTTCAAAGCAGTTTTGAGCTGGAGGCTCCTCGCAGGGGTTTTATTGCAGTGGCTGATTGGGTGGACGGCTTTGCTTTCGTCGCTACCACGACTTACTGCTCAGGGCGCAAATTTTTCATGTTAAGGTGGTGGGTTCGAAAGATTTCGGCATTGCAGGGGGTTGGACTAGATGACCCTTGGGGTCTGGGCAGGGCCGGATTTAGGTTTGATGAGGCCCTAAGCCACTGAAGGTAATGGGGCCCTTTAGATGTCCAGCTGTCCTTTGTCAACAACAAATTGTCGCGGGTTTTGTGTGTGTTGAATATATGCTATATGGTAATTTATGGACCTAATGGGGATCTCAAGCCATTTGCACATAACAACATATGTATTTTATCAAAGTAATTGTTGAACTGAAATACAGTTAAGAAGAAGTATATTAACAGTGAAATACGATTAAGAAGTATATTAATAGTGAAATGATTATTAAGCTCTAACTTAAAATGATTGGGGGCCCACAACACAATACAAACACGTGTTGCTGTATGTAGGTTTTATTTTATTTGTTTTTTATCTTATATTTTGGAAATGTACATCCAGGGTTTTTTTCCCTTTGTGGGGGGGGCAAGAGAGTGGGGCCCTAAGCTATAGCTTGTTTAGCTTATACGTAAATTCCCTTGGGATCCTTCTGACTCTACAATTATAGGATTCTGTGTTAGACTGCGAACCACAAGCGCTTACCTGGGAGTAAGCACCATTGAACTCAGCAGAACACTCTGCTGAGTAAGCACGCAGAAAGCTCTGGGGGACTTAACAGTCCAGGGTAATATTTCTATTGCAGCCTGCTCGGAGCGCACTTTGTAGGGAAAAGCCATGCAATAAAATTAAAAGTGATGAGGGAAATAAAGGTGACCCCCCCTCCCTTTCCTTCTATCTAGCAAGGAGTCATTGCTTCTGGTGGTTTTGATACTGACAAAAGAAAGCACATCGTTCCTTCGAGGCACCTCTGCAGAGTTTTGAGGAAATTTACTTAAGCTTTATTCAGTTAATTAAAACCCAGCAGATTAATCCCTAGACTCTCATCATGAGATTGCAGAGCACGGGGCATACCACTGGCAAGTGCGGCGGATCAGTGCCGCCGCGTACTCTGTGCGTGCGCCGAATTTTGGGACTGGCACAGAACCGTCATGCGCTCAGTTATTGTATTCCAGGGGTCAGCAGCCTCTTTCAGCCGTGGGCCGGTCCACCATCCCTCAGACCTTGTGGGGGGCTGGACTATATTTTGGAAAAAAATATACAAGTGAATTCCTATGCCCCACAAATAACCCAGAGATGCATTTTAAATAAAACCACACAATCTACTCATGTAAAAACACCAGGCAGGCCCCACAAATAACCCAGAGATGCATTTTAAATAAAAGGACATATTCTACTCATGTAAAAACATGCTGATTCCCGGACCGTCCGTGGGCTGGATTGGGAAGGTGATTGGGCCATATCCAGCCCCCGGGCCTTAGTTTGCCTATCTCTGTATGTAGTCCTTGCAGGATGTAGACCCAGAGGCAGCTGACCTGAACCAGGCCGCATTCATGCCCTGTAACAACCACTTGAAACAGTCATGGCTTCCCACAGAGAATTCTGGGAGCTGTACTTTGCTAAAGGTGCTGGGAGCTGCCAGAAGACCTCCTTGTGCACCTTCTGGAGCTACAATTCCCAGACTTGTTTAACCAGTGCTATTTTTCTTTTTTCTTAACGAAAAGGGGCCCTGGAACTCTTCGCTCTTACAGTTCTGTGAAGGGAATAGGCGGTCCCCTAACAACTCTCAGCACTCTTATCAGACCACAGCTCCCAGAATTCTTTGGAAAGAAAGAAAGAGCTGAACTTTTTGGGTAACCTTCCAGATATTTGCTGAACAGCAAAAGACTAGAAGATCGTTGCGTAATCTTCACAGTTTAGGCAACACCACCCTCTGCTGGTCGAAGAGGATATTGCAGCGAGTAGGTTGGTGGACAGTGACATTTAATTAGTAATTCGCGGCATTAAGTCCAACTTTATTTTTTCATTTGATGCTTCAAAGGCTAATTAAGCCCTGGGACCTATGCACCTGAGAGCACTTGCTCCAATTACATTACTCCTTCCCTTGTTTTTTCTTTATAATGGATTCCTTCTCCCCTCCCTCCTTATATCGTTTCAACTCAGAATTCATTGAAAGTTCTTTCAAGTGTTCTGTTCACATATAGTCCCTATGGCTCCGTTGCAGCTTTCTTGATTTATCTCCCAGACTTCCTTCGAGTCCCCAGTCCTGCCCTATCCCCACTGGAGAGGGTTGTGGCAAAGGCTGGATTAGACTGGCCTATGGAGACTGGCTGCCTTGTGAGCTTGAAACTGGGTCTCCCCAGGACTCATAAGAGACTTTAACCACTACACCCCACTGCCCATTATAGCTTATTCCAGAGGACCTTCCTGAACTGCAGCTCCCATCTCTGGGACACTGTGCCACAAATGCATGACATGCTCGTTGTGACCACATGCTTTCAGAATTTGAGCGGAAATACCTTGTCTTCGAGACAATGTTTCAAATGCGGGCATTTGTTATGAGAGAAGCCTGATCCCTTGCCATTGCTAATGATTTTATTGTAAACCCTACATCTTATAGCAGGCATAGGCAAACTCCGGCCCTCCAGATGTTCTGAGACTACAATTCCCATCATCCCAAGCTAACAGGACCAGTGGTCAGGGATGATGGGAATTGTAGTCTCAGAACATCTGGAGGGCCAGAGTTTGCCTATGCCTGTCTTATAGGATCATAGAGTTGGAAGGGACCCCGAGGGTCATCTAGTCCAACCCCTTGCAATGCAGGAATCTTAACTTAGGCACCCATGGCATGGGGCCATCCAACCTGGTGGGACAACTGCAGTCTTCTTTCCCAAGGCCTGGGACAGGGGGAATAAGGTAACTGGGGATCCAGACTGGACTCCATATGCGGGTTGAGGTTGTTCTTGGGAAAACCGTTGAGGAAACCCTGACACATGATTCCTCAGCCCTCCAAGTCTTCAGCTCCACAGGCCCCCAAGCCTCTTCCCTCCAGGGCCGGAGTCAGACAGGACCTTGACAACATTGTTTAGGGGTGCAAAGGCACCCATAACTGCTAGAGTCAGTGAACGTTAGAAAATCAGTAAAATGGTAAAATTTAGATCATATTTGGGATAATGAAGGGGAAATGCAGGCTGCAGCGTGGGAATTCCTGGCCTGTCTGGGCCAGTTGAGTACAAGCCATTACGAAACGATAGTGACACATCAAAGAAAGATCCATGGATCTGTGCAAAATAGGGTTGCCAAGGTTAGCGGGGGGCATGGTGTCCTGCAGGAAAAATGTATCCCCTAGCAAATGTTCTTGGGGAGGAAAAAGGAGGTGCCAGAATTGGAGGCAGAGGCCATGTGGGGCAGAACCATCTTGGCAGGCTGGGACAGAGGCACGGACATGGTGTGCAGGATCTTGGACTCCAGTGCTGCACTGCTTTGGGATGTAACGCTGTGAACTTTCTTCCTCCACCTAGATCCAGGTGTATATAGTTGTAAAATAAACCATACATCTTAAAACACTACACTCTCTGATGTGCCTGCATCCCCAGCTAAAACACCCCTGGAATCTCGCTACTGATCAGCAGAGGTTGGGGGTGGTGTGCAACCTTTGTAAGAATACCTCCGTATTTACAAGGCTAGGCTAGCTCCACCCACGTTTTATAGGCAGGGAGGGGTCTTCTTCCCCACAGAGGAGAGATGAAAGCAAAAGAGGGTCCTTTGCTGCAGCCATTTATCCCTTCCTTTACCCCAGCGTAACCAAATATTGGAAGATTCAAGATTTATTTGCACAGTACATAGCTATACTGTGGAACTTGCTACAACAGGAGGCAATGCTAGCCACCAACTGAGAAGGCTTTAAAAGAAGATTAGACAAACTCAAAGAGGAGAGAGCTATCCATGGCTAGCTATAGAGCTGGAGGCAGCGATGGTTCTGAGCGCCGGTTGCTAAAAAGCACTGGAAGGGAGAGCGCTCTTGTGGTCAAATCCTGCTCGCTGGTTTCCCACAGGCACCATCTGGTTGGCCACTGGAAGGGTCATTGGTCTGATCCAGCAAGCTGTTCTTGTGTTCTTAAGTGCTGCTTCCACTCTAGTCCTCATCCTCCAGCTCCAATCCGGCTGCTAGACTTGGAGTGGGATGAAGGAGCCATCTCTACGTTGACCTCCTTCCTGCTTTCTTTAAGGAAAGCATTGCAAGCCACAGCTAAACGCCAAAGGCCTCCAAGCCATTGAGAGAAATCCTTGTCGTCCCAGATGGTAGCTGCATCTCTGCTGCCATAGAGATTGAGCCATGCAAGTCCATGTTATCAGGTTGGCCATTGCCCCTCGCAAGAGGCTTCTTGTGCATCTCCAGCCAGGGGTGTCTTTGCCCCCAAGTGCACCAGTGGGAGTGGGAGGCAGGGGTTTTCACTCCCCAGACAACACATTGCGGCACACTTAGATGGAGTCAGTTCAATGTTTGGGTGTGTGTCAGCAAGGCCTCCCCTCACATGCAGAATGAATGGGCATGAGGTTGCAGCATTTCGTCCGCAGGCTCCCCCCGTGGAACAGCGCACAGAGAGACCAGCACACATACAACTGTGCACATTTGGAAACCATGTGCAAAGCAAGTGCATGCGAATCAGGCTTTGGTACGGCAATGGCTGAGTGGTAAGGGAAAGGTTAGTCTTCTGAGCAATTCCAAAAGATTACGGGTTTAAAAGGAATTAGATCTTCTCCAAGTCAGTTCGCAGTAAAAACACGGAAAGCTAAGCACGCAACAAGAACAGATTCAGCTACGTTGAAGCCATTTGCAACTGCTGACTCAAAGCAGTGATCAGCTCTTTAATGTATAAAAGCTTTGAGGATTGCAACGGCAAAGTCTACCTTGAACAGGGGTCTCTAGGGTGAGAGTGGGCACAGCCACCTGCATTTATTCTGGAGGAGCCCTATTAAATTCCATGTGACTTCTACAGCGTAAGTGATTTGTGGAAAGCATCCTTGGCGTTCTCCTCCCCAGGGTCTGCTAAAGCAATACATCGTCTGTATATCAGCCCTTGATACATTTGGGGTTGGTACAATTAGGACTAAATTACTGTTACATCATCAGACTTTGGGAAGAGTAATCTCTCCAGCAGCTTCTTGGAAATCGTGGCTAGAAAAATTGCCCAGGCAAATTAAACAGAAGAGAATTGCCACCTTAATTCCCTGGTTCAAAGCATCCTCCTTGCTCCTTAAATCTTGCAACTCTGACTAAGGGCCATTTCACACATTACAAGCAATCTAGGGTTGCCCTTTTCCTTTAAGTATTCATTTTCACCTTTAGCACCCTAAACAATTTGAGAGCAGGTCGTCTTAAGGACCAGCTGCATCCATATGAACCTGCCTGGGTTGTAAAATGGACTTTAGGAGACCCTGTTTTCTAGACCACCAATAGAATATCTTTGATGGGCAGCAACCAGAGATGGGGCTTTTTAGTGGTGACTCCACATCTTTGGAATTCCTTCCCCAGGGAGATATGCATAAACCCATCAATGCTATAAACATAACCCATGCTCTTTCCTCATTACATCCATATTTCTGGATTGCTTCTTGGTCTGTTTATTGTATTATCGCAATGGCAGCAACATGGCTACAATAATATATACACATCATGGTGATGTTTATCATATTCCAGAAGATGCTGTATCAACAAAACATGCAGCGGCTATATTGGTCAGACAGGGAGGTCGAAAGTGTTAAGTTCCAGTTTGGGCAGCAACCAGTGGTTTTATGCCTGTTATTCTGCAAAGTGCCATGTACATGAAATATGTTACATAAAGAATAACAGTGGTGAATAGAACAGTTTTCTATCCAGTTGTTTCTGCTTTCATGTATTGTTTCCAGATGAGCAATTGAGTTATGACTTTGTATAAGCATTCTTTCTGCCTGTAGGTAAGCGATGAGCTAGGGCTGCCATGTTTCAAAAAGTGAAAATCCGGACACAAAAGTTGTTGAGCTTTTTTTAAGTACTGCCCAAAGTTCTTGAGCTGCTTTTGCAAAAGAAAAAAAGAAAAAGAAAAAGAAATCAAGTTTTTAAACTATTTTTAAGGAGATTCGCCAAAATGTAGACTTCCAACATTCCCCTAGACATTTTAGTGATTTCCACCCGGACACTGATTCCGGTTGCCATATTTCAGCTATGTCCGGGAAATTCGGGACGTACAGCAGCCCTAGATGAGCAAGTTGCTCCCTACCCTTCTGCCTCAATTCAGAACAGGCCTACCTCAAATTAGGATAACTGGGATCCATTGGGACTGGGTTCGAATCAAACAATTTAAACTCAGACCCACTGCACACAGCTGCAGCCCAATCAGCAGCAGGGTGGGGCCCAAAGAAGAAGAAGAAGAAGAGTTTGGATTTGATATCCCGCCTTTCACTCCCTTTAAGGAGTCTCAAAGCGGCTAACATTCTCCTTTCCCTTCCTCCCCCACAACAAACACTCTGTGAGGTGAGTGGGCTGAGAGACTTCAAAGAAGTGTGACTAGCCCAAGGTCACCCAGCAGCTGCATGTGGAGGAGCGGAGACGCGAACCCGGTTCCCCAGATTACGAGACTACTGCTCTTAACCACTACACCACACTGGCTCTTCCAGGCCCCAATTCTACCCCCCCCAATTCTACCCCCCCAAAGAATCCCACTTTCCAGACTTAATTGGACGGGAAGGAAATCTTCTGGCAGCAGAGGGCTCAGCCTTAAAGTCTGGATGTTCTTCCACTGCAGACAGGAAGAATGCAGTTCTTAATTTCCTCTGGCTCAATCCACTGACCCAGAATGCACTGGTAAGTGCATTTCTCGTGTTTCCTGCTGGCAGTGAGCACTCCCTGCCCTTGCTTGCACTCCCAGGTTCCATGAGACGTATAGAAGACTCCTCACCAAATTAGAAATCTGAAATAAGAACCTGCGTGAACCACCAACACAGGGGAAAGGTAAACACTTGCCAAACTTCTTGGCTGGTGCATCAAAGGAGCCCTCTATTTCCAGACCAGAAAAACCATACTCTGGTCCCATAGGGGCCAGCAAGTTATATTCTCCGTGGGCTTAAGCTCACTTCGGTGCAGTAAGGAAAGAATCACAGTCATCACAGCAATGATACCCATGTCCGAGAGATGATTCTAACATAAAGATTATGATAGCCTTTCACACATCCTTCCCTTATCATGCAGCTAGGAAAAAATGAGCAGTGATAAAGGTAGTATGGTAAAAATAATGGCAGGTGTTCATAATTTGAGGGGTGGAGTCTTCTTGGATTCCTCAATAAGAGAACCATTGCTTGGTGTCTGAGTGGCACTGTGTCTGTTTAAAGCATCTACACGTTAGACCTCTTGCCTTTGTCTGTAAACAGCTGGCCATCTCTAGCTTTGTCGTTTTTAGGAGACTCTGCCACTTCCCCCTCAAAAGCATCATCAAGTTCTCCAGTAACACTGCGGTAGGATGGAGGAATAGATTCCAAGGATGTTGTGTGGGACTTGTCTGTGTCTGTGATATAGTTTTCATTCATTAGCTGCGCAAGGAGACCTTCTTGTTCCGGAGCATCTTCGTCAAGGATATCTCCATCGCTGGTTTTGTGTCGGTGTAAGAAAGAGGCCTGCTTCATGGAACGCTGGAGCAAATGACTCCGGAAGGCCTTCTGTATAACAGCGGCAGACGCCTCCTCGTATTTCCACCTGAGCGTGGTGGTGATTGGTTCGTAAGAAGCCTTGGACGGGTTTGTTGCCATGAATTTCTCCTCCATTTGTTGCTTAAGGGTGTCCATCTCTCCCGAGTCTCCAAGAACCCTTTTGGTGAAAGCAAAGAGGATGTCCAAGCAGTGGATCCTATCCCCAGTTACCATGGGAAGATCCATGGCCATCAGCTCAAGCACGTTTGGCTTCTGTATGCGCAAGGGCTCTGCCAGCGCATGAGCGAAGTTAGAAAGTTCGGAGAATGAAATAAACTGGGTAGCTTTAGGGTCAAACTTCTCCCACACCTCATAAAACATTTCGAAGTCATCGTCACCTAAAGGTTCAGTGCTCTCTTCTGTGGCAACGTTGAAGTTCTCCAGAATAACTGCAATGTACATATTTACAACTATGAGAAAGGATATAATTATGTAAGTAACAAAGAACAGAATTCCCACTGCGGGGCTGCCACAGTCACCCTTGGAGAAAGTTGACGTCATGCCGAGGTTTGGGTCACAGAATGGAGGCCCAGTGTTCAATATGGGGCTGAGGAGTCCATCCCAGCCAGCAGACGTCGTGATTTCAAAGAGGCAGAGCATGCTGTTGGCAAAGGTCTCAAAGTTGAACATGTCATCAATCCCAGCCTCCTTTTTGACGTAGGCAAAGTTGGCCATGCCAAAAATGGCGTAAATGAACATGACTAGGAAAAGCAGGAGGCCAATGTTGAACAAGGCAGGGAGGGACATCATCAAGGCAAAAAGAAGAGTCCTGATCCCTCTGGCGGATCGGATCAGGCGGAGTATTCGCCCTATTCGCACCAGACGTATCACCCGGAAAAGTGTAGGCGAAAATGAAACCACAATGCCGGAAAGCAGGCTGCCTGAAGGGGAGAAATAAGCAACAAAAATCTTGAATGAACTAAATGGCTGCTGAGCAGGCTAATCCTTAATTGTTTAAAGTTAAAAGAAGTCCAGCAAGGGGTCACCTCTGCATTTTCTATTGTATTCCTAATTCAGTATTGTTGCTGGTGTCTGATTCCTTCCTAGGGGCTTTTAAAACATAGTTTTGGAAGTGGGAGTCATAGTTCTAAAATGCCATGTATTTAATTTTGGGCACAGTTCAGCTAGAGTTGAGCACTTTAAAAATCCAATTTCTCAGGGTTTCCTCTCTGGTGGACTCCATATGGCAATCTCAGGGGACACATCCCTCTTTGGCCACAGCTCCCAGGTGTTCCTGGGACACCATACATTTACATCATATTTGACATATGTGGCTGTACCTAAAGAATTATCAGAACTGTTGTTTGCCCCCTGGCAGAGCTACAATTCCAGCACCCTTAACAAATTACCATTTATTGGATTCTTTGGAGGAAGTCATGTACCGTATTTTTTGCTCTATAAGACTCACTTTTTCCCTCCTAAAAAGTAAGGGGAAATGTGTGTGCGTCTTATGGCGCGAATGCAGGCTGCGCAGCTATCCCAGAAGCCAGAACAGCAAGAAGGATTGCTGCTTTCACTGCGCAGCAATCCCTCTTGCTGTTCTGGCTTCTGAGATTCAGAATATTTTTTTCTTGTTTTCCTCCTCCAAAAACTAGGTGCGTCTTGTGCGTCTTACAGAGCGAAAAATACGGTAATTCAAATGTGTGGTGTATGTGATGAGGTTTAAAATGCTTCAACTCTGGTTGGGTTGCTAAGAGCTAGGCAAGAACACATTGTTCTGTAGCGACTTACCAACAATTGACATGATCACGACCACCAGGTCAAAAATGTTCCATCCGTTGGTGAAGTAGTAGTATCTCAGAGCCACCAGCTTCATGACACACTCTATTGTGAAGACAACGATGAAGAGGATGTTTATTTTGTTAAGAACAAATGTCTTCTCTTCGGACTGGTCGTCTGACTCCACCATCATCGTGACCATATTAAGGCAGATGAGGGCCATGATGGCAACATCGAAAGCTTGGCGAGTAACAATGTCGAAGAGGAATCCTTGGTATTTGTTCTAAAGGCAAGGGGAGAAAGATTCTCCAGGATTTGTGTAGAATCAATACATAGCTACCTGTTATCCTTCAATAATTTAGTCAGACAACAACTTACATCAAAATTTGCTTAAACCAAAAAGAAAGAAAGAAAGAAAGAAAGAAGAATCAAATATCCCTTTCAAGTGGAAAGAGGTGTCTTTCATTTGTTATTGGGGGCCTTCCCACAGCAAGTGGAGTTTCGAGTTAAGTGTAAAAAAGAGAGAGGATATTCTGGCATTTTGATGAGAATGATGCTGTGCTGGTGCCATGAAAATCCTTGCATGCCTGAGCTGCATTGCTTCCACAATAAACTCACATCTGGAAGCACCCTGAGCCCCGTCACTTCTTCCAATATACTGAAGGAAATGTGAGATTGCTTACAATTTATCCAACGGAAGCATTCACTCAGTGCCTTTAATATTTCCATTTAATTCCCTATTGCAATAACATACCAGAGTGCTCTTAATTCTCAGTCCCAAGATTAAACTTTGTATTCGCCAACTAAGTTTGCTCTGCCTCAATCAGTCTATTAATCATACATTAGCAGCCTTATTCCTTTTTACATTTCTGTTCACCTATTGGAAGTCTTTCGTCTAGAACAGTTGACATGTACTCACCACTGGCCGTGGGATGGGTTTTTGAGGTTTCTTGGACCCCAGTTTTTTCATGGCATTATAATATTTTTTTTGTTCCTCCGTCATGAAGATGTCTTCTCCACCAAACTGCAAGGAGATAAGACAACTAACATTATCGGGTGCAGATTATATATTGTTTGGCCACAAGAGGGGCCTGATCACCAGAACACTCTCCCTTCCTGCAGTTTCCTGCACAACTGGTGTTCAGAAACATGCACCTCCTGTTCTAATGCTGCCTTTTGCCACCAAAGAGGAAGCACAGGGCTGATTTCCCCATTTGGGATAAGAGATGCTTTAGGGATGTTGGAGAATTCCAACAAAAAAGGAAGAAGATGTGTAAAGGGCTTAGTTTCATGCATTCAACTGGGATCAGAAACGGAAATCAGTCAGTGAATTCAGTTGGTATCTGTTTGCATTTTTGTTAATAATAATAATAATAATAATAATAATAAATTTATACCTCAACCACTCTGGGCAACTCCTAACAGAATTAAAAGCACGCAAAAACCTCAGGCATTAAAAACTTCCCTAAACATTCCCTAAAAACTGAAATTAAAAGACGCCTGCTTCTTGGGAGAAAAGCAATGACAAACCTAGACAGTATCTTAAAAAGCAGAGACATCACCTTGCCAACAAAGGTCCGTATAGTTAAAGCTATGGTTTTCCCAGTAGTGATGTATGGAAGTGAGAACTGGACCATAAAGAAGGCTGATCGCCGAAGAATTGATGCTTTTGAATTATGGTGCTGGAGGAGACTCTTGAGAGTCCCATGGACTGCCAGAAGATCAAACCTATCCATTCTTAAGGAAATCAGCCCTGAGTGCTCACTGGAAGGACAGATCCTGAAGCTGAGGCTCCAATACTTTGGCCACCTCATGAGAAGAGAAGACTCCCTGGAAAAGACCCTGATGATGGGTAAAAAGATTGAGGGCACAAGAAGGGGACGACAGAGGACGAGATGGTTGGACAGTGTTCTCGAAGCTACCAGCATGAGTTTGACCAAACTGCGGGAGAGTCAGACACGACTAAACGACTAAACAACAACAAACATTGTTTCATTTCCTTTACACTGAAATGAACGTGAGTGGGCAGCAAGGGGAATAACATAGAATTTCGAAGAAACTGAACTGCAGTAGAACAGAAATGGCACAGACTGTGAAGGATACAGGTTGGAATGGAAATCACTGCCTTCTTACATCCCGAATCTTTCTGCTGCCTTTTTTCCTCAAAGAGGTTTATATCTTAACTTAATGCTTCAGTGCTTCAGTCAGAGATAAGGGATCTTTTTAGCTGTTATATGATGTCAGGTGACTGGCAGGTGGGCGTGGTTCTCCCGATACAGCCTGTGGGCCCAACAGAAAGGCCTGCTGAGTCTAATTAACCCTAATAAAGGTCAGAGTTTCCCCATCAAAAGCATGAATTTTCTTTCACTAATGGAGGCTGGTCCAGTAGAAGGTACCCATCTAACTAGTCTGATTCTTCAAAGGTTCACTTTCAGCAGGCGTAAGGAAACAGAAACACTTCCTAGATACTTACCTTTTTCTTTTGCTGATTAAAATTATCAATAATGACGCCAACGAAAAGGTTCAGAGTGAAGAAGGAGCCACAGATGATAAAAACCACAAAATAGATGTACATATATTTGTTAGCTTCCCATTTGGGCTGGTATTCCACCTGCAAATATGAAAAACACATTGAAACATGACTGAGAAAAGAAAAGGGAAAAAGGAGAGAAAGGCAATTAAAGTGGGCAGGTTTGTGGCGACCCCTTGTTAACATTTTCCTCATTGGTTGCCATACCAAGAGATGGTGGCTGCCTTTGGAGCTAAGCAGCTACAGCGCTGTCTCTGAGCAATTATCCAGAGAGGTTTGCAAGAGGGAAGTAGACATTTATCATGGGATCACTGAAGTTGCCCTCTGGCTCATTTATAAATCTCTTCCCATTGCCACAGTAAGTCACTTATGATGAATCTGCTTATAGCTCATTCTTTCACTAAGACAGAGCAGTTTATATATGGAGAGGCGCAGATAGGCTCCCATCCAGACTGCTTACAGGAGCAAACCTCTTTTGCTGCAGCAGTAGAACTGTGCCATGTACCTTTCATGGGGCAAGGAAAGCTTAACACGTTACTGCGGATGGGGGGAAAGGTTGGTTCAGTTTGCATTAAAGGCAAACCTTTGTAATTTGCAGTTTCCAAAACAATATGCAAACTGAAACACAGCCATCCTTCAAAATTCACGCTTCTCCAAATTTGGCAATACAGATCTCCAACACGTGTAAAAACAATATGCACATACTAGGTTAAACTGGGAATATAAAAATGCTTATATTCATTAAAATAACAAACAAACATGCATTATATTTGGGGAAATTGCTTCGCAAAACTGTATACAGTGGTACCTCGCAAGACGAATGCCTCGCAAGACGAAAAACTCGCAAGACGAAAGAGTTTTTCGTTTTTTGAGTTGCTTCGCAAGACGAATTTCCCTATGGGCTTGCTTTGCAAGACGAAAAACGAAAAAACGAAAACGTCTTGCAAGTTTGTTTCCTTTTTCTTAAAACCGTTAATACCCAGGGTGACTTCGAGGAGCAACTCATAGCACGCGGTGTGATAGCCTTTTTTGAGGTTTTTGAAGACTTTGCTGATTTTGAAGACTTTGGGAAACCGTGCTTCGCAAGACGAAAAATCCGCAAGACGAAAAAACTCGCAGAACGAATTAATTTCGTCTTGCGAGGCACCACTGTATCTTAGGCAAACTTGCACACAAACGTGTGTACATTAGGAGAAATTTGCTGATGAATTTTCAGGAGGATTTTTGCAAAAAACGGAAACTTATGTGGAAATATGAAGAACAGAACTTAAGATTGGAAAACTGAGAAAAACTGAGAGAAACTGCAACTTACATTTTCAGCCCTGGCTACCCATTACCCTCCTAATATATATCTGTGTTGTATTCCTCTCCCGGACCTATTTTTTCCTGTGGAGGAAATGTTATATAGATTTCCCAGTTTCCCCACTCCAGATGGGAAATCTGTGGGGAGGAGCTTTAAGCAGCTGCTGTCACTCTCAGTCACAACTTCCAAGAGAGACTGTTCACAGAGCTCCTGTGCTATGCCTAGTTTGGTGCCCTGCCGTCACACAACACGTTTGTCGGAAAGCCCACCCCTGTATAAAACCGATCACTGTGGGAAAGCCTAACCATATTATACTGGAATTTAAGGAAACAGTGGTGCCTCACATAAAAGTACAACCCCTGTCTGAGAACTTTACAGCTCCATTATGCCTGTTTTGAATTGGCCCTTCAGGATCTCATACTGCATGGTGCAAAATTGATTTGTCTCCTGTTTGGGTTTTCCTTAACAATACCTGAAAGACTGTTTTTTGCCTGTGCTGAAGGCAGGCTAGCGAGACCTTTTGCTGGGTCTTGAAAAGGCAAGTGTTTGATAATTACAGTTAATTGACACTGCAGGAGCAAGACTGCTGTGTACAAAGCTGACCTCCCAGGCTGCCTGCCCAATTTAACCCCTTTATTTACAGCTTTGTTCTATGAAAATGATCACACTTAGGCACTCTAAGGGCCACATTAGATCATGTTGTGCTAAATGTTACCCTGGCTTGCTCCAAATCACTGGCTGCCGTGGTGGGTGGTTCTGGGAAATAAAGAACACTTTGATGGCAAAACAAGGGTGAATTCTACCAGATGTTACTGGGAGAAATGGAGGACATTAGACTGGATAAGCCTGCACTAGACACACAACTGTCATTTTCAGTGCAGCCATAATAATAATAATAATAATAATAATAATAATAATAATTTATTGTTTGTACCCCACTCCTCTGACTGGGTGTATATACTTCCAGCATATACAAAAACAAAACATGAAACATTAAAAAGCTTCCCTATACAGGACTGCCTTCAGATGTCTTCTAAAAGTTGCATAGTTATTTATCTCCTTGACATCTGATGGGAGGGCGTTCCACAGGGAGGGCACCACTACCAAGAAGGCCCTCTGCCTGGTTCCCTGTAACTTCACTTCTCACTGTGAGGGAACCACCAGAAGGCCTCTCAGAGCAGCATGTCATACACACTGACATTAATTTAGTTTTACTCTTGAGTGGGTTCCCTTACATTACTATTACACCACTGAGCAGGTGAAAAGAAGAGAAGAATGAGCATGTGCATTTCTGTGACTTACATCAGTTGAATCTGCTGCTGCGTACATTATATCCATCCAACCTTTGAAAGTTGCCTAGAGAAAAAACAGACTAATATAAATATGATTAAGGTAGGTCAATAGGTGTGCTGAAAGAGGGTGGGGGAAAACCTAGTGAATCTTTTTGAATTCTTTGCATCAGTCTTCACTCAGAATATATTGTGCAGATATCCACACCTGCCTTTGAGTAAATATAGGCCAGTGACCCAAAGGATGCTGGTTTCTTAGATATGACGCCAGTCCTGCTCAGCTCAGGCTGTGAGGCACCAGCATTGATGAGCTAGCCAAACTTCAGTGGTAGAAAGCATGATTTGCACACAAGACCCTTAGATTCAGTCCCTGACATCTTCAGTTGATAAACTAAATTGATTTAGCCAAACTCCAAATGAGTTTGGCTAAATCAAGCAGAGATGGCAAAAGGTGGTGTTTGAGATCTAACAGGCAAAGTAACAAGCCACCAGGTCCAAAGGGCATTCCTGGAGTCCTTAGAGGATATTACTAATGTTTTGAGCAGAGAATGTTCAATATTTAACATGTATTTTTAAACAACTTGCCACAAAACAAAGGATTAGAAAGTAGCTGTGTTTGTTTGTTTGTTTGTTTGTTTGTTTGTTTGTTTGTTTGTAGCTATAAAGATTTATAGACCATTCAGTGACAAAATTCTCTATACGATGTACATAATTAACTTATTGCTATAGTTATTATAGACTCAGAAGAACAAGTGTTACTTAGAAAGAAAGAGAATGGCTTTTGAAGCAAGGATGAACCTATACACTGAGGGAGTTATTGCAGCAACAGCAGCTATCACAAAAGTCTTGCTTTTAGGTATCACTAAAGGCAACAGCGCCAACAGTGAAGGCAGAAAGGAAAGAGAGAATGAGAATGCGGAGACAGATGCATTGTGCTATAAGACCTACCACTTGGAGAAGAGCCAGGTAGCCAGAGCCAACATTATCAAAATTCACTTTAACTGTAATCCAGTATAACATCCCATCGGTCCTGTTGTGCTCCTTACAGTCACTGAAGTTAGTAATTATGGTCTCATTTATGGTGGCATTTGCTTCAGTCATGTTAACGCATTTTCCAAACTTTCCTGCAAACAAGTTGACTCCCACAATGCTGAAGATGAGCCAGAAAATGAGGCAGACCAGAAGAACGTTCATAATAGATGGGATGGCGCCCACCAAGGCATTGACCACCACCTTTGAAAGGTGGGGAAGAGGGGAAAGAGAAAGGGAATGAAACGATTTTTTAAAAGTCATAATAAAAACATCTTACCTCAAATAAATTAATATTCAATAACCCACCAGAATATAATAGTACACAATGAAATTAAATATCAGCAAACAATATTTAAACAGAGATTTACTTTTAACAATTATAATAAATAACTACCAAATTATAATCCATAAAAATATCAGCAAGTCACAATGCATAAAATACCACAATACATACAAAACAAAGACACACAACTTATAAAATTATTTTTGTAAAAAAATAAATCCATGAACTTCACCATAATATATCTAAATAACAAGAAGGAAAAAAGATTCCAGGGCAATAAACTGTGCCTTTCAACCTCTCTCCTCCCCCCCCCCCCCAAATATTAATTGTGGATTCAGACTGCATACTGAATGCCCCTACTCAAACCCATTCATAGGAAAGCTATGTCAGATCAGATCAGCAGAAGTATATTTAATCTCAACAAAGCATGTTCATGTTGAAAGGGCACCTTAATAAGTTACTAGTCCTTTCCACTGCCATCTAGACTCAGTCCAAGCATGATAGATTCAAGTCGGTGTTCTCATGCAGTGTTAGAGATCATGATGGGGCATAGAGAAGGGGTGGTCTCCTGGGTATATTTGAACCAAGTGGTAAAATGCTTTAGAGATGAGAAATAGGACCCTGTGTTGCACACAGAACACAGTAGGGAGCTATTGCAGGTGATGGGACACCTCAGTGAAGAGGTGACTTATTTCAAGAACGTGATGGTGCTACATTCCATGGAGATAGCCTGGTGCCATTTTGAAACGTGTGCTAGCATGAATGTCTTCTGTATCACAGCAACAGGCTGCTCTTCCCCTTGAAGTAAATCTGATTTTCAAAGTAATTTGAAGAACATGGTTTGATCTCTGTACCCTTAAATCCACTCCCATGGTCCTCATACTCTAATGTTTCCATACTATTTACCGTCAAAGTTAACTACTGTGTTGTGGGTAACAAAGATGTCTCCTGGACATCTATTGCCACTGCTATTTTTCTAGAAAAAGGGGTGCTGGAACTCACCACAAGTGCCTCCCTTGTTCTCTTAGAATGGCAATGGCACCCACCTGAGAGGGGCTGGAACTGAGTTTTGGTGAGTTCTGGCTGAAAAAAAGGCCTGTATTGCCAATAATATAGAACATGTTCATAAAACTCTCATGACTCGCAGGAATCTTTGATGTGCCAAATGGGAATCCCTGTTCCAATCTCCTTTACCATCCCTTCATCACAGTAGCCTTCAAAAGAAACAATTTACACACCAAAGGCCTTTTCATAGGGCTAATGTTCAGTGATGGCGTTCATTCAACTTACCCTCATCCCTTCAAATCGTGACAGGGCTCTTAATGGCCTCAAAGCTCTTAGGGTTCTGAGAGACTTTATGGGACCCATGTCAGATTGTCCAGCCAAAGTTGCTACGAGGGTTACTAAGGAGACCTGCAGAAAAAGTAGCAAGGGGAGATGTTCAGTAGCAAAAGCACAAAGGAACAATTTCACTATGTTTCTTAATCTGCATCCTTGCCATGCACAAACGTTTTTCATACATGCTAAAGCACCGCTTCAAAACAAAAGCATAAAACCGTTTTACACAAATTGCAGGGCTTCCCCTTAGGCAAGGAGAGTGCAAGAAAGCCCAGTCGCTATACCTTGAAAGCTAACAGCACCCATTCCACAGAATGGTTCAAAGGCAACACTTACATCTACAATTATGAAATCAAGCCAGCACCAAACATTTGTGAAATATTTGTGGAATCCATAAGCCACCCACTTCAACAGCATCTCCAGGATAAAGATGTAAGTGAACAATTTGTCGGCATAATCCAGCATGATTTTAACATTTGGTCTCTCACTCAAGTGTATATCTTCAAATGCCTGGAATAAGAAAGTTAAGATGTATCTTGCTACTGATCAAGCAGAATTTTTAATTTGCAGACTTCTTTACAATCTTTCCTTAATTGTGTGAATGTACTGCAATTTTTGAATCCTACTGCATAACCAAAATACTGGAGCTGTGCCAAACATATATATCTCTCCATGAGAAATGGAGGGCACAGGACATGAGATCACAAATGAGTGATCCCAGGCAATCATGTACTAAATGCAGTGATGTTACTACACTGGCAACCCATAACATAAAATACTCAGGATGGCTTACAATAAAGTAGGGACGCTTAAAATTCTCTGCACCTGAATTTTTTCTGGATTTTGTTTGTTCCAAACTATCTTACCCAGGTTGTGGAACAATACCAATCTATTAGCAAAAACTTGCTGATTTCCAGATTTCACCTGGACCACTGTCAATGTGACATTTTGTGATGGTTTTCAGTTCTTTCCAGCCATTAAATGGGATAACTCAGTCAGTAGAGCATGAGCCTCTTAATCTCAGTGTCGTGGGTTCGAGCCCCACGTTGGACGAAATATTCCTGCAGTACAGGGGGTTGGACTAGATGACATTTCTAATTCTACATTTCTATGATGTAATGCCTTCCTCCTCTCCAGGAGGAGAATGTGCACATGTATTCATCAATATTTATTTATTTAGTTATAGATTCCAAAGTGGTATACAATAGGGTTGCCATATTTCAAAAGGTGAAAATCCAGACACCAAAGTTGATGAGCTTTTCTCGGAGGGGGGATTTGCCATAAATAAATTGATGGTAAACGTGTTGGCAGGGACTGCCTGGCTTTTGACTTGAATCCTGTGGTGAGGCAATCCACTGCAGCCATTGGTGCGCTGGGCTCAGCCGAGGCGCCAAGACTGTGCTGCCCTCTTTGCTCTGAGGCTGCCCTGGCACGCTGCTGGCACAAGCACAGCTTGGGGTGAGCACCGCTCCCCAGAGCCTCCAGCTGTTTGGGGTTCCGGGAGACGGGGGGGCACAATTTCCAGCCAATCCCAAGCCTCTGCATTCCTCCCCGGATTGCCTTGCTGCGCTTCCCGCCGGGCATTTGGCTGAGTCTGGCACGCAGCAGGTGCCATGCCTTCTCTGGCCAGATGCACTTTGTAGTGCACCAGGAAGGACAGCCAGGGTACTCTCAGCAATCCCACGGGGCGGCTCAACGGGCACCTTGGGCTGCCTGCCAGGGTGAGGCCGTCCTGGGCCAGCGAGGCAGCCAGCAAAGAAGGCCCATCCGCCCCAGCTCAGCAGGCGAAGCGGAGCATGGCACTGTAGCTGGACTCCTTTTTCCCTGAAGGCTGGTGTGCGCACACTTGGAGTCTCCTAGTTTCCCCATAGTGAGGTGTCCCAGCACCGACCCCTCTCAGAGAATGTTGAGGCAACATTCCCAGGAGCCGCAGGGACCCTAAGGCCCACCCAGGAGCTCCCTGTCTGTCTCAGCACTCTGCAAGGGCAAGGGAAGGGCCAGATTGGAAGCGTGGGTCCCCTCAAGGACTTACTCCGCCTGCCTCGACAGAAGTGAGGGGCACCTGCCCAGCCAGGCTCTAGCCAGGCGTGTGTCCGTCCGTCCCCTATCCCACTCACTTAGGCATTTGCTTCCTTTTCTGCCTTACTTTTGCTGCTGCATCTGTGACTGGAGCTGTTGGGGAGGCTGCATCGGGTTGCCATACGTCTGGGTTTCCCCAGTCATTTTAACCCTTATCGGAAATTTTCCCCAGACACAATTTCTGAGAGCCCGATCCCTTCTATGTCCGGGAAAACCCAGATGTATAGGCAGCCCTACATACAACAACTAACCAGCAGGTGACACAGTCATATAATTCATTAAAATAATGAGCACATTAAAACTACTAAAACACTTGACTGGTGAAATACAGTACAGAAAGGAATCTTGATATGGTGGCATGTGCCATGCTGGTAAAAGAATAACGGGTCCACCATAATCTCAGAGAAATTTGGCCTTCCAAACAGTGTTCCCAGATTAAATATATATCCAATGGTGGTGGTGATAGAGGTGCATGAGTATTTCCCCAAACGGAAAACCTGATCCAAGCACCCAGTCAGGCTTCATTCTCACTGCAATCCTATGCACTCTTACCTGGAAGTGAGTTCCCATTGAACTCAATGGGATTCATATCAGAGCAGACATGCATAGGATTGTACAGATCAATGGTGCTTAATACCATCTGGCTAGAGCTCCAATTCCCAAATCAGCAAAATGTGCCCCCTGTGTTTGCCAGCATTATTTCATCTTGGAATGGGGTGGTGGTTTAGAAATATAATCTTTATTTTCTCTGCTCTGTCCAGTGTGCCACTTAAGCCGCAGAGTTTGTGTGTGAGAATCAGATTAACATACCAGAGCTCCACTGCTCAGCAGAATCATGAACACAATGAAGCTTTCAAACCAGTTGTGCTCTACAATTCGGTAGCATGTCTTTCTTAGGTTCCACCATAATCTGCCTGGAAACTTTTCAGTGTTCACCATACACCAAGGATAACGCTGCGCAAATTCTGAAAGAGACACACAATAAATAATAAACCACATTATGGGGTTAGTACAACCCTTGTACAAGTTAAACAGTACTGGCAAGGGGACTGACTTTTAGCATGCATCCTGCAATTAATGAAAGCTGGTGTTACGGAAAAATCTAGGTGTGAGGCTGCTCAGTCACCCAGCAAATAGCTGTAGACCAAAGTTTATTGCGCAATAGGTTCAAAGAGCAAATTTGAACCCCGAAGATGGGGTGACAAAGACTTTTAAAACTTTCTCACCATATCCCAGAACACAGTTCGCACAGCGTCATTGCTACATCATTGCTACATCACTGACATGTCACAAAAGGGGAGGGGTTAACCTTGGCAAACATGTTCAGACAAGTCCTTGGTACAAGACTAGCATAAGCATACATGGCAGGGCAATAGAAGTTCCTTTGCATGTCTGGAGCCTGAGGCGAGTCAGGTGATAAGATTTGGCTTCCTTTGGCTAACAATGAGCCCAGCAATTGTCACCTCTGGGAACTTCCTGGATTCCTTTTTCAAGGGGAAAATAGCTTTGAAATGGAGGAAACTGGGAAAGGAGATGATTTTATATTATTCCTAAAGCTAGGCAACCTCCCCGAGCCGTCAAGTCGACAGGACACATTCAGGCATAATATTTGTAATATTTAACTTTAAAGCTGTGCCCCCCCCCCCAGTAATTTCCATAACACTGGTGATCCCCCCCCCCTTCCCATCACTGCTCTCGCTTACATCATTGTCAGCAAGTAGAAGCATACAAAAGAAGACAAGAATCACAGGCTGGCCATTTTGGGTTGCAGCCCCATGTTTCTGAAATTATGTAGCCCTGCCTAGAACAAATTGATGAAGTGCATCCTTACTTTCGGGAAAACAATTATCTGGCTCCGAGTCCTCAGCTAGTTCAGGGATCTGCTTCAGGAATTCTTCTGAGTTTGCTAGGTCCACGGTGCTGCCTTCTGAGCAGCTAATAATGTCAGCTCTCTGCAAAAGAAAAATATAGCCTTGAGTTTTCTTTTTTACCAGGCATTGTCTGTCGGTTTTGCCTAACAGGAGTGCAACTAGAATTTTATATTAATGTCGTTAGCAGCCACATGTGGATTTTAAGAAATTTAATGCTTGGCATATTGGGAGGAGTGATTTTCACATCAGGACCACGGTGCATGGGAATGGGAGATTTAACCTTTCAATTCCTAGGTGAAATCCTGACAAAACCCAACCTCCCTGCACCACAGTGCAACAATTAGTCACCGGAGTCAATAGGAGGATTTTTTCCTAAGGCTAATCTTTGCACTGGGAGGGGTGTATTTTAGCCACGGTCATAAGGGTTAAAGGGTTAAACCTCATCTCCCCACATGGTATGGTTTTGATGCCTGGTATTAAATAAAACAAAATCAGTGACACGCTTGCTGTGTGATTAATGTAACACATACAAATTTCTGATCTACAATATCCATTTCAGCACCAAAAGAGGTTCAAAGGCTCTGAATCAGCATGCCTTACCCCTTAAAACAAGCAGGCAGGCAGGCAAGCAAGCAAACTAACTAACCAAACAGTCAAAGGAAGATACTCAAAACAACCTGCTTGGGTTTCAATTCAACATATTGAATGGTGACATTTCAATTAGAGTTGTGACGTTGTTTGTTTCGTCCTGATTTTAATGCAACCTTTCTTTTTTACCCAGTTCTGCAATCAGGGCATTTTATCATCTGGATTATCATTATCTGCTTTTGCTTTTCTTTATTGGTGAATAACTTTTACCTCTTTTTGTTTTGGTGAGGAGGACCCAGCTTTCCAATGCATACTTGTTTCCCCAGGAGAGGAGATTTCAGATGTTCGGCTCCAGGCATCGGAACTCTTGCTCCGCTCTCCTCTCAATCGCAGCTGGTTTTCCTGCTGAAGATAAGCCACATTCATCTGCACTCAAGATCATGCCACTTGTATTTGTGTGTTTTTTTTGGGGGGGGCCCTTTCCCTCCTACTGTTAGTTAAAGCCATGGGAGCTAAAGAGAGATGTATTTCTGTGACTCAAACAAAATTAATGTCATCTCTAGGGGAGTGGATTCTAATCGGAACTGTGGCAGAATTTCTCCCTGCACCATTTCCCAGTGAAAATCTCTTGCCCAAGCTGGTATTTTCCTCGCAGAGGGAAACATACAGGTATCCATAATGTGGTTGTATGTTGTGCCTCGCAGGGCAAATAGCACTGGAAGAGGGCATTTTCATGCAAGCATTCAGGAAAAAGATAAGGTCTCTTCCACACCCACTACATTCCTTATCAGAATCCCCACAGCCCCTGATCTCCCAACATCACATATAGTTTGGCCTTCCAGCAGGCAGCAAATCCAACAGCTTTATCAAGTGCTTCCTGAACCACGGTTCATTGTTGGTGAGCTGTGGTGGGCCTATTGGGTCACGTTGTGTATGAGTAGCCTGTACCAGGTCTCTAGGTGGAGTAGCTACAGCACACAAGGGAAATGCACTTTTGTTTCCCTGGTTATTGCTTCTTCTCAGTGCCATTTTCCTTCTCCGCCCTGATCCTCAGCCTCACTTGCCCGACACTGCCTCTTAATCTGATTGGCTGCAGCCACCCATGTGGTTTTGTTTACAAAAGTTACCAGGTTAGATTAGCGTCATGATGTTTCATGATGTGATCAGTCAAATTTCTTCGGAATGGGCAGGGGGTGGAAGGAAGCTGTGCTAGGAAATGAGGTGAACAATTAAGAGCAAAAAAGGGTGTATTCCATATTGAGCTTATTGAAGGAAATGTGGGGATGATGATGATGATGATAGGAGGAGGAGGAGGAGGAAAACGGCACACAGGACTGCATTGAAACAGCCTATGAGCAAAGGTGAGGGAATGCAGCTGGTAACACTGTTAGGGCAGAAGCTAATCTTGTTCCTCATGAGGTGACCTCCTATCAGCACAATCACATCATTGGTTCTGCTTCTCATTAATTCTACAGTGTGACAGAATGTTCAGAAAGTGGGACAGAATATTGAGGACTGACATTAATATGGCTGTCTCCATTTCTGTCCGCTGCAATATTTGTCCGCCTTTCCTTGAACATGGCAATGTGGCCTTCAGCTGACTCCTTACCTTCTCTGTATATTCTGTCTCCACGGCTGCCCCCTGCTTCTCATCAGCATCTTCAGAACCCTCGCTATCGGACTCGGGGGCAGCAATGGGAACACAGACAAACACATTGGGGTTGCTGATGAAATCATCCGGGATATGAACTGAGCACCTCTCCCCATTCTTCTCGATCTCTCTGTTACCATGACTCTCCTTGAAGTTCGGGAGATCTTTTCGAAGCTCCAGCCCGTTCTTCTCAGATTCACATTTTATTTTCTTCTGAGCTGCCTTCCGCTTGTACCCAAGAGCTTTGAAACAAAAAGCCAACATTGCCTGTTTTGCTGCATGCAGCCCTCGGTGGATCCGAGCAAAGGCAATTTTAAGGTTGTTCGTTTCTCGGTCGTCTTCCGGGAGTTGGAGGAGGTTGTCAGTGCTGAACGAGTTCAGCAGCAGGGCGATGAACAAATTGAGCACCTCAAAGCAATGGAAACAGCAAATGTTTAACAACATTTCTAGCATAATTGTTTTGGTTTTTTTCTGAAGAGAAATGGAAACACCCAATTCTGGTGTGACCGGGATAAGGAAACCAACCAACAGCCAGGGATAGGCAAAATTTGTCAATTTTGGTTTCTCCCAGTTTCTCATTTTGTCAACCTTAAGTTCAGTTCTCCACATTTGCACATCAATTGACGTGTGTGGGGGTTTTTATTTTTTTTAAAAAAAACCCATGAAAATTAATCAGCAGTTTAGTGTAAATTTATTGTGATATACACACTTTGCATGCAATTTTGCCTAATATATGCATTTCTGGAAATCAATTTTCTGTAATATAATGCATTTTTATGTTAGCTTGATTAACATATGCTTTTTAATGCACATTTTACCCTAGTTGTATGCATTGTCTACTCTTAAAATGATACATCTGTTTTCATTCTTATTAATTCTTTGCAAACTAGTTTTAGAGCATAGGTGGAATGAACAAATATCGACAAATTGGAGCAGAAAATCTGCCTACAAAGCCAGGTAAGAGTGAGAGGCAGGTAAGATGCTTTACTTCCTTCTCCTGTCTCCTTATTATGGAATTTCATTTCATTTCCCAATGGCTTGAGAAAAGACTGAAAGATGTGAGAACATAAGAACAGTAAGGTCCAGTCGCGGATGACTCTGGGGTTGCGGCGCTCATCTCACTTTACTGGCCGAGGGAGCCGGCATTTGTCCGCAGACAGTTTCCGGGTCATGTGGCCAGCATGACTAAGCCGCTTCTGGCGAAACCAGAGCAGCACACAGAAACGCCGTTTACCTTTCCGCCGGAGCAGTACCTATTTATCTACTTGCACTTTGATGTGCTTTCGAAGTGCTAGGTGGGCAGGAGCTGGGACTGAAGAATGGGAGCTCACCCCATCACGGGGATTCGAACCGGTGACCTTCTGATCGGCAAGCCCTAGGCTCTCTGGTTTATACCACAGTGTCACCCACGTCCCTATAAGAACAGTAGAAGGGCCCTTCTAGATCAGGTCAATGGCCCATCTAGTCTAGCCTCCTGTTTGCACAGTAACCAACTAGATGCCCATGGGAAACCTGCAAGCAGGACCCTCCCCGCTTGTGATTCCAAGAACCTGGCAGAAGCAGCCCAGGACAGATTTTCTGGAATACTACCATTCCACATACTTGTCTTGTCTTATTTTAAAGATACAGCATGAGGATGGACTTTTCAAACACATTTCCCCATTTCATTAATAGCAAAGCAAAATTCTGATAAAAAGGGGAGGGGAAACCAAAAGGTATCTGTAAACTCACCACTAAATTTCCAATCACCATGACCAGCAAGAAGACAAGCAAGCACATTGATTGCTCATTGACCACCATGCAACCCCACATGGTTTCAATCCATTCTCCACACAAAATTCGGAAAATAACAAGGAAGGAGTGGAAAAAATCTTGCATATGCCATCGTAGTCTGCAGTCATCGGCCAATTTCTTACAATGAGTCTTATAGTTGCCCCCAAATAGCTGCATTCCAAATACAGCAAAGATAAAGACGATAATGGCCAGAACGAGGGTGAGGTTGCCCAGAGCATCCACTGAGTTTAAAATTATCTTAATAAGGGTGTTTAAGGTTGGCCAAGACTTCGCCAACTTGAAGACTCGCATCTGTTAGGGAGGAAAGTATTGTATTGTTAGATAACCAAAGAACAGAACAGTTTGGCAGTTTCTATTTTTTGTAGCCTTCAGTTCTAACTCTGTTTATCCTTCTTTTCAGCTTCATCTTGCCTTTTCGTTCTCTTTTGAACATATTGTTATTTATTATGTCCGACCCTCAGCAGCCAAACAAGTGCCTATGGGGAAGCCCCAGAGCAGAACATGAATGCAGTAACACACTCCCACTCATTTTTCCCTAGCAACCAGTATTTAGAGGCATGGTCTCTGCGATGCTGGAAGTAATATTTGGCCATTGTGTCTAGTGGCCACTGATAGCTTGTCTCCTTCATGTCTCTCCCAAGCAGCACAGCACAGGGGCTGGCCTTGGGCAAGTATTTTCAACTCCCTTCCTGGTCCGGAATGCACCGGGTGGCCTTGGGGAAGTTGCTGCTTCTTGCCCTCAATTTCCTCTATCTGAAAATAACATCCCTCACAGGGCACATCTGGAGATTAGCAAGTTAAATCTTTCACAGTGCTCCACAGATGTATAATCAATAGTGATCTTCTGCAAGAGATGTAGCTCGTGGGAAATCCTGTCCTATATGTCCATGAAAAAAGAAAGGAATGAAGAGGAAAAAAGAGAGCGAGGAATTACCAGCCTCAAGGTCCGTAAAACTGTAAAATTTCCTTTCCTGCTGCCTTTTTTCCCTGATGCCTTATTCTCTTTGGGTTCACTGCTCAGTTCAATGATGCTTATGAAGACAATCACGCTGTCAAAGATATTTGAGCGCTGCTGAAAATAATAATAGGGATCCAGCGCAATGATTTTCAGGATCACTTCTGCAGTGAAAATTCCGGTGAAAATCTGCAAAATAGAAGTGGAGACGTCAAATCTGCATGTTCCAGAATCCTCTCTCCTCATGCCGGGGTTAGGGACAGTTCACATGACAAACAGGCATGTTGAGAAGTCCGCAAACCCTTCCTGGGGGGCTCCATTGCGGTCTGGCACTCCCTCCATCACCCTTCACAATCAGACAAGGGAGGCCCCTTGGGCTGTGTCCCGGGCAGCAAAGGAGGTCCCTGGGCTGAGTTTGCTGCCCAGCCAACAGATCCTGCCAGCTCGCTCAATCAGCCAATTGTGAGTGGGCAAGGGGGTGGGCCGCTCCTGGAGGGTGGGCTCAGTCCGCTCCCTGGGCATATAAGAAGAGCATGTGGCTTTTTCCTGGCAGCCACTCCTCGAGTCAAAGTGAATGGCAGCGTGTCTGCCACCTTTCCTTTGGCTTGCGCTATTAGACAACATTGTGAGATTTATAATATTAAATATAATTTAGTTTCATTTGCAGACGATATTCTTTTGTTTATTTCGTACTATTCAGGCTAGTATTCCCATCTTGATGCAAACAATAGGTGCTTTTGGTAAAGTATCTGGTTACTCTGTTAATTGCTCCAAATCAGAACTGATGCCAATAAGTCAAAACCTGATTACCCATTCATCCAAGGAATATAAATTCCAGATTTGTTCAAAATCTATTAAATATCTAGGTATGCTAATACCAAGAGATATAACAGAGTTTGTCATAGTTAACAGAAATAAATTAATAAAGAATTTTCTTCAGATAGTGATAGGTGAGAGTCATTGAACCTTATACCTTTTGGGGAAGGGTGAATGCTGTCAGAAATCGATACAATAATAATAACAAACGCATAAAAGCTTATTACATGCTGATGCAGAACATCCTGCTTGCCAGAATTCGCTTACCTTGTTGCCTATCCCAAGCATGGCCTCGAAATCAGGGGACATTTTATAGTGTTCTAGCGCCATAAATAGAGTATTCATCACAATGCAAACTGTGATTGTGAGGTCCGTAAATGGATCCATAACAAAAACGCCCACATTCTTCTTTATCTTCAACCACAGTGGGCAAAAGTTCCACACAAGATACTTTGCAGCCAAGTTCTTCAAGAAGCGGGGGCACTTCTGATTAGATTCTTCAAGTTCTAAACATTAAACACAATAAAGTAAGGTCCCCCCCTCCCCATAAAAAAAAAGATTTAGAAACACGCGCTTATGGTCAGGAAGTGGGATCAATAAGTACTTGTGAGAACAACTCCTACTGAATCTGTTGATGCTCCAGCAGAATTCTTTTTAAAAATGTACGATCAAGGACTATTGTAATTGATATCTCTGTTAGAATTCCTGCTCCATGATTGCAGTCATGGGATTGTTGTCTTTCACATGATGGTATATGTTTTGACTCCACAGAGTGGGAAGTGACGGAGTCAGGATGTTTGTGTTACTGTGTTCCGTGAAGTGGGACTATTGTCCTTTGTTCTTTTTCTCTTTGCTGTCTGATGCTAGAGAGAGAGGGGGAGCCATGTTGCAGTGCTCTATGTGTGTTTATATGTAAATAAAGTAGATTAGCCAAAATGCTGAGTTGCTGAGGTCTATTATGCAACTGCGCAAACTCTGCGGATTCCTAATGTCAGTTGGCATCAGTCGCTGTGATGTTCAGGCTGAAGAATGCTTTTGAAGCTCCCGAACGATCGACCAGGAGGGAGAGAACTTGCCAGTCGGGCATGTGTCTCTGCCAGGGTCCTACTCGAGTGTAGGCCGAACTCCTAACAATCCCATGGGCCAGTTCTTTGTAAGACCATAGGAAACTATTTTATGTCAGAAGCTTTGTCCAGCAGGTTCAGTAGCTTTCAGGAATCTTGCCTAGCTCTTCATGAAGACACCTGGGATGAACCTGGGGCTCTCCACATAGAGGGCATGTTTCTTTGACCACTGAGCTACAGCTCATGTGACTGTATTGCTATTCCAATTTCACTAGCTTCCTATCTGTTTCTGATCCCAAAGTGCTAGCTAGTTACCTTGAAAATCCCTAAATGGCACTTCCCGCCCTACCGGTGGGGAAAGGGTGAGAGAAGATCTACATTTATTTTATTATTTTTATTTCTTAAATTTGTATACTGCCCTTTATCTGAAAATCTCAGGATGGCTTACAGCATAAACATGCAAAGTAAAAACACAAAATTCATATGAAAAACCAGAACCAGAACAAAACAAACCCGTAGCCCCAACTCCCACATCAGGAACAAAGGGACAGTAAAGGTCTACATTGGGATCGGCTACCCCTGTGATTCCTGCCACCTGAAGCAGTCGTCTCATCTTGCCTCAAGGCTGGGCCAGCCCTGAATCCCTATTTAAAGGTGATATGCAACACAGGAACAATACATAGACCCAAGTGCAAGTGCTAAATCCGCCCATTTATGGCATTTAAAGCATGTCCTTAACCTTGGTATCCAACCACTATATTGGCGCCCATGAATATGCAACAACATACCTTCCAGCGCACTGGTGATGATACTGACTGCACTTGCTGCCCTTTGTCTTTGAAGTGGGTGATTATAATAATCTACTGAGAGACGCTGAGTTTGGAACCTCTTGTTGGCTTCATCACAAGAAGTAGTCTGTTTAAAGATGTAAACAACATGTCTAGTTATGGAAGCTTTATGTGCTTCGATCTCAGGCAGTAAGAGTAACAGATATGAACGTAAATATGATTATTGCAAAATTCAGCAGACCACACAGTCTTAATACATTCGGAGGAAATGTCGAGTGACAATGAGTATTATTGTTCAGTCGTTCTGAGTTTCATTTTCCTCTCACTTCACTATTTATTAGTTCCTTCCTCACCCAGTTTACATGCAACTCAGGACAACACTTCATGCATTTGATGAAGCAGGCTGTAGTCCATGAAAGCTTCTGTCATAATGCATTTGTTAGTCTTCAATATGGGTGTGCCTTTGGAATCTTAGCTTTAGAGCTGCACAGCAGTCCTTACCTAAAAGAGAATGGATGCACTATGGTGCAGAAAGAAAATATTTGCTATTTATTCATACCACAGGGCTCTCACCTCTTAGCTCTTACTACTCCTTCTTCTTTAAGTCTGCCCCTGCCCCCAAACTTTTTGGTAACGCTCCCCACCCTCCATGCCCACTATTCACAAATACATTTACAGTGAGATTCTGTGAATGCCTATTTGGAAGTAAATCCCATTGAGTTCAATGAGGTTTACTCCCAGAGAAGTGATTAGAGAATAATAATCTTAATTGTTGTTGTTGTTGTTGTTGTTGTTTGTTTGTATATATATATATAGCGAGAGAGAGAGAGTTGCAAATTGCCCTGGGACTAATGATGAAGGCTGGGGAAGAAATTTAAATCATCATCATCTGTAGGGAAGTAATCTGAGGGTAATTTTTAGGGGTGGAATCATTTTTCCTCTAGGTACAGAAAACATACATAGCAAAAATTGATTACTGCAGCCTAGACAACTGGGGGGAAGCCACCAATCAGAAAATTGCAACTGTCTTATTACATTCTCAACTCACCAGATCTCCTTTCCCAGGATTTTCCATAACTGGAGGAAGCAATGACCCTTCATTGGAAATGGGATCCATGTTAAACGGCCTTGTTCCACTGCCCCCCATCAATGAAACCATCCCATTGCAATCGTCTCCAGTGGCCCATCTGCCGGGCTGCATGTAGTTTGGAGCTGTCAGGCGAGGGCTGTAGCTGGTTTGACTTTGGACGCTTGGACGCCTTCCCATTCGGGCAGCCAGCAGCGTGCTGTGTTGGATCTCCGTCTCCCCAATGCTGCTAGATTCATCCTCCCCAAACTCAGCCCTTGAAGCAGCATCTCGGCTGGATACATGGAAATTGAATACACTTCCATGACTTGGTCGGCGTTTGGTTGGGTTTGAACTAGGACCGTAACTGTGGCTAATGAGAGACTGCCGGGATCAAAAGAAGGAAAATAATAGCAAGAGTAATGCAGACTTTGACATGCTCTGTACTAAATACATTTAATGTTGGGTGTAAGAGTCACTTACAGAAATCCTACCAATTGCAGCAGAAAACTTTATGACTGGCCTTGTGCCTTCCTGTTAATAAAGAGCACTCTGCGTTCAGAATTGGCAGCTTGTTAGGAGTGATAGCCTGCTTCTCATTAACTCAGTCTTGCACATACACTCCCGTCTCCCAGTTAACTACTCCACAAAATTTTCCACTAGTACTTAAGTCTGTTGATCACTTATGGCTTCCTTACCCGTCACAGGAACCAAGGAACTTGCTATTTATAAGCCTCTGTTAATTCTCATACTTACTGCCATGTGAACCTACTAGGACCACCAAGGAGGATTACAATTTTGTAACACCTTTATTCAGACAGATGACACTGCAACTGATTTATTCTATGGCTGTTAGTTGATTTATGGACAGGGTTTGCTATTTTTCATTGTTGTGACCTACTAGTGACCTGTTACTGAGAACTGCTAAGAGTAAAGGAAAAACAAATACATCACATATAAAGCTTTATGCATAGATTGGTTTCCTACTGTTGTAGAATATATATACTTTCTAAAATGTAAATTTGCTAAAAACATTCATGTAGATTTAGGGTTGGCAAATGCTGATTAAAATTAAGTGTCTTAGTTAAAACCTTTTTTCTCCCTTCATTTAAACTCCTCCATCTATGAAGACAAGTTAGAGTGCAATTAAAAGTGAAAAGAAATAATGGTTGGTTAAAGCTATGGTTTTCCCAGTAGTGATGTATGGAAGTGAGAGCTGGACCATAAAGAAGGCTGATCGCCAAAGAATTGATGCTTTTGAATTATGGTGCTGGAGGAGACTCTTGAGAGTCCCACTGACTACAAAGAAGATCGAACCTATCCATTCTGAAGGAAATCAGCCCTGAGTGCTGACTGGAAGGACAGATCCTGAAGCTGAGGCTCCTGTACTTTGGCCACCTCATGAGAAGAGGAGACTCCCTGGAAAAGACCCTGATGTTGGGAAAGATTGAGGGCACAAGGAGAAGGGGATGACAGAGGATGAGATGGTTGGACAGTGTTCTCGAAGCTACCAGCATGAGTTTGACCAAACTGCGGGAGGCAATGGAAGAAAGACAAGAGTGCCTGGCATGCTCTGGTCCATAGGGTCACGAAGAGTCAGACACGACTAAATGACTAAACAACAACAAAAGCCTTATGAAATAACTACCGGTTTCCGATAGCTGTCACTAGACTGTGATTTTGGGGTTTTGGGATCTTCCCCATAATCTTCCATCCCCAAAGACAACTTTTTCATTCTGTTGCTTCGTTCTTTGACCTCTTTAGAACCTATAGGTGACACTTCAAATGAGCTATGAGACATGCTGTCGTTTTCTTTTGCAGCTAATTCCTAGAATGAAGAAAAAGAGAAGTGCACATTGTACCATTATGTCTTCATATGAGATAATAATAATAATAAAAAATTCTTTTTGGTATGACAACTTCCCATTCACAGATAACAGTTTGCATTGGATATCCAAATTACTCACAACCTTCATGATTTTAAAGTAAATCACGGTGTTTTTCTAAAAGGATTTTTGTCTTGACGGATTTTTCTTGCCTAGCAGGTGTTAGCTATGTTTCAAGTCTGAGTTCTTAGTTTTTGGATACATGAAACATGGAAGCTGGTGCTAAATCTCCTATGGAAGCATCATAATTAAGTGGCAAGTTCTTGCTTTGACCATGTTTAGATCCCATCCCATGTTCAATTTATGCTTTCCCCATTCTAAAGAGCTTTTTTTATGCCAGCAGACCTATGTAGCTGTTAAAAAACATTTGATTAGTCGGTCATTTTAATTACCATTTTGTATTGTTTTTAACGGTGTTTTATGTTTTATTGTATACATACTATATATAACTACTGCTATAAACTATGTTTCTGGGGAAATGGAGGTAGTTGTAGATTAGCAATGGGGCAATATATGAACCTCCTGCTCTTTCTTCAGCATCTCCATGGCTTCACGAAATTTCCTTTCTTTTGCTTCTGTTTCAGCAATAGTGGCTGTGCTCTGTTCTTCGTAGGCCATCGTGACCACGGCCAAGATCAAGTTGACCAGGTAGAATGATCCCAGAAATATGACCAGCATGAAAAACAGCATATAGATCTTCCCAGATGCTCTGAGAGTCTGTAGTCAGAAAGAATACAGCAATCATTCTTTTGGTTGTGGTGTTTACAAAATTTTAAGGTTTTCATTACCAGTTTCCCATATGTTAAAGGGAAAAAGGCCTTTGAAATCATATAGAAAACATGAACCACACTAAAAAATAATAATACAGTAATTCATTAACCAAAATAAAGATGACGAAAGAAACAACATTAAATCTAAAAATGACACATGAAATTCTATGCTATGAACGATCCAAGCTTTGCTTAAAAACTGCCAAGGAAGGAGAGTCCACAACCTCCCAAGGTGGTCTGTTCCACTGTTGAACAGCTCTTACTGTCGGAAAGTTCTTCCTGATGTTCATTCGGAATCTCCTTTCTTGTAAATTTAATTCCCTGGTTCGGGTCCTACCCTCTAGAGCAAGACAAAACAAGCTTGCTCCATCTTCAGTGGCAGCCTTTGAGATATTTGAAGGTGGCTATCATATCTCCTCTCAGACTCCTGCCTTTTGGACCCAAGAGAACCCTTAGATGGCTAACGATATTTTGACATTTTTTTACAAGAAGGAACATTCATAACTGTGATCCCCCTTCTGCGCTCTGAGGTGGCACAGTTTATTCTACCAGCTCAGGACTCTGTGGCAACATTTCCATCTCATATTATCACCTCAGGATTCCACTTGGTAGACTCTAGCATATCGTTCTTCTACTTATATAGTTAAGAAGGGAGCTGTAAAAGGTAGGCAGAGCAAGCCGCTTCAAAGGACTATGGCAGTTTCCCCATGCAATTTGTTTCAAAAGAATTGAAGCATATACCTGTTGATAGAGGCGTTCCCAGTAATCCTGCGTCATGAGGCGGAACAGGGAAAGGAAGGCCCAGCCAAACGTATCAAAGCTTGTGTACCCAAAGTCAGGATTTTCTCCAACCTTCAGACATACGTATTTCGGCGGGCAGGAACTGCAAATAACAACCGTATTTCAGTGGTAAAATTCTCCAGCATTTAAGTATGAAGAGAAAGTTCTGCCAATATAGTGGTACCTCGGGTTACATACGCTTCAGGTTACATACGCTTCAGGTTACAGACTCCGCGAACCCAGAAATAGTACCTTGGGTTAAGAACTTTGCTTCAGGATGAGTACAGAAATTGTGCAGCGCCGGCACAGCGGCAGCAGGAGGCCCCATTAGCTAAAGTGGTGCTTCAGGTTAAGAACTGACCTCCGGAACGAATTAAGTACTTAACCCGAGGTACCACTGTATATGGAGAGACTTGAAAATATGTGAATATTTTTTTTCTTTCAAAAACATGGCTCCTACATTCAGCAGAGCTGTGGCTCCCAGTAGGTTGGACAGAATGGAATTTGTGGCCCTTGGGCTGGAAATCGTTCCCCACTCTTGCAACAGAACTGCAGCTTCAAACTGAAAATGGTAAATTTCAGATCTCACCACACAGGGGCACATTCACAATGTTCCACATGCAAAAATGATGAGAAGATCACATTTTACTTTGAACACACAAAAATTGAATTTGAGAATTTGGGCCACAGTTTTGGGAGGAGGAGAGGTAAGTAAGCAGAAAGTAAATAAATATTCGGAGTGAATAACAGATATTAAACACACTCATAACAGGTATTATGTAAACTTACCCACCATCTGAAGCATTGCTGCACAATAAATAATCTTCAGTGTCATTCTTATGTATGTAATTCACTGCAACAAAAGAGTCAAGGATAAATATGGTTCCAGATAAGTAGAGGTTCTAAAACAGCCAGTCGTTTTGTCAAAACCCCTGGTTATCGACCTGGCTCATCAACAAACCACGGTTTAAACTAACCACTGTTCCTCCAGTTCTGATATAATGTGAAACGGTTTAGTTTAAAACCAGAAGTGGGCGCTTCTAATCACATCTGTGCTAAAGGAGGGGAGGGGAAGGAAGAGTGATTGAGCCCAAGGTTTCCTGTTGCTCATGCACTAAACTAAACTAGGGTTGCCATATTTCAAAAAGTGAAAATCTGGACACAAAAGTTATTGAACTTTTTTGGCCAATGGTGTTAAGTTGTTGAGCTTTGGCAAAATCACAAGGACATTTTGGAGCTAATTTTAAGGAAAACTGGCAACAACACCACTGCCTCCATGCAATATTGTCAGAACTTGGAAGCTGCAGCCATGCAACCCCAGGAAGCGAGGCTTCAGTGGGGACAGCAAGGGGGACGGCATCATTTGTGCACAATATGGTTACCAGTGTGGTCACGCCATGGATTTGAATAATGGCATTATGATACTGTACTGGATTTTGCCTTTTACACAACTGCTGCACATTTGGATGACTAGCATCCTGTCCAGTGAAGCTGAACATTAGGAGATTCTAGGCAGGGCAAAACAAATACTTCTTCACACATAGTTTAACTATGGTATTCCCACCCACTAGATGTAGTGATGACCACGACCTGGATGACTTAAACAGAGAATTAGATCAATTCATGGAGGTTAAGTCTTTTTGATGGCTACTAGCCATGAGGTTATGTTCTACCTCCACTGTTGGAGGCACACTGTGCCTGTAAATACTAGTTGCTGGGTGTCAGAGTTACACTTAGTGAGCCACTTAGAGTTACACAGTGAGCCACTGTGAGAACGGAGTGTTGGACTTGATGGCCCTTTTGCCTGATCCAGCATGGCAGAGGCAAATTTAGGGGAGCGTGACAGGTTTACCCACACTGGCTATTGAGCCGAGAGGGTGCTGCAATAATGATTTAGAATGGAAGGCAAGAGGCGGGGGCTGCTGAATTTCGGCATCACACCACTGAAATTTGAAGGCCCAACATTCTCCACTGAGCAGGGGCCTCCTTCTTATGTTCTTATTTTTGTTAGACAATAGCCTTTTTACGTAGGAATTGTTAAAGAACTCTTCGGTGGATGCAACCAAGACTTGGTGATGTGTTCATTTTTAATTTGTCAGTATGACTTAGTACTTGATCAGTTACCACCTCAATTCCTTGGACTCTCATCCTGTGCAAGTTCAGGCATGGGGTTCAGTTACAATCGCACCACTCATGGAAGCACACTTGAGAGTTTGAAAGTAAGATTGCAATAATCCAAAAAGGATTTATCCCAATGCCACCCACATGGCAAACCTACCAAAGCACTTATCAGATACTTATAAATCTTACTATTCTTAGGAGTAACAATCTGAAGTGGCAGACTCGTGTGTCCTGTTTGCTAGGGCCCACTTCAAACCTGGAGACAGAAGAAGGAATAAATCCATCATTTTGCAAAGATCTGAGGACAGCATTTACCTGGGCTATTGGTAAAATTCTCATACGTAGTCAAGTTCTGTTTAGATGACGAGGATGTTTCATTGGACATGCTCTGGCTGATATATTCCGTGTAGTTCTTGACACATTTGTGTCTCAAATGTCCTTTAAAGAGTTGAAGACCAATGAGGGCAAACACACTCAGGCAGAAAACAGTCAGGATCATAACATCTGCGAGTTTCTTAACAGACTGGATTAGGGCACCTACAATGACTTTCAGACCTGCAGAGGGGGGAAATGAAGGACATATTAAATTCAAAATCAAAGTACCTGCAGAACAATTTGGAATGCCCAAATTGACCTAGAGTTAGTTTTGCCCCTCATTCATCTGTGTGATGAACTATTTTTGGAAGCTTTGATAAAAATAAATAGAAAGAAAATGTATTATGGATACCACTTGGGGGAAGGCAGGGTTGTCTGAGCAAATTTCCAGCAGCTCAGTTTCAAAACATGTATGTTTTGAGGGGACAAGAGGTATCTTTTAAGGGAATAAAGTAGCAGCAAGTATGCTTCTCAAAAACATTATTTAAACCCTTGAACTAAAAAAGAAGCTGCTAATAATAGTAAAATGTAATACACTGCCATGTCCATCTTTATTGTCTGAAATATGCCTATATATGTTGACATGTACCCAATGTTGTTCATTCACTGTCTACTATATATTTTGGAAAGTTGCTTGTCTGTTCACTATGCATTTGGACACCTCTAAAAATTTTGAAACCAGTTTTTGCATGATGGTTTCTGAGATCAAGAAGCACATTTTCGTCTGTGTTTGGATATAGTTGGTGACCATTTTGAATCAAGATGGCAGACTGAACTTTTCAAAATTGCACTGATTTTACCCACTGATTTCAAAATTACTTTTTTGTTTCTTAGAATTCCTAAGCAATAGCTGAGTACAAAACTGCTAGCTTTAAAAAAAATAAATAAACACAAATTTGGTGTGTCATATCCACTCTGAAAGCAGAAATTGCTGTGCAGGATAGTAAGTGATCTATAGGCATTAGCGGTCTGTTTTTAATAACTAAAATGATTAAGCAATGTGATTAGATGCCCAGGATTGTGCCTTGACACTGATAGCAAAAAGTCCATTCATGTCCTTGTTTTCTTCTATCGATGGGATGAATGACTAGACTGCTTATAATTTGCCACATTAAACGTGTCATTGTTTAATTTTCTCCAACCAAAATTACTCACTGTGCATTAACAAATTGTCATCCTTTCATTTCTGAACTCTGGATATTGTTCAGATTGCCGCAAATACACAATTTGCTATGATTTACAGCTTGCATCCATTAAGCGCTGCCCCTGTAGTACCCATAAGGGGTTTGCGTTGCCCCCTAAATTACAGCAATATATTTGATTCAGATTGTGCTGATATAATCAATATGCATATATGTTGCATTTAATCAATGCACATTCACTGTTAAGTGAAAACTGTGTCAAACACCAATGCACGATACAAGCATACATCAGTTCTGATACTAATTTTAGAACTTATCTGAGGTAAACTCAAAGTGAAACATAGTGGAATGTAGTGCAAATAAACCCATGCTTTCCTAAATATTCTGTGTGCAGCACTTAGTAAATTGTTTTATGTGCTCCATTTAATAAATAAAAACAACAGATGGATGGAACAGAGAAAATCTGTTCATTGTTGGGAGCAAACCTATACAGCATCCAGATCTGTAATCAGTGGGCTTGAATTTTCAGCACAGTTTGTATGATTTGTAAATGGGCAGCCAGCCAGCATGTTTTGCTTTGTATAAAAATAATATCAAATGAACAATCACTAACCATAACTGTTTGCAACAGGACATGAAGCAACTGATTTTCTCTACAGGTGGTACAGCAAGCTAACATTTTTATTATTATTATTTTTTAACACCTTCAGATGATGAAGGTATTTCATCCGCTTAGGGAAGATAACCTACGAGACACCTGCATTTGGAAGTTTTCAAAACAACATTTTAGGGGTGTTTTCAAAATCAGCTCCCTCACCCACCCACATTGAAGTGAACAGAAAAATACGATAGGTTTTTATTTTGTCCTCATGAAAGTTTCGGGTTCTTCCAGTGTTTGCATAATGTCATTGGCTAACCCATAATTCTCCCATTCATTCCAGATTTTCCCTTTCCGGGGGAAATCCAGTAAGCAAAAAACAACAACCCAACAACAAACAGTTGCCAATGCCCCATTTGCAAATTAAGCCCCTGTTTGGAAGCATCTCAGTTTACCAGCAACTTGCAACACAGTACAGGATACATGTATATTTATGTACGGTATTCTAGTATTTCACAGATAAAAATAGGTACACTTGTGAACATATTTTATGTCTACCAAAGAAAGAATCATGTCAAGTCCAGTTTTGTCCCCCACTATTACACAATGCTTCCTGTATTAAACATTCAGATTGCCTCTCTTGCTACACTAATTTAAAAGTAGAGTGTTTTTCCTTTTCATTATTGATATTCTAAGGAAACACTAATCTTTTAATATATGAACAGTTCAAAATAAACATCGGCAGGTCCAGCATGTGAAATGGCTGGGCATGCCTAACATTTATTACCTGCCCAAAGGTCACAGGGTGCATTATAAGATTATTATATTATTATTATATAATATTTAGTCATCCTTCACCCTTAGGTCCCAGGGCAGGTTACAACCATTTAAAACACAACATTAAAAGCAATTTGAAATGCATTACAATAACAAAAATGCATCTAGGTGCATTGATGCATATGCATGAGCCTCAAGATGCATCATTCCTAACCTAAAGATTCACTTCTAGAGAACTGGGCATGGGGTGAGGCTCAAGCCTGGAAAACAACAGCTATAGCAATTCATCCAGACAAAAAGCTAGCAAGCCTTCCTATATGTGCCGCCCAAAGGAACAGCTGCAACACAATTGTCTCTGATAAATGAATACCATTGAAATATATGCATCTGATGTGCCGTTGACACATAGATTTGAACTTTGCAAGGGCAAATGCAACCTGATTGCTGTCAGAAAGAATTCAGAGATTTTTCATACCTGGGATAATGGAAACGGTTTTTAAAGCTCTCAGGACCCGGAACATCCGAAGGACAGAAACACCGCCCATATCAATAAACTCTCCCAAAAGTCTGTAAAATCAAAATGTGAAATAAGTTTTTAAAAAATACAAACTTTGGGGAGGGGTTACAGCAGCAACACTGGTCCCCTAACCAGCCTTCTCAGTAGTGGCACCTGCCCTGTGGAACACCCTCCCACCAGATGTCAAAGAGAACAACAACTACCAGACTTTTAGAAGACATTTGAAGACAGCCGTGTTTAGGGAAGCTTTTCATGCATTACTATATTTTAATATTTTGTTGGAAGCCGCCCAGAGTGGCTGGGGAAGCCCAGCCAGATGGGCGGGGTATAAATAAATTATTATTATTATTATTATTATTATTATTATTAGCCTGATCCAACTGTAGCTCTGCTCAACATACTCCTCGCTGTGCCCATGAAAGGCATTTTAGTGGCAGTGGGCAGCTATGCTGATCTTAAATGGAAGCAGAGCCTGGCTTCCATTTTACAGCGGCTGCTTGGCATCTTCCATTTACCCCCAAATCCATGCCCTGACCTGTAGGTGTATAACTTGGGGAGGCCTTACATTCTAGGTAAATGAACACCGCAGTTGATCACATGGCCACTGCAGGTACAATTTGTTGCCATTCAGAAGTGGCGCTGCTCACCACAAAGAACTCATAACCCATCTACTTTCAGCAGCCAGAAACACCATAACCAGACACTGGAGAGACCTGTCAGGAGTAAGCATGGACCAATGGTACCAAATAGTATGGGAAACAGCCCTACCAGAAAAATTAACTAATAAACTGAAACTGACACGGGGACAAACAGAAGAAGACACCTGGCTCCCCTTTATCACATACAGAGCCCAACAAGACAATGACAATAATCCACCAACGGCATACAAATCAATATGGCTAACCTGATCCGAAACACCCACCCACCCCACTCACACACGAAAACAAAGATCATCACAGCCAATCACAAGCAAACAATCACACCCTAGGCCAACCCCAACCTCTCTCACCACCAAAGGAACACAAGTGAACAACACAAGCAACGCTGACACCAAACTCTACATACATTAAGCATAATAGAAACACCGCCACCCGACCCCACCCCCATCCATCTTCCCTCCCTCCACCCCCCTTTCTTTTTTTCTTTTTCTTTTCTTTTTTCTTCTCCCCCTAATGCCTCAACAAATGAAACGGATTTGTAAAAATGTTACATGTAAAAAAAAAATACGAGGCATTACACCTACTTCTGTAAAACAAGAAAATCCTTAATAAAATATTTTTTTAAAAAAAGAAAAGAAGAAGTGGCACTGCCACCTGCCCAGGGCTAAAATGCCCTCTAAAGGGCTGGTACATGGACCGCCCCCCCCCCATGGAGTCTGATATCAGCAAGTGGGGTGGGGTGTCCTGGACAGTTCTTTCTCACTGTCCAGAAAACCAATGGCCTGGCAGAAGCAGAGGGACAGCCCTTAGAATCATGGAACTGTAGTGTTGGAAAGGGCTCTCAGGGTCATCTAGTCCAACCCCCTGCAATGCGGGCTTAAAATCCAGGAGCTGGTCTACAGCCTTAGCAACTCTACCGTGCAAAGCACTGTACAGTGGTACCTCGCAAGACGAATGCCTCGCAAGACGGGAAACTGGCAAAACGAAAGGGTTTTTGGTTTTTTGAGTTGCTTCGCAAGACGGTTTTCCCTATGGGCTTGCTTCGCAAGACGGAAACGTCTTGCAAGTTTGTTTCCTTTTCTTAAAACCGTTAATACAGTTGTGACTTGACTTCGAGGAGCAACTCATAGCACGCGGTGTGGTAGCCTTTTTTGAGGTTTTTGAAGACTTTGGTGATTTTTGAAGCTTTTCCAAAACTTTTCCGACACCGTGCTTCGCAAGACGAAAAAAACCGCAAGACGAAAAAAACTCGCGGAACGAATTAATTTCGTCTTGCGAGGCACCACTGTATATGCAACAAAGATCCGGAAGGACCTTTGTTGTATATACAACAATATATATATTATATAATACAGTGGTACCTCGGGTTAAGTACTTAATTCGTTCCAGAGATCTGTTCTTAACCTGAAACTGTTCTTAACCTGAAGCACCACTTTAGCCTATGGGACCTCCTGCTGCTGCCACACCACCGGAGCACAATTTCTGTTCTTATCCTGAAGCAAAGTTCTTAACCTGAAGCACTATTTCTGGGTTAGCGGAGTCTGTAACCTGAAGCGTATGTAACCTGAAGCGTATGTAACCCGAGGTACCACTGTACCACTGTACCACTGTAATTTAAAATTAAAATCAATTTTAATTTAAAATTAATTAATATTAATTAGCAACAATCAGTTTGGAAGTGCAAATATAGTGAGAAGGGTGGTAGGAAAGATTTGACTCGGCCTAGCCAGAGCTAGTTTCATTTTTGCTAAATGTTTGTAAATACAGTGGTACCTTGGTTTACAACCATAATCCATTCTGGAGGTCCGTTTGTAAACCAAAACAGGTTGTAACCCAAGGCGCGCTTTTGCCGAAGGTGCTCCAAAATTCTTTGTTCATAATCCCAAAAAAATGGGTTGTAATCCAAAAAAAGGTTGCAAACCGGGATACGCACTCCTGGGTTTGACGTTTTTGCAATCCAAAGTGTATGCAAACCAAGGTACCACTGTAATCATTACATGAGCCTTTTTCTTTTCTTTTCTTTTCTTTTTGAGGGTTTCTTACTTCAGGCTGAGGCCTATAGCAGGAGGTAGCCTTTGGGGCCTGATTTTGGTTTTGTTTCATATTTCCCTCTCCCCACGGCCACCCCTTCCTTCAAAACAAGACATCTAGGCAATCTTCCATGCTTGTATTAGCCAAGACCAGAACTTTGGTTTTCCTTCAGGCCTACACAGAGGCCTATCCATAGACATTGGCCTTTATCTCAGTGTATTCAAGCGACATGTGACTATTTTACTGATGTATTTTTTACTTTTCTACCCCAGCGTTCCTCTCAAGAGCTTGGGACATTTCCTGGGCCGTCTTCTATTTTAGGTATTCGGCTCAAATGGTGGCCTTTTACCTCAGATTTATAAAGGAATATTGTTACTTCCACATCTCTTTCCAAAGATTTCTGGGCACTTCCTGGCTCTGTCTAGTATTAGTCAGGCTCAGAACTTTACCTCAGGCTGAGGGACTATGAGCAGATTTTTATTCCCCTCAGCAGAGCTTCTGGGCTTAGACTATAATATGGTTCCACAGTCAGAAGTCTGAACATGAAACAGTTTCTCAGCACAAAAGTACAGCTCTGGGGAAAGTTATCAATATCCTGGCGTTTTGAGAGAAGCTAAAATTGACAGATTCGCCAATCCCCTACTGCAGGGTAGTGTCACTTGCACCACCTCAGCAAGGCAATGGTGAGGAGGATAATTTTACCACACATTTTGGGGCCAACGATTGCAAAATATGTGGTAGAATGGGCAGTTCTAACACCTTAAGCAACATGGGAGTCAAAAACCCTCAGCGAAGAAGTATCTTATCTTCAGAGGAGAGTGGACCAGGGGATTGGATCAGCTCTCTGCCTGCTGAGTCCCAAACAGGATGGAAGCGAGACACACGCTTCCTCCAGGGACCTGCAATCCTCTATTAGGAGCCATTTGCAATTAATGGTGTGTTAGTGCTGCCTGCAGGCAAGGCTCTCAAAGCACTGTCCTTTTAGTACCGGCGCTGCATGGAGAGGAATCGGGCATAATATACAGAGAGTGCAGAATGTAGTAATGGGGAACAGAATTCAACTTCCTGAGAAGCCAATCTCTGGTCCTAATGTCTGCAAAAATATTAGGCTGGAGAAGCTGATGAATAACTATTTCAGCATTTGGGGGGAATCCCAAGTTTTACGGCAGTGCAACAAAATCTTCATGAGCGAAATGTAGAGGACTAGAAAGCATTTCGTGATGATATGAATGGCAGCTGCCTCGATAAGAGCTTTCTCTCCTTCCTCTAATAGCTTTTATATGTGCTTTTTACCCAGAAATGAATTCAAACTTCTTTTAGGCTCAGAGACCAGAGTCAAGACTAACATTTTTCCATATATAAGACGCCCCCATGCATAAGACGACTCCTATTTTTTGAGCCCAAAAGTAAGAAATAATTAATTGCAACATTCCGTGTATAAGACGACCTCCAATTTTAAACTTTAAAAATTGTGGGGGGGGGGGATACAGTCTTATACATGGAAAAATATAGTAAATACTCTAAACATGGAAGGGGAATAAGTGCATGCTATGTTGTTGTTTTTAAATGTCCCTTTTAGCCACCACTGTCCAATTTCTTGAAAGGAAATTATTTAATTGCAGCAAACACTGATGCTTACGCCATCACGATAACACTGAAATCCAGCCAGTTCCATGGGTCTCGAAGGAAGGTGAATTCATTCAAGCAAAAGCCTCTTGCCAATATCTTGATTAGACATTCGAAGGAATAAATGGCCGTGAAAGTATACCTGGGGAGTGAAAGTATACAGGGAAACAAGGTCAACACATAAAGTAAGGTAGCAATCATAAGAGACATTCCTCTGGCTTACCCCAATGTTTTCAGTTTTAAATGTATGCCGATTTGCCAACTCCCCATAGAGTAATGGAATGTGAGCATTCATGTGATATTTGGTCCTTTTCTGTCTCGAGGCATTATAAGGGACTAATAAACTGTAATAACTTTTCCTATACTTTTTTAAGTATAGGAAAAGACTGTGGGTTGACCTTAACAAAGGCATACTAAGAGTAAACCAATTTTCTACAACAACAACAAAAGTGATAGCAGCTTGGTCAGAGGGCATTTTGAATATTACTTTGTTGGATACATGATTTTAGATTATGAATTTAAAATCAGTGTTGAAGTTGCTTTTCCATTACATATTGTTTGTGGACTGAAAACAGCAACAGCACTCAATACTGACCATATTCACTGCACTGAATAAGCGAACATTAGCCGTTTCTGCTCCTGTTTCCATTTTCTTCAGCATTCTCTGACATCCCTAGCTGTGTGTAATAGTCCCCAGATAAAGGCATCCAAGCTTGAAATAAACTCAGACGAGGAGCATATGAATTAATCCTTGCATAAGACACATTTTTCCACAGTGTGTTCTGCATTTTTAGGTCCTGTATTAGGAGAATATAGTCGGAATAGAAGGAACAATATCACCAAAGTTACTTACTCAACATACTTCGTGGAGGAAGTCTCACTGCTATTTGACTGCACGTCCGCAAGAGCCATGAAGACGCAATTGGTGAAAATAGTGACCATAATAAACATAGTGAACAATGTAAGTAACAGGAGTTAAGGAAAATGACAATTGAAAAACTTTACACTAGCATTTGCTGCGGAGTCTCAGTTTCAAATGTGTGTGGGGGGGTCCCCCACCCTTCCCTTGGTGTAATGTTGAGCATCCACAAACTGCTAATATTATCCCCATAACAATATTAGGTTTGTAGAAGTAGCACAACTTTTCACTCACCCTATGACAGCCTTCCACAACATGGTACCATCTAGATGTTTTCATCAGCCCCACCAGCATAGCCAAGGCCCTGGGGATTATTGAAGTTGTAGTCTAAAGCAGTGTTCCCTAACATTGGGTCTCCAGCTGTTTTTGGACTACAAATCCCATCATCCCTGATGACCGGTCTTGCTAGTTAGGGATGATGGGAGTTATAGTCCAAAAACAGCTGGAGACCCAAGGTTGGGAAACACTGGTCTAAAGAATCTGGAGCGTACCATCCTAGGGAAGACTGCCTTACAAGGAGTTGTGTTCCAGGTGTGAATACACCTCGTATCTCTCTTCCTGAATTACAACAGAATTTGACTGAATGGCAGCAGTGTGACATTGGGAGAGAAGATATTTCTCTCAATACTGGAACTCAAGGCCAACCAGTGAAATTGGTTAGATGCATATTTGTCCTGAACAACAACAACAACAACAAAGAGGGATTCTTTACACACACAAACACACACATATACAAAAAACCACCATCAACTTAATGCAGGATTAGCCAATGTTATGCTCTCCAGATGTTGTTGGACTACAGTACCCATCAATCTTGATCATTAGCCATGCTGTCTGAGACTGATGGGACCTGAAGTCCAAAACATCTGGAGGCCACCTTGTTGGTTAACCCTACCATAATGGGATCCATTGCCATGTGATGTGCAGGTGGCCTCTGGATCAGAAGGCTATAAAATAGATAAATGAATGAATGAATGGAGGATTGGTTCATGAATAGCCAGTAGCCATGAGAGATAAATGGAGGTTTCCTGGTCAGAGGCAGCATACTCTGAATGGCACTTGCTGAGGAACAATGAACAGGAGAGGTCTGTTGCTCTTGCACTTCTTCTTCACGTAAAGGATATGAATGTACCAAAAGCTTAATTACCATTCGTCTGATTGGATGAAAAGGGCTAAAGATGTACAAAGCACGTGTGGCTGTAAATCGGAAGATGGCCTTCCCTTTGTTCAACACCATAAATGTCTGTGGGTGGAAATACATTAACTGGAAACATTGTTCTATGTCAGTAAATGCTAATATCACATGATGCGCTCTGTCCCTAAGTATATCAATTACGGGGAATGAATTTGGGAGGTCTTTTTAAAAAGTAGGCTACAAAAGAGGTGTCAGGAGTGTTCATGAAAGGCAGGAGAGAGACTGTGAAAGCTGCTGGAGGAACAGGTTCCCCTGTCTTCCTAACTTGCTCCCCTTAAAGGGCTAGCAGGATTCTAGGGGCTGATATGTGACAATCAATCATTTATTTGTATGCCGTCTTTCCAAAGTTCAAACCATGTGCACAGCAGCTTACAACATATAAAAAATAAAGGGGTGGAACTGTCAAAAAGCACAGGAAAGAGAATGAAAACCTAGTAGAATAACTGCAGATTGACCAGCGCTAACTGGAGAAGCTGAATTGTGATGCTACAGTCCTGTCAGCCAATAGGGGGTTCTTCTCAGTCTCTCTCCAGGATTGTAGTTATCAGCTAAGACTAAAGTCTGCTCAACACTGCGCTAGAAATCAAGGAGAATACACTGTCATAAGGAAATCTGCAATGTTAATGAAGCTCTATTAGAATTATTTAAAAAGCACACAACTCTCCACCTTCCTACGATCACCTTGTTTCTTTCAAATAAATCCAATCAATAATGCAGTTCCCGCCCCCTTCTCATTATATTACCAAAGCCTATGGGCCACAAAACATTTCTTCACCTTATGATCATGATAGTAGGGGTCAAGATCCTCAAGAGGTTCTCCAATGAGCTCCAGAGGAGGGTTTCCATACAGGGCAGGCAGCTTCTGGAATACCTGTAGGTCAAGCTGAGGGCGTGGCTTCTCTGCAGGGGGTGGGTCTCTGCATGCTTTCTTGGCCACAATGCGTTTCTCAATGGCAACCAAGGATTCGGGAGTGAAGCGGCGGAAGTTGTTAGCTCCCAGCAATGTCAAGTCAGCCATTTTTGCATTCTTCTCATAAGCAGAACTTACTCCTCGTTGCAAAATTCACTGTGAAGCTATTATCTGTGTTTGGCCACACGGTTGGGGAACACTTTCTGAACAGCAAAGCAAAGGAGGAGATGACTAGATAAGGACACCAACTGAAATCTTAAAGTCATAAAAAGTGGTTTAGTGTTGCTAATGTGGCATAGGAAGGAATTGTTTCTCGTTAAGTGCACATTCGCTTACAATTTAATAAAACCAAGGAAAGTTTTCATTGCAGAAAGGGGAAGCCTCAAATATTATCCGGACTATAGACAATTCCCATAAAGTGTAAAATGGTCAGAAAGAAAGAAATGGCCACACAAATTAACTTTCATACCCCAGAGGTATTCTTGGAAGATCCCCATTGATCTCAGTAAAAGACAATGACTCAGTTGCATATGATGCAGCCTCAACTGCACAGATTCAGAACAGATAAAATGAGGTACTTTTCCACACAACGGATAATTAATGGTGCAACCACTGTGCACACTTAGGTGCAAATAAGTCCCATTGAACACACTGCCAAAAGTGATACCCAGTGACTTAGATAGCTTTAAAAAGTGGCTAAACAAAGTCATTGTAGTTCTATCAAGAGCTCTCAATGGGATTTCCCTCTTTAGAGGTGGGTGACTTCTGAATCCCAGGATTACTGTATACTGATCGAAGAAGATTGCCCTCATTCTTGACTGACTTTGTCATAGATTAAAAGCTAACCATGACATCATGTTCACTATGGGATTTCTGATTGGCTAGGAATAAAGTTCCTAAGATATAGACCAATTAAAAATGGTATCAAAGCAACTATCAGTCAGGAAATAAAAAGGCAAAGAATTGTGGAAGTTTGGGAAATAATTGCACACACCCTCAAAAAAAAAGAAAAAATGACTACAGTTTCCTAGAGATGTTGTTCTCTGGATGCAAAATTTGGGTTTCCTTGGCACATTGTTTTGATATTTCTTCAAGTGCATATTACATCAGCCCTGAATATATTCTCTTCCAAATACAACCACCAAGGAAATCTGTTGAGATTTACTGCAGTTCGCATTGTTCGAGACAAATGATAGTGGGGCAAAGGAAAGCTAGTTTGAATTATGTATGGATTGATAGCACTCCTCCGCAGAGCACAGAGGGAATAGTATAATTGCTGCTCTGCTCCCTTTGCCAAATGTTGCAGGCACCTGCCCAATAGTAGCTTGTTAGCAGCTGCGGTGCTTCTGTCAAAGCATGCCCAGCATAAAAGGGTCACAATTTGGTTTTGAAAACCTAACCATATGCACAACTATGTCATTTTGCTCTGAGAATCCTCCCAGTTGCCACACGGATCTAGTCATTTAATACTGGATGCAGAATTTAGCACCTTGAGAACCTTAGTGTGCATTTTTGTCTAATGCAAAGAGCCCTGTCAGGCAATATGTTATACACTATTATAACATACGCTAGGAGCCTTGTACCCAGCATTGCTCGGGATTTCTAAGAAACCAAATAACCAGGGCAGTTTTGAAAGTTTCCATCCACCATCTTAATTTAAAATGGTATCCAACCGTACCCAACTGTATCAAAATGGTATCCAACTGTATCCAAACTGTATCTCAGGAACCATAATGTAAAATTAGGTTACGATGTCTTCAGCAGTGTCCAAATATATAGCGAACAAACAACTTTCCAAAATATTTAGCAGACTTACAGCCTCATGCCCAGTGCTGCGAAGTGATGTGGGGTTGTGTATAATGCCAGTCCTAGTCATTATTATGTGACCAGGTTTACAGCTTAAAGAGCTCTTACCCTTCCCCAGCATACCTGGGTGTTACCTGGAATGGGAGCCTTTTTAGCTTCCCATGGAAGGAACCAATAGCTGTGCTGATCTCAAGAGTATGTGTGTAGCGTAATCTCTTGCAGAGCATGAGTAGCCTCTGTACTGAGTGCTGGATCACTTAAAAGCTGCTAGAATCACCTACGGGATGTGTGGAAGAACATCTCATTTCAGCCAAGTGACCATATGCACTCAAAGGCTATACAGGGAGAGCAGGGCTGCTATTTAAGTTATCTGGGGAATTTCTCATTTTATGCCAAGCAGGACCACTGAGAGGTAGATACAGGAGGTACTAATGTACCAGGCCCACTGCCAGCAGAGGCCCAGACTCTCAGTCTTCGTGTGTGTGTGTTAAGTATGCCTTTAGCTCTCCTACAAAGGAAGCTATGGAGTAAAATGTGCAGATCTCTGTGAGATGATCCATCTTTAAGTGTTTTCGCCAATGAGTGAAGCTCTGATTGACAGATGAGTTGTTTAGACACCAAGTAATAGGAATCTCTGTGACTCTAACGAGCTTCTGTTTTCTCATCTCCTTTAGTGCACTTTTCCTGCATCTTTCTCATTTTCTAGTCATTGGAATCTCCATAGTTTGCCCTTCTTTTTTTCATAGTAACCAGGATGCATCTTTCCTGTGGTGGATTTGTCTGAGATCAGGTACTCCCTAGAAGTACTTGATCTGCAAATACTGCTACACAATAAATGTGGGTGGGTGTTATCCCTCCTCCCCCCCCCCGGCCGCCGCCACAACTACCACTGGCATGGAAGGTTGCTCAGATGGGAATGTGGCCCTTGGTCTGAAAAAGTAATGGAGACAACGATAGCTTCTAGTCAAGTGGGGGAAGAAGACAATGAATGCCTATTTAAAAAATAGGAAACATTTGGTCCTTGATCCTGCTGTTAGAGATGAAGGAAATAGGTTTCCACACACATAATAGGTAAAGGTAAAGAGACCCCTGACCATTAGGTCCAGTCGTGGCCGACTCTGGGGTTGCGGCGCTCATCTCGCTTTTTTAGCCGAGGGAGCCGGCGTACAGCTTCCGGGTCATGTGGCCAGAATGACTAAGCCACTTCTGGCGAACCAGAGCAGCGCATGGAAACGCCGTTTACCTTCCCGCCGGAGCGGTACCTATTTATCTACTTGCACTTTGACGTGCTTTCGAACTGCTAGGTTGGCAGGAGCTGGGACCAAACAATAGGAGCTCACCCCGTCGCGGGGATTCGAACCGCCGACCTTCTGATCGGCAAGTCCTAGGCTCTGTGGTTTAATCCACAGCACCACCCGCATCCCACGACACACATAATATTCTCTGCTAAATATACAAGAGGGTCTAGGAAACGGTATTCTCTCTGTACGCCACAGGAGAAGTAGATAACCATCTTTTCCTTCTGGGCAGCTTTCCGGAGGAGGTGAAGGCACATGCCCGATCCCATAATACTAGAACTTAGGGTGGAAGGGATCATCCATTGAAACTGACTGGTAGGCAATTCTTGACAAACAAAAGGAAATGCTTCTTAATGCATCACATAATCAGTTTGCTGTTGCATGATGTGATAATGGCCAGTCGCTTAAATTACTTGAAAGAGGAAGTTAGAATTTCATGGAGGAGGAGAGGTCTACTAAGCCTCATAGTTCTATGGTACTTCCATGTTCATCAGCACTGTGCCTTTAAAGAAAGATGTAGTTCTTGGGAAGCAACTCAACACCAGGTGAGGCCTCCCAGCTTCATGGCCTGATGGTGGGCTTCCTTGAACTTTCTGGCCGCTAATGGGAAGACGATGCTGGGCTAAAAGTCTGTTCCAGCTTCCTGCATTTTCACGTTTCAGGATCTCTTCCCAACCCTCACCAATAATTTATTAATTTACTTGCTTCATTTATGCAGCCACCCAATAACAGAGGTTCTCTGGGAGGCTCACAAAAATAAAATGCAGTATAAAAATTTTTATAACCGAAAACATAATTTCAATACAATTTTAAAATGAATTCAGCGATTTGTTGACAAGTGGAAGGAAGTGCTCTGAAGGTACTGTTCCCCTTAAATCTGGGGCACCTGGGTTCAGTACAAAACACGATGATCGTGTTTTTTGACATGATATAAATTCACTGCCCGACATTTCTCCTGTGTTAAATATTTTCTTGATATCCTCCGAGAGATTGAATATTTGCTGCATATGCTCCAAGTAGTTGATATCTACATTGGATCTTCTGTTGTATTTGAGTTCCTTATTTCATGTCTGACAGTAATTGATAGTGGGTATGTAATCCTATACATTATTTGACAGCAGTTAATAACTCACGTGCAGCGGCATTTAGCGTCTGACAGCATTAGCTACTCCGTATACAGTGGGATTTATTATCTGACAGTATTTGGCAGCTCAGAGACTTAATGTTTCATGCCTGCCAAAATAATCAAGAAAAAGTCCATAAGGCTAAAAGCACTTGTACATGAAACATTGCAGTAAAACCTCATTTACAAGATACAAATTCTGCACAATTTTTGAATAGCAAAATGGGGAAACTCACTAGATTTTCAGTTTTTGGACGCTCTTGTTTTCGCTCTACCCCATGTGAAATCTGAGTGGTTTAATCCATACAGTTAAGCACTTCTTGCTGTCTTCAATGTTAATGCAATTGTTTAATTGTCTTGAGATGGCACTCAATCTTCTCTGTCCATTGAAGGGCTGTTTCACTTGTGAAGTTTCTTTCCAACCCCAGTCTGGGCACTCTCTTCCATATTTCCTATCTCCTCCCATATCTCTCTTCCAACCCCTGCCAGTGCTGATCAGAACTTACCAGCTCAGAACCAAAAGTAGAGGAAGGGAGAGAAGGGTGTGTAGTTCCCTGAGACAGCAGGGCCCCCATGCATACAGAGTTCTGTGAGGTGTGCTGGGGTTTACAGTAACTAAAAAAACAATTTTATCTGGCTATATTTAGATAGTGGGAGAGGGTGCAACAGGGAAATGCAAAGGAAGTAGGTGAAACAGCAGGAGGAGGAATGGAATGGAAGTGGGAAGGATTATAAGTGAGCAATACAGTTTAAAAAGACTTTGTTTTGGTTGAAGTTGAGAACTGAAGGAATTAAAGGATAAAGTTTGCAAACAATGGTTGTGTTTTCAGGATGAAAGAGGTGGTTCCATGTAAGAGTTCTTGCGGTGGTTTTAAATATGG